TTTCGACTGCATTCTGCCAGTCTTCTTCAGGGGAATGTCGATTAAGATTAAGATGCTAAAGATCAGAAGAGGCGTAGATTTATATTGCTTGTTCGCTAAGAAGTATTTTTTTTGTTCGGAAAGTTTTCTCGAATTCTGTGTTTCTGAAAAGAACTGAGATGATACGACTCAACCTTCCAGTAACTGAAGTGAAAAACTGACATCCTGACTGAATATTATTAGACGTTTTGATATGTAGTACCACTGGGTAATTTTACGAGTTGTGCCGTATTTTGACGAGCCCTAAGGGGTCGAGTCAAATTACAAACATCGAATAAATTAGAGAAAGATGTTTTTTTTTAAATGCAAATTCATGCCCGGCACGAGAAGAAATTTCTAGCGATGACGGAGGCGGACCACTTCTATTGATCATGAAAGATCAAGAAACTTTGAGATTTTCATTTAAAAAGATAAGTTTGTGGCCCAAAGGGATCATAAAATCAAACTTTTTTTAGGCAGATTCTTATGCTTTACTTTTTATGCAGAAATTCATTTGTTATGATTCTAGTGATTTGTCGAAAATTCTGGTGGTTTTCAATACTGAATCTGATCTGTTTGAGTAAGACTTACAAAGCTAGCCGGGCCTAATCTTGCCCAGTCGTTCAAAGGGGAGATAACGCTGTCCAGCGGATAGCCTTCGAAACAACAGGGCCCTGATCTGTTACGGAGTATGAACTTCAGAGACATTTGCTATAGAACGGGACATCACATCTTCAAAATATCAGCAGTTATGCGTCTGTAAAAAAATGCTTTTGTGGTAAGTGGGCAACTGTAAGAGGTGGTTGTCGTACGAGAACGCGGTAACAGGAACCATTGGCAGAAATATTGGACAAGATGGCGGCGGCGCTTGCGCATTTCGTCCATAATGGCGTCCAAAAAATATAAGATGATGGAACTGTAAATGGAACTTTGATAAATATTCAGTAAATTCTGCTATTCATCAAACCTCACAGTGACTTGATAAATATATTTTGTAAACTTTGTCCTGTTTACTAGGGATAGAACTCTGACGAACGAGACTCAATTAAACTGTTTTATTTCGCTCTCGTATTCGCTTATTTACATCAGGTGTGTAAAAAGACAATCACTCTCTTATACGATATTTTCTACATTTTGATTGGTTGTTGCCGAGTATTGATTTAAAAGGGTCATTCAAGGTTGCGTTGATTATGTAAACCATTCAATGTCCATAGTGACTCATCATCTGACATAAATATAATATAAACCACTTACTTCCCGAGCCAGTTCTTTTGTCATTGTTCATTGACCTAGGTCGCCATACAGTTCTTCAAAATCCGTCGTTCTCCATCCCAAACACTCGCTTATCACGGGAAAGTGTATCAATGAAGTCAACTGCTCTCGATCGAATTGACTGCTACTGAGTTCGAAGCGTCCAAATATCCTGTAAAATTGCCATTTCCTCCCATCAAAAAACTTTCCAACGCGCCAGAAAATCCCTTATTTTCTATGTTGAGTAAGTGACGAGACGCCATGTTGAAACTATGACTGAAATGGTTAAACACGATCAACGCTGATCTTTGAATCGTCGGCCATATTAGTTTATGTTCTTGCTGGGAAATAAATTAATTCTCAGGTCTTTTTCGGAATAAAAAGATGCGAGGCGTTGAATGCAAATTTAGTAGTCTTCGCGCGAAAATTTAATAAAAGCAAATCAAAATTCTGACATCATGTCATCGCTTTACCTCGAAAAATCCCAAAGATTTACTTGCAGGTCTTTTTTTCTTTTTCTTTTCATCAAATAGAAGATCTGTGGTGCTCAAATTGTGTAAGTCATGGTATGAAACACGCTTCTTTGCAGATCGCCGCCATATTGAATTCTCTTGATATTCTATTGTTTCGGAGTGTAATACGATACACTGCTGATAATTGTTAGCGGGCTCGAAATGTCCTTGATTTCTGGCAATGTGCATATCGAGCTGAAATTTAGCAAACAGTGTGGTTTAAATTCTTTGACCCGATCTACGGCACATACGCACGTGTGCCTCCACTAATGAAGTGGAAGAAAAGCGGGGACCTGGGACGGGAGGGGGGAGGCGAGGTTAGTGCAAATTTTTAGGTTGCAAGGTACAGCAAAGTATAATCAATGCAATCCTCAATTACTTTCTTGGCTGTTACATCGAAATTTTTTCATGTTTAATAGGTATCATCGCAACTTTGCAGTTCTTTACTAAAATGATTGTGACCTATATCTTGCAGGTCTATCAACATGGCTGTGTCTCGCACCGAAAAAAACACTTTCAACAACATTTCCTTGGCCATTTCTTGTCTTAGTTACGTACTTCATCTTGGAAAAGAAAGACATTGATTCAAAGGCGAAAGGACACGGAGGCGACGGGTACGAAAAACTTCCCTTGAGCGAGAACACTTCTTCGGATGAACAAAATGCTACTCCTGAACACGGCTTGACTTGGGAAGAGAAATTTTCCGTTACCAAGCAGATTTTACCTTATATCACTTTCTTGTTTCTCACGTATTTGGCAGAGTATCTCTCTAACCATTCCGTTATAACAACCCTAGCTTTTTCAAACTCCTCGTTCAGTCCGCGGGACCATTACCAGTACTACATTGTGTGCTATCAAGTTGGAAAGTTCCTAGGAAGGTCCCATATCTTCCTACTCTCTTGCACCTGCTCAAAAGTGGTCCCTTATGTGCGAGTTAAGAAAACATGGATTTTCGCTTTGGTAGAGATAGCACATCTCATATTCTTTACGTTTGCTTCGTGGTTTCGTTTCGTGCCGCATGTTTCTATCGTACTAATTCTCTGTGTAACAGAAGGATTTGTGGCCGGATCAATGTACGTCAATTCGGCCCACACAGTGTCTGAGGTCGTCTCAGATCCGAAACAGAGAGAATTTGCATTAGGACTACTAACCATTGGAAACGGGATAGGAAAGCTAACAGCTGGGCTCGTAGGACTTCATTTGGAACCGGAGCTGAAGAGTCATTGTGTTTATGACTTGGAGTTACAAGATCAGTGCATTACTCGATATTCAACAGAATCTGGCTGGGAGACAAACATGCGCTGCAGTCATTCTCAAACAAACTCAACAAAATTTTGAAAAAACAATTGCAAGAGAATATGAATATACGTTTTTTCTCTGTAGTAAAGCAATATTGGAGTTTGATGAACATTGAAAAGAGGAACTTGATGACATAATTGCTTTTGTTTTGATTTTAAAGTGGATAGAGTTATGTTTCGTTTCCTTATCGCGTTTACGCCCCTATTTTCCAGACTGGATACTATTGTTCAAAGTTTGAATCACTTACGCGGCTAGCATTCCTGTTTAAACCAATTTACAATAATTGTAATTATACCCTTGTAATGGCGCGCCTCTTGAGTATCGAGGCAATTGGAGTTAGGGAATGGACGGAGTTAGATCAGAGTTTCTTTTTACATAAAATTTTCCCAGTTTTTAGATATTATTGTTCCAGTTACTGATGTTCTGACCATATTTTGACACCTTCTGTGGTCTACAACTGTACAGACCCAGGACAACATCGAATCAATTTGTTTTTTTCTAATAAAACAGCAAATTCTGCTGATGGTGACGTCATCTATACGTCTGTTTCTCAATAGATCATAAGTAAGAACCAATCAAAACGCGTATATAACTCCTTTCTTTTTAAATGCGTATACAACTCAACTTGTTATGTAAACTAAAACCTGTTTGCATTTTCCCGCGAATTAGGCAGTTTACTTTATTTTGTTTTGAATTGTCATTGCCTGCTTGTGATAAAGTCCTTTATTTAAGCTGATTGGGTAGAGGTTCTGTGATGAAATTTGGTGTGACGTTTGGCGGCCTGCAGTTTGCGTTCATTGTGATGACATGTTTTGGTCAAGACGATAAAAACATGTATCCACACACAGTATCGAAATTAACACCCAAATGAAAATTAAAACAGAAGTGGCTGACCATTACGATGCAAATGCAGGGGAAAAGGAAAACTAAAATGGGATTGAAATTGTCGACGAAAATTTAAACGCAAAAGAAAATCAAAACAAAATCAACATCAAGGATAAGATCAAATGACACGTTGTCATAGCAACCATCTCTTTCCAATATGGCGGCCACTTCTCAGCGGAAAATTCCCAGCGGGGCGAAAAATGCAATATTTGATTTCTATTTTACTATGATTTAACAGAAGGAAAGTTTCGAATAGAAATAGAAACAGGAATATGAATTTTGCTATGGGTTAAAGAATAAGAACACATGTCTATCCAAAACAAACTGGAAAATGCTCAATCCAATTTTTATCATCGGAGAGCGTCGCGGGAAAACTATGATAGACCTCGAGTGCTCTTAAAATATGGCTTTATTCCCCTCCCATCGGAATTTTATGCGTGCCAGTCGTTCAAAGAGACCAAAAAAAAAAAAAAAAAAACAGCAAATCAACTTCCATAAGGTATATTTCTTGTTGTGTGACAAATATTAATGAGCTTGACCTGACATGGTTCGATGTTACTCTGGTTTAAAGATTCAATGAATGTAACCGATAAGTTACAATTTACACACCCAATGTTTCGACATTAAAATGCTCTGTCTAGTGCCTCACCCCTGATGAAGGTACTGTTTAGTGCCCTCATCAGGGGTGAGCTAATCGCTGCAAAAGAGGTCCTTTTATATTCTCAGTAACTAGCTACCCTTCTCTCTGACGAGGAGTAAGTAGGCGTTAGGTGGTAGCGTCGATTAGTGGTGGTAATTTTAGAATTATTAGGCATGTGGGCTCCATTGAACGGAATAGAATAAATAGCGTCGGTTCGTTGTTCTTCTGAATTTCTAAAACGATTAAAAAAATATCAAGAACATCACACTGGACGTAGCAGATATTGTTTCGGGAACTTTCTCTTATTTCAGAGCCTTCGTCCGCTGATATTTCCACCATTTTGGCAAATCTTGCGTTGTCATACACGACTGTGATTTGAAAAAGACGTTCATGGTTGAAAAACTTTTGACCTAAACTTACGGACAATATAATTTATGCAGTTTGCTGTCGAATATGTAGAAACAACAATTGATTCATGGACATGACTTCAGACCAAGACAGCATTCTTTTCCGAAGTAGGCTTCATAATGTATGCTATACAATTGTAATTTCTACTAATTATCTTTGTTATTTTAAGACCTCGTGCTTCGGATTTCATCAGGTTTCCAAACGTTGGAAAACAATAAAACCGCCATGCCTAAGGCCTCTTGGTTTCAAATGTCATAAACGACTGTGATTTGAGACAGACGGTCATGGTTGAAAAAACTTTTCACCTTAATTTACCGACAATTTATACAGCTTGCTGTCGAATATGTACGAAAAAACAATTGATTCGTGACATGACTTCAGACTAAGACAGTACTCTCTTCCGAAGAGTGCTCCATAACGGTATGTTATACATAAGAAGGCCATGACCCTAAAAAATTTTTGATGGTCGGGTCATGTCCATCTCACTTATATGTGTCGTTAGGCTTTCAGGAACGAGACATAACACAATTGATGCTATTTTTATTTCAATGACATGTAAATGAGTGGCAGGGTATTCTGCACTTTAGCCTATCTTAACTTCAACTGTTGAAAAAATACTGTTTTCAAAATATATATCTAGGATAGAAGTGTCGGATTTGAACTGTGAACGAAGTGAGACCTTAATTTTGAAAATTTGAATCCTTTGGAAGTTATTGCGTGTTGGTATTTTTTAGTCCAGTCCGGACACATACCTTCTCGCACAAAGAAATAATGATCTTCCTCAGGGTCTAGCAGGAACTAATTATGCCCTAAGGATGGCGAGGTCGATAGCGTGTGGCTCGTAAAAAAGAAAAAAATGCTCCTAATGCGTCATGCGGTTTTTACTTTTTAATTAGCTTTCTCAGTGCCTTTCAACTGGAAGTGTATTATATAATGTAGGCAGAACATGCAATTTCGGGAATGATCGTTTTGTAAATACGTTCGGGATAACAAAAGAATTACTTAAACTACAAAAAAAAATAAATAAAGGCTCATGCAAACATTTTCATCACTTTCAAACTACCAACTAACTCCTCTATGTTATTAAAAATTTGAAATTATTCAATCACTGCAGAAACTCGAGCAACATTCAAATTTGATTGTGCTTTTTCATCATGTCAAGAGTATCCCTGCAACTTTCTGGGTAGGCTAAGCTTACTATTGTTATCTTAAGAAAAAAGCATTTCATGATTGTAAATCTCTACAATGCAGTCGAACTACATTGCATATTTGTCGCCCAGCCTGCTTCAGTGCGATGTCTAGTAATACAATTATCATCTAACTCCAGGTCATAAACGCAATGAATCTTCAGCTGCGGTTCCACATGAAGTCCCACGAACCCAGCTGTTAACTGTCCCACATCGTTTCCAATGGTTAGTAAGCCCAATGCAAATTCTCTCTGTTTCGGATCTGGGAAGACCTTAAAGACGGTGTGGGCCGAATTAACATACATTGATCCAGCCACAAATCCACCTGTTGCACAGAAAATTAGTACGATAGAAACATGCGGCACGAAACGAAACCATGTAGCAAAAATGAAAAACATGAGATGTGCTATCTCTACCACAGCAAAAATCCAAGTTTCCTCGACTCGCACATAGGGGACCACTTTTGAGCAGGTACAAGAGAGCAGGAAGATATGGGACCTTCCTAAAAACTCTCCAACTTGATAGCATATAATGTAGTACTGGTAATGGTCTCTTGGAGTGAAAGAGGAGTTTGAAAAGGTAAGGGTCGTAATGATAGACTGGGTTGAGAGGTACGCTGCAAAATAGGTGAGAAATGAGAAATTGACATACGGCAAAATCTGCCTTGCGACAGAAAATTTCTCTTTCCAGGATAAGCCATGTTCAGGCGAGGTAGGTGCTTCATCCAAGGAGGTTTTTTCGCTTGAGGGCAGCTGTTTGTACTCGACTCCAGCGTCTTCTTTCGTAATTGAATCGATTTCTTTCTTCTCTAAGATGTAGTAGGTGATTAAGATGAGAAGCAGCCAAGGGATTGTTGTTGAAATTGTCGTTCTTGATGCAATGCACAGCCACGTTGTTAGGCCTGCAGGATACACGAAAAATATAGTTAGAAACCTCTTTGTAATTATTTTCTGAATTATCTTTGTGCAGTTCCCCACTCTAAATGTCGCTTCAAAACCAAACCATGAGATTTATTCTGAGGGCCAACAGAACCACCCGCACACAATTTATGAGGAACACTCTAAGGCTGTTAATACTGCACAATAGGAGACGATTCCTCAGATTTGTTTTATTTTTAAGATTGTAAACAACCAAAACTGCCCTAAGCAACTAGAGAGTTACCTAACCAGTAAGACTGAGCTCAAAAACAGAAATCTACGGAACCAAGGGACTCTCGACGTACCACAATCTATAACTTCTTCGGGAAGAAAGACTTTCCAAATTGCTAGTGCAAGTGACTGGAACTCTCTCCCTACCGAACTTAGAAAAACAACTAGTATAGGCTCTTTCAAATTTAATCTTTTTAAACGACTGAGAGACAGTGACATTAGTAACAATAAATGTACAGTGTAACTAGTTGGATTTTTGTAGCGTTTTAATAGTTTTTAGGTTCTTGATATTTTAAATTAGTTTTTTAGTGGTTCTTAAATTGACGGTTTTTAGCAGTCTTATCTTAGCAGTTTTTAGCGTCTTTGAAATATGTAATTTAGAATGATATTATTATAATTTTTATTTACTGGACATCTTGTTTAGACCAGCGCTCCAGCGTTGTATAGTGCTGATAGATATCTCCAATATAAATAAAGCTTTTATTATTATTATTATTATTGTTATTATATCCTCCAGGAGGGATTCAAGAGATATTTGCAAATATTTTGCAAGCTGTTTCTTAAAGAAAGAAAAATGATTTATCAAGCCTACAAATGGTCAAATAATGCAGTTCTGACACCTTCAAGAAACGGTCTTGTTACATCATATGCAAACGCACTCCTTACGGGGTACTTTGCATCGGTAAATCTCTAATGAATCGAAACGTTACCACAATCTAAAAGTATTTATTTTAAGGATGGTTTTCACTTACATATAGGGAGCCAATTGCGCCAAAAAATGAATCATGAGTGATAAAACTCAATCGCTAGTCCTAGCAACAAATCGAAATTGTGTATCATATTTTTGGCACACATTACTCCCCAATCAGAAGCATACAACGTCACGATTTAGTGATTTTCAAATGCTGCATCAAAATGAATGAAAATTGCCATCAAGTTTTCTTACCCGCGTAATAAAAGGGTCCCAGTAGGTAGGCCACACCGATTCCAGCCACGAGTGCAATTACGGTGACTTCTTGATAGGAGGCAGTCATGGCGAGGAAAGTTATCTCACCTAAGCTAATTCCCGATTCCATAACCATTATACCGAGCAACCTTGAGTGAACATTAGGAGCTGATACAAATACGATTAATCCTACAAAAAGAAGCAGCACCGACAGGCAGATCTTCAGCATGTAAGAAAACTTTTGAAGGAACCATGGAGCGGTGATTTTTAAACCAAGAACCGATGCAGCCATGGCAATGCTGACAGCAGCAGTGGGGATTTCACTTCCAGATAAGACATCTTCGGCCGCCGTGATGGTTAATGTATCGTAGAACAATGAAAGTATTCCAAATACGAAAAAACAGATAGTGTTTCGGGGACTTTCTCTAATTTCAGAGCGGCTTGCGTCCGCTGATATTTCTGCCATTGTCTATTTGGCAAATCTTTCGTTATCATACACGATTGTGATTTGAGACAGACAGTCATGGTCGAGAAACTTTTCACCGGAATTTACAGACAATTTTCTATTGACATGAATTCAGATTTATGGCAGCCCTTTTTTCCTAGGAAGCATTACAAATTAGGCCATCCAATGACCCCAAAAAATGTCACAATGGCTGGATCATGACATAGTCTTAACTTCAAATATCGGAAAACGTCCGTTCTCAAAATCTGCATCTGGAATAGACGTGTGTCGTATTTGAACCGTGAACGCACCGAAACTGTCTTCTTGTTCCTCTGAGATATGATTAAATTGAATTTTTTTGGAAACCATGGCGGATTGAAATTGTTATTTCCTCTATTTCCGGACAAATAACTCCGAGCAAGAATAAATATCCAAAGGCTATAATGGAATGTTCTCCGTAAGTTTGCCTTTAAGGATGATCGCGACTAAAACACCACATGAATACTAAGAGTAATGTAGGAGTAAGATACAAATACATACGAGCACATAAGGCTACATCCGTGTGACATACGCATACACACGAGTGAAATTTCCCATTTTCATCCTTTTTAATTGCATATAGAGCCACTTTCTGGAACACATTCACCATGTGACTTATCGCGCGAAGGCACGCGCGCGGCACATACGTGGAGCACTTTTCTTTTCATTTTTTTTTCTTTCGATCTTAACCTAGAGGTGCTTTTTATCCTGTTCACTCGGAAGGATGAGTGTGGGTAGATTTCCACCCGGTAATCTCAAAGTTGATCAAACCTCGGGAAAGTTTTGCCTACTGTGCATTGTCGCATATCAAATTAAACGACAAGGGTAGTTCAGTAATGCTCTCCATGCAAATTGAACGAAAAGTTGAAATAGAGAAACCTGTAGATTCATGTTCCTCTGATATGCGAGCCGTAAATTTTATAGTGGATGGCGCTCTTTAAATTCCTCTCTTGACAGCAACCTTGAGCTGACTTACTTTCGGCTTTCTAGGCGAAAGGAAATTCTCACGTACATTTAAGTTACCGGGCGACTCTTACACTCTCTTTTAAACATAAACACTTTTGATTTTAGCCTGCGAAGAATTCCTCATTACATGTGCTGTGCCATGGGTGTTTCTAACGGTAAGTTTAGAGCCTTGGACTGTTGAGCCAAGCGAGCTGGCGAGAGGTCTTCAACATATCTGGCACTTATCATCAGTGCATGACTTCGTCTAGCGTTTTTCAAGGACTCAAAATTACTCGCGAGCGAAGAAACGCCCGTTCTGAAAGGATTTTTTGCTGTGATGTGGTATACCTAGTTCGTTTCCACATGCTGTACGTCTTTCTCTGATAGCCACTGACTATCAGAGATAGGCGCACAGCATGTGCTAAACAAAGGTGCACAATCTAGCTAAATAAAGGCAACTTAGAGGAAATTTATAATTCTCATTGGTTATTGCGGTCATTTTTATTTTGGTTTTCACGACTCTTAATTGAAAAGCGCCTTGTCAATGAAGCGGTTAAGCATGCATGAAGAACGATGGCTATGTAGCAAAACATTGATCTAGAATTGCTAGATTTCCACTTAAGACTTTCACTGCTCTTTGCCTAAATTGTTTGGGCAACGATAAGTTCAGTTTAAAATAATCTGATTAAAAAGACGCTTCAAGGAACTGAATGTGTCAGGGTCGATGGAGGGAATTTACTGTGCCGGTCCACGTTACGTGACTGCATATATTCTTTCGTTTTCTTTGCAACACTGAACTAGACACAACAATCCATGATGGTGTTCACGATGTTTTGATCATCGGAGAAAAATTTTCCCAAAATTTGAATTTCGACGGAAGATATTTTAGAGAGTCGTTCGAGAGGGGGAGAGAGGGAAGGGGACAAAAATAAGAGAGCAACATAGTCTAAGAAAACCGAAGAAACGTGGAAGGAATCAAAGCCGAGAAAAGCGGTTTCTCTCAGTATCTTTTTTTTAGCTGCATTTTCGTCGAACTTCCTCACGCAAACTTGTAACGTGACCAATATCGACCTCTCTAAACTGATCTGCTAAAGAAAACATGAAGAAATTGGCGAAATCAAGAAAATGGATGATCAACTCAATCCTTATGTAATTCTCTTTTTTAGGGTCGGTTTATTTATATAGTCTAATCTCCTTACTTACAAAAACATCCTTCACTTTCCATAAATTTGATCAGTTCATATAAATATTTCTTTTTTCATTATGGCTAACTATGTTTATAAGCGATTTCATTTTCAGTTACGGAGAGCCCCTAAATTGATATTTCCACCGCTCAGTACAGCTTCTCCGTGGAAAAAGATTCTTTTGAAGTTTTTTCTATAATTAGAGCTCTGAAAAGCGTAAATAAATGGATTTAAGCATGAGTTAAAGTACATGATATAGCCAAGAACTCGATAAATTTTGTATAAAGACTTATAGTTATTTAAGATGTCTTCGTGTTCTGTATAAGCTAAATAAACCTCAAAAACTACATATGGTGCGTTACAAATTATGTAGGCTGCTGTAACTGTAAAAGAAACAATGGCAAGAGTACGTTTTGCCCTCAAATTTTCCCTTTTCGTGCCTGCAGGTGCAGCGGAACAGACAGTGTTGGTAATAAAGATGCCTTTAAGTATCTGGAAATGGCAATAGAACAAACAAATGGAGCATATGATTACTAAAACTATTGTAATTGTTATTTGCCATTTTATAGTCGAAATTCTTTCAATTGTCCATGGATCTAAACATCTTTTCAACCGTTCATCGTATTCGCTGTAGATAAAACCAGGTAAGGAGAATATTATTGCAAAAATCCAGATAAATGCTATGCGATAACCAATGTATTTCTGACGTCGACGCAAATTGATTTCCAAAGGCTTGAGAACTGCGAGGTACCGCTCAATTGCTAAAACGAATAAACTGGAGAGCTTGACAGAAACTGAAACACAAGTCATCGCATATCCAGAGAAAAACTTGCAAATATACGTGCCCAATATCCCACTTGGATGCTCGGCAAAGAGACTCAAAGCTATTGGAATAATGCACCAAATCAATGAGATGATATCAGCAACAGCCACGTTTGTCAGCAAGAAGTTGGTGGTCGTGCGCATAGAGGTTGTTTTCCAAGCGATTATTACTACCAAACCATTGCCAATTACGCCGATAACAACCACAATCGCATACAGGATCAATAGGGTGATGTTAAACGGTGACAGCGAGTTATAGAGGCCTGTCACATCGATCGAAGAATTAGCCATCTTGGTTTTTTTTCGTACGTTTGCTCACAGCTTTAGGACAACTAATTTCAAGACCAGAAATTGAGAGTAATCAGCCGGCTAAGAGAAGATTTTGTTGACGTCATCTATTGAAATTGTAATGCAAGGCCTTAGGGCTGTTATAAGATCTTCTTTCTCCTTTTCTATTTGCCACTAATATCAATCTAAAAATAGTGTATTTTATGCAGATCCCATTACAAAAAATACGCCTCTATCAGAGTGATGCATCTAGTGAAAATTTATTTATGACTTTTAAGTGAGGAAAAAAGTTGTTTTAGTTTCTTTTTCAGTTTCATGGGGAAGACAAGATTTCATTTAAGGTAAGGGAAGTGTAAAATGATTCAGCTGAAAAGGACGCGTCTAGAGGCGGGACGAACATCATCTTTGACGCAAATAAGCGAAAGTTGTAAATGAAGGGTCTTGCAGTAAATCTGAAAATGATGATATGAATGTAACGAATTGAATCATAATGAATTGAATAAGTAAGGTTTTGTTAATATTTGTAAGATTAATAAAGAAGCAAAGTCATCATGAGTTACTGATTATTTAATATCAGGAAGGTTTTAAAAAGATTCGGGGCTGCTGGGGCTGAACGCATTTTAAAAAAGAGAAAAGCAGTCATCAGATATCACAGTTTTTTATGCGGCTTTAGAGGTCTTACTTTACGTCAGGCCCGAAAGAACGAATTTTTAAGCAACAGGGATAAAAAGGTTGAATGGTACCCATGCAATATGATGTGTAATAATGGCCCGGATGGTCATTACATCCCTGAGGAAGAGTTCATAGACATTCTCCTAGGAAAAATGGTGAAAATGTAAACATAACATAGTCACATGTGCCGCATGATCGAACACTTTCTCCAACCTTCAATCAAACTTGTGTTTTCCAATCTTTCGATGTGCTCGGGTTTTTATCTGCCCTTTTCCATCGCTTACGTCCACGTGGCGTTGCGTACCTCCTCTCTCCTGAGGGTTTACCACAGTATTTATTATCAAAAACGTGTTGTTTCGATAATCTAGCGTCATATCTATGTAAATATTTTTGAACGTATAACGATAACATTTCTTTCTTCGTCTTTCATTTAAGAAAGGTTATTTTCAAAATCGATTAATTGCTGATGACAATCAATTTTTACAAAGAAAAGCTTTTACCTACCCGATGTATGTGCACTTGTTAAAATTAAACCCTATTGAAACCATGAATAGGAGGAAGAAAATGATTTTAATATCACATCATCACATGACGTCATTCGTATCTTTCCTGCTTGTGAAAATGTTTACTTATTCCGCTTTTGTTTGTTTAGAATTTCTTTCCATACAAAGAACAAAAAGATGGAAAAATTTTTCATCGATGCGACAAGTCTATACAACTCGCTGTCACCGTTTAATGTCATTTTATTTATCCTGTATGCGTTAATGGTGGTCATTGGTTTGATAGGCAATTGTTTAGTGGTAATAATCGTTCAGAAAACGATCTCGATGCGCACAACAACCAACTTCTTGTTGTCAAATATAGCTGTGGCTGACATTATCTCTTTGGTCTGGTGCATAATTCCCTTGGCTACTTGCCTCTTTGCTGAACATCCAAAGGGGCAAGTGGGAACGTATATTTGCAAGTTTTTCACAGGATATGCCATGACGAGTATTTCAGTTTCTGTTAAACTCTCCAGTCTACTCATCGTTGGAGTTGAGCGATATCGCGCAGTTCTCAAGCCTTTAGAGAGTGACTACCGCCTGGAGCATATTAACTACATAATAGGCTTTCTCTGGATTTTTGCTGTCATTCTCGCCCTGCCTGGGTTTATTTACAGCGAATATGATGATCAACTTGGAAGATGCTTACATCCTGGGACAATCGAGAAGACGGCCACTGTAAAATGGCTGATTACAAGCATCACGGTCTTGACGGCCGTTTGTTCAATTATTTTATTTTTGTCCTATTTCTATATACTTAAAGGCATTTATGTTAACAAAACAGTTTGTGTTGAATCAGTAGCAACGAGACAGGTGAACATGAAAGCAAAAAGAAAACTCGCCATAACTTCTTTGACGGTCACAGTTGCATATATCATCTGCATCGCGCCGTTTTTGGTCTTTGAGATGTATACAGCTTACACCGAAAGAGAAAAAATTAGGAATAACTATGAGACTATGTATACAGTTTATCGAGTTGTGGGGTTTATCATGTACTTCAACTCATGTCTAAATCCCTTCCTTTATGCCTTTCAGAGCTCAAACTATAGAAATAACTTCAAAAGGATCTTTCTACGCAGAATAATTGCGTTGCGCAACAACAGTATAAATTAAGAGGTTTTTACTAGAAGTTGAAGCATAAGGAACAACTGGATTTTTTTTTAACAAATAGCTGGTGTTATTTATTATGATGTTAATAATTAAAGGGATTTATGGCCATCCTAAAGACCTTCAAAAATTAAATTGTTAACTTTTCAAAGTATGAGCTGGATGACCATTTCATTGTTGGAAATAAAATTGTGAATTACCGCGCATATTTTGAGATTACCAGCAGGAAGAGCTGAATAAAGTGTATTTTGATTGGTGATACCGTCTCCATGGGAACGTTTCAGGGGACAACATGCTTAGTGACATAACAGTTATTAGAGCCGAATCTTTCGCCAAGGGCTGTTTTAAAATAATCTAAAAAAAATCAGTCACCAAGGGGCGAAATGCTGTGAACTGCTTGAAGACGTCTTAAGTCATTTTTTCCTGAAAAAAACTATATAAATGAGGATTCAGCATTGAGAAGAGGGGGGTTGAGAGACATTTTGCTTTGAAATCGCCGAATATTTTTCCATGGGTTCCCTCATATTGAATCCATAAGATCCTTTTTCTTAAAATTGCAGCAATGCATCAGATGGAATGTCGCGAGGTCACGGTTAAAATCCGAGCCCCGGCCAGCTCGTTTTGTTGGGTCTATGCATATGATAGCAACTAGTGAGTTTTATGTCGGCTAAACTATCGCTTACAGCTGTCGTTTAAACCTTTTGTGACCGTTAATTTCTTGACTGGAAGATGGACTTTCATGATTTGGCAGATCAAATTGGTAATAAAGGAGCTAAATTTCTTTTCCTTCATGACGAAGCATAAAATTACGCCACACTGCATGGCTGAAAATAAACGGAATATAGCAGATGTATTTGTGGAACCCTAGTTTATTAGTGAAACATCGGCAGAAGTGCAGGCCTGGCTACCTTTCTCGCGTAACGGGAGGGTTGCGAAATTTTTTTCGGTTTTAGTCCTTAACGGTTATCTCTTTTCGACAATGTTGTTTTGTAGATTTCAAGTCGATATCCTCGTTGAGATAGGAAAACAATGCTTGCCGTTCATTAGTGTGCTAAAAATAAATCACCTTGACTGCGATTATAATAGTTGCCCTCGAATCAAGTGGCAACCGCAAAAACTTTCCGGTCCGTGGGATTCCTGATTAAAACAGTGCATTATGTCGGCCTGTTCGTGTACATACGTATTCAAAGTCTACGTGCTTCTGCCATAGTGAAAAAATACTGTGTACGTATAGGTGAAAAAATAAACAGCAAAAGCCCAAGGCTAATTCGTGAACCTGAAGTGATTTTAAAGGTAGGTTTCTCTTTTAAAATCGTCTGACTCCATCGGGAAACAAATTTATTGCAGATACATGATTAAACAATACTGAACGAGAACAAGTTGATCTTGATCGCCAGAATCGGACATTTGAACGGTTTTTACTAGTTTTCCGTCTTTCTTACCCTCTTCAGTTTCGTTTTACTAGGTTTTTATTTTCCGTTTTTTTTTTAATGAATAACGAAGAGGGTCTTTTTTTTAATGAATTTTGCTATTCGTTTACACAGGAACTATTTTACCAGGCCAATATTTCAACATGCAAAATTTCTGATTGGAGCGAATATTTATCTTTTCAACCAGTTTTCATGGAAACTTCATCTTCAATCGTGCTCTCTGTTCTTTACCAGCCCCAATTCCCTCCTGCTCAGTTCAAGCATATAAAATATCGAACTACAATAATAAACCCATGGTAATTTATGATAGCGGTGGAAGCCATCCGCTTATTTAATACCGTTTAAAAATAATTTCGAAGAAGATCTGAGCATTGTAAGCAGATCAAAGTCGAAAAGACATCTGTGTTACTGCTGTTAAGGTGTAAAAACAATTGCTGACTTGTGATAAAGGCAATTTGAACAAAAAAATTCCGCTGGCATCGATTTAAACTTTACTAAGACATGTTAGGGGGTAATCAAGCGATTTAACATGTCGTTGACATGTTATATTTTGACAAATAATACGAATATGATAAATACTCAGAATTTACCCATTGCACAACAAAGGAAATGCTTGTAAATTCTGTTTAAACTATGTCTTAAAGTGCACTTTAGCAGTAATCGAAAATTACCCTGGTGTTTCGCAAAGGTGTTAGCTTTTATCACGTTTTTTACACGACAATTTACTGGCGTTCTGTTTAATCATTTCCAGCCTACTGCAGATGCAGAAAAGCTGAAAGTGTTATAATATTAATGTTTATTCAAACAGCGTTCCCGACATTAGTGTTTGTCTGTCGAATATTCAATTCCGTCAGCTGGTGAATGAACATCTGCCCGGGCCTGGGTTCAATCTAAAATAACCCCAAATGTAAATGGTTCACTCTTTGTGTCTGTTTATGCAGCAGGGATGATTGTCGTATATAGACAAATATACTGCCAGTCTTAAAAGAATGAAGTGAAATCTACGTTTATATACTTGTTCGTTTCACTTATTAGCTTAGAATAGTCGTGAAGGCTTCAAAATTTCGTGAAGCATCGTCATGGCATCAAAATTGCATTTTGCTGTTTTTCTCTCCTTGGTTATGACCGCGTCTGCCGGGTAAGTTGGACAAGAAATAATTTGTTTTTAGTTTGGATCAGAAACCAAAGAGTCAGGTTATAGTTCATTATTGTCTGCACTGTCAACAGTTTTTTCTTAGCTTGTAGCGGGAAACAAAAATTATCTGTAAAGAACCCTATGAAAGATTTCATATTCATATTGGTGGATGAAAAAATTACGAATGGAGAAGTCTTCTATTTGTGCGCACTATATCGAAAAGTTGTTCAGTATTCTGAACGGTGTTTTATCAGGATTGACTGGACTAAATTTCTCTTTGGAAACGATAACTTCAAATGTGAACACATTGTGTGCAAAGGAAGAATATTTTAAGTATACTTTAAATTTCCTACTGCAAAATATTCATGATCAGTTTATAAATTTTATATGAAAGGCAAAACGGGGTAGAGACGAAGTTAACAGATAAATGTTTTCCCCACAGTATAGGGTGATAAAATTCAAATTTCTTCCGTGGCATCATTTATGTGATACTGATACGCTATCAAAGAAATGAGCCGTGTTTGAAATATATTGTCAGAAACAACTTCACTGTGTTCGAATGGCGCTTCGTCTAATAGCTAATAGCGTGACACTCATCTTCCCACAGAGAGCCACGTGCCTTCAATGAACATCTTCATAATTGTTACTTATATATTCGCATCCAACAAATTAAAACTGTTTTTAAATGGGAAACTTCATGATTAAAAGCAGACGGTTCTCTTTTCTGCAAGAAATCGAGATCCACACTCAGGCATGCGAACAAGTAGTCAAGATGTCTCTGACTTAACTTTCTAAAAACTGAGGGAATCTATGAATCGAAAAATAACAAAAAAAACTTCTCAATTGTCTAAAAGCTCCTGTCATGACTTGTTTAACGAGTTTAATTTTTTTTCTCTCATTTAAGTCGTAAATAATTAATTTTCTTTCCATTCACAACAGAGGAAGTATAGACGTGGAATTTGGAGGGTAGTTTCCAAGATTTTGATCCCGAGAATCAAACAAGAACTTTTTTTTAAATTCATAATTCGAAATTTCTGAATTTTTAGAAAGTTACTTCCTTATCATCATTGACACGGCAGGATACTTAGGCGCGTATTTAACCAAATGGAAAACAAAGCATGAATTGTAAATTAAACCTACAGGAAGAACAACCTTTATTTAGAGCTATTCATTGTTAGAAATGAAGGTATATAGGAAAGTGGCGCCTTAAATTCACCATCATTTCTTTTCACGTTTTCAATTTCACTTGGCCATTCTTGATCCACAAAAGATTATTCTCTACTTAAATATTATGCTCACATAAAACACACAGCATGTTCATAAGCTATATATGAACAGCTGGTTTAAACAAAGCCTTCGTTCGTGGATTTTGCATTTTTGATTGCTGATCGGTTTTCAATGCATCCTCACGTAATTGGTTCGAAATTTAATCCAAGATTCACGGGGAAGCCGTACTGGTGTTTGCGTCTCTCAAAAGATACCACGTAAATTTTTTTTTCATTATTTCATGGAGATAAGCTATTTCTAGAATTCTCTGGTTTCGAGAAAAGGGAGAGATTTCGGAAGAAATCCATTGAATTTCCTATAAAGATATATTTCGTGTATCAGGGTTTAAGATTATCGAAACTTAACTTCTTCCCAATTTCGTATTACTGTTTCCAATGAAAATGTAATCTTCAGCTCGATAGTTAACAAAACGAAATGATAAAAACGCTGGAAATTCCAGGTGTATTCATTCAAAAGCGTGAGCGTTAGAAAGGGTGATCGTTTTTGAGTGTGATCGCTTAATAGTGCGATCGTTTTAAAACGTGATCGTTAAATGCGTGAGCATCAAGTTGAAAGGACATTAAAAGTGGAATTCTATTAAGAGTCAAATTACCATTTTAAAGTGGTAGTAGGCGGCAAAATATGAATATGAGCGAATGAAAGTTTTCCGCAGTTATTAAGAAGTCGCCTAATTTCTTGCTTTTAACCTAACGTTTGACAATCTCACGCCCTTTCCCGGTATAATCGCTATTTTTTTTATGTTTTTGCCACCTCCCTTCTTGGTTGAATGAAATAAGACAAGAAACACCCCTCATCTATGAATTTCCTTCCTCAATTAAGCGCAAAACTGTTTACATATTCATAGAAATGCCAAGAGTTGGCGCCTCAAAGACAGATTTGTCTTGCAATATCTTTTGGGCTTGACTTGAATGAGCCATATGACTACGCAAATAATGTTTCACGACAGAAACCCTTTTGCAAAAACTTAGTTTCAGGCATTGAGTAAAGAAAACGTTTCTTAGATCTACGGTGACCGAGCACTTCATGAAAAAAGGAAAAATTATATTCATTCGAAACTGACCAATCACAGGAGACGAACGCTGCCTGGTTCTGACTGATCAGTTTCAAGGGATCAAGTGCATGACCCTTGACTGACAGAAAAAAAAACTTTTCTGATGATGATATATTCTTCACAAGCTTTCGTGGTCCTTGATCTCCTTTGTTATAATTTGTTGGCTTTTCGAGGTTTCGTGGATAGACGGCGGCTTAATGGTGAACGCGCTGGACTCCGGGTCGATAAGGCTCGAGTGCACGACGCAGGCGGGTCATTGAGTTGTGGCCTTGGGCAATTAAGACACTTAACGCACACAATACCTCTCTCCACCCGGGAGTATAAATGGGTACTTGCGAACTCTGTGGGAAAGCTTACGAAAACCTTTTACCTTTCAAAACGTGAATCACTCTTATCATCACCAATGGTCTATAGGAGTACCTTCTTTGTTCATTGACACGATAGAATCTATCATTTCACTGAACACTTTTTCTAAACACTCATGAAATATTGCTCGAAGAGCAACTTTTGATATCAAACGTTTATCGACAAAAATGTTTTCACTCAGAAGTCCAATCAATTATTGAAGAAGTTATGGAAAACATTGAATATTATTTTCCAAAAACCGCTGTGTATACTTGATCTCCTTTGTGAAAAATATTTTCTCCGTATATAATATTATTTGTTCTAATTTGTTGGCTTTCAGCGAAAAAGTCATTCGCATCATCCCAGGAGACTCAAATGAGCTTGATTTTCTGTCATCTTTGGAAGGCAAACAGGAACTGGAGGTGAGGTAGAAATGGAAATAACTGAACGGAAATTATAGTCAGTTATAGAGAATGTCGTCTTACATTGTGCATGATGTAGAAAATGGGTCAAGAATCGAGTCAAATGGACAAAGAAGCCGAATGTAATGCGAATGCAAATAACGACTTAAAAGAGGGAATTTATTTTAAAAAATTCCTTGGCCTTATCCTACTGTCATGGCCTCATGATCTTTTGGCTCTGATCTTACTCAACAATTTTAGATTTAAAAAAAAAAAAAACAGTGTCGAGGGCTGCATAAAAAACCCAGCTCAAAAAAAACATTTCTCACTTTTCATTTCTCTTTGTGCTTTAAAATTTTTACCATAGGCGAGTAAGCTTTGATAGCAAAAATTAATTTCTATTGCTGATCGTGATGAAGTTTTCTGGCTCCTAAATGGCCTTTCTTGGAAACACAAAAGCCTTCTAAGAAGCATTTCTGGGTCCACTGTTTTTCTGAGTCTCTCATTCCAACCATAGCAGTTTTGTTGAGTAACCTCTGTTTTTTAAATTTTTTGTCAGCTCGATTTCTGGAAGGCTCCTCATAAGCCTGGTCTGGCTGTGGACATTCACGTGACAGATGCCGCGTACAAGATTGTTGCCAAGTTACTTAAGGAAAAGAACATTGAGTTTCAAATTATGATCGTTGACGTCGACAAATTGGTGGACGACGAAAACGAATTGCAAACGCGGAGCATGTCATTCAGCTTTGACAGCCAATATCATCCTTTGCAAGAGGTATCACGAGTATTTTTTGACCGATAAAAAGCCGATGAAAATTCCAAGAAGCTTTTTAATTTATACTTAAAACAACGATGCAGTTGGTGATCTTTTTCTATTTTTTACGGTTAGATTGTGGATGAGCTGAGAAACTTTGCAAACCAACATGCAGGAATTGCTTCCATTTTCAATTTGGGAAAATCTTATGAAGGGCGTGAACAGCAGGCAATTAAGGTGAAAATTGGTTGAATAGCTCCAATAGGAGAATGAATAATGAACGTCCTTAAATATAAACGACACAACTATTTTTTGAAGAACAGGACAAACCTGTCCTGAGTCGGTTGATTCCAAAATGTTAACATAAAGATCAAGTATGATCTCTTTCAGGAAAATGGTGTACCTAAGTTTTTCTCAGACAAAAAAGATTTTTCAAAATTTTACCATTGATTCAGTTTTACCGGGAATTTGTATCTGTGGTAGCGACGCTAACCATGTTTTATTTTTTTCCACAAATATATTCAGGCTATGATCTTCTTTAGCTAAACATGTCGATGTTGGGCTGACAAACAAAACATGACTGTCACTCAAATACCATATGCAAACATTTTATGGATAAAATTTGATTCCAGTGACGAAGGCAGCGATAGAACCTTAAACTCACGCAAAATTGGTTCGCATGAATTCACATTCAATAGGTATTTTTTAAGATACCTTAGGTCTTGACTTTTGTTTATGCTATTCTTTAACAATTATTCCACGAGTTCCTTTTGGATATGAAATGATAGATAGCCAACGAGGCCCATAGGGCCGAGTTGGCTGTAATCATCACTCATTTAACAAGCGCGAGTGAAATAATCGTTTTGAAATTATCAAAAAACTCCCCAAATAAAATCTTCCCAACTTTGTTTTGTAAGAACAAACGGAATGTTACAATGTAAAAAAACACTTTTGGTTTAACTCGTCTTCATGTGTGCACATGGTGTGATAGCTCATAATCCATGGTGGCTAAGCCAATGAAAACTCTTGATTGCATTATCCAATGATCCAGTTTTTAACAATCATAATTATTGCAGTTGAAGGGAAGATATAGACCAGGCAAGAAGGTCTTTTTCATGAACTGTGGGATTCATGCCCGTGAATGGGTATCTCCAGCGACCTGTATGTACATCATCAGACAGGTACGGGCTCCTTCAGTAATTAGGGCCCTTAGACAGTCTAGACAACGCTGAGGAAGATGTCGAATAAAAAAACGAATTTATATTTTTAGTTAGAATTTCGCGAATGGCTAGATGTGTTTACCGTCTCTTATATTAAACCATTTGTCTCTATCAAAACTGCTTGTTAACGTCTGTGAACAGTTGGTGGCGAGTTTTTTAAGGCCGGTTGGGTGTTTAATAAACAAGCCAAATGTTCTTCAAAAAGTGTTACCCGAGATAGGTACTCGATAGATCTCGTTCAAAGGTCGCTCATTTGGTTTTTGTACTCATATTCTCATCAGATAGTTTCCAAATACGGTAGAGACAGCAGTGTGACCGAAATGTTGGACAAGATGGATTTCGTTATTATGCCTGTTCTAAATGTCGATGGCTACGTTTTCACTTGGAATCCAGTTTGTATCCATCTTTTTGTCTCTATTTACAACTGAAGCTTCGTTCCTTAATTCATTTAAAATTCACCATCTTTCTCATTCTATAAATCTTTTGTTCCCTGAGAGTAACTAGCATATTATGTCCTTACATCATCACCTCTGAATCAAACGTTAAGGTCAAGAAAATAAAAATATGATCAACCACTAAGAAAGCTCTTAATTGTTAGACAATTTCTCGTTTTTGACAGAAAAGTAGAGATGGTAAGTTTTGAGCTCGGTGAAGAATTAAGAAAGATGTTTTTTCTTCTTGTCACGAGCGTGGGACTTTGCTCTTTGCTTTTGCTTTGATCCTTGCAGTATGCAGGACGCGTGTCATTAGAACTTCATAATAGACCCCGCTCACCGAAGAGTCTTTGTGGCTCAGTGGTAGAGCATCGGAGCGCAAATCCGAAGGTCTGAGGTTCGATTCCTCATGGGAACTCAGAATTTTTTCTTTGTCCCACGCTCGTGACAAGAAGAAAAAACATCTTTCAATTTCTCGTTGTCAGCATCTCAGGAAATGTATGGAGAACTGATATGTATACTGATGTTACGATCATTCAGCGAATACCAGGAATCGATGTTATTACTTCTCATAACTTTTGTATCCAAATCGAACTCATAGAGCAGCCGTAGGAACAGATTCTGGAGAAAGACACGTAAACCCAATAGAGGAAGCAGATGCATCGGAACAGACCCGAACAGGAACTGGGATTACATGTGGGGATGTAAGTTCAGCTCACACGACCTTCAGTGTATAACAAGAGGGAGTTTGAGAAACGACGACGGCGACGTGAACTTGCATTTTAAAAAAGAATCTCGCGATACTCTGAAGTCATTGTTTTGTTTCTCGCTGTCCAAGCTCTCTCGAAACTGAATTCTGAAGACAGCGTTAAGTTAGACATAGAAATTTTAAAAAATCAGCCGTCATCGTTTACATTCTCCAGACAACGCAAAGTTTAGTCATTTTACGTTGTTGTTTTGTAGAGGAGGAAAAGAAATTTGTAAAGATTTATAATGCACATGCACAGCTATTGTTCTTCTCTTTGAACCTTTTGTTTAGTGACGTTCCCGTTCCCGTTGCCGTTGTGGTTTTTTTAAACTCCCTAATGTCTTGCGGGAATACTCCTACATGGATTCATGTATACGTTAAACACCAGTCATTATTTAACAACTGGTGGGGAGGCGGAGGATTTTGGGGATCACAAGGTTTTCAGCGGAATAGAGGGGGATCAGTCGTCGCGCAACATATTGTAAAGGGAAGAGGATGCTACCCAAAAATTGACTGCTAATTACCTGCCCATAAGGGGGGAGCAAAAGAATATTGCGGATCCCCCCTACCCTACCCAACAAAGATGATAAAACATGACCAGTCCCTTAAATTTCTTAGTGGGGAATGATTCAATTCTTAAGTTATTAAATCTTTTTCAAAATATTTTCGAATCTGGATATCCCCAAGTGATCTAGGAATAACTTATCATACGTCACGAATGTTTTGCCTTGGTGACCACACCCTGATGTGTTCCATAATGGCAGATGGAGATTGGATACCTTCAGCACCTTCCATTTGAATGGAGGAGCTGAATAGCATTTCCTGTGAAAAGGGGCGGTTGGATCCGGTCCTTAGTTTAGAGGCAATGATAAAGACGTGTTTGTTTTTACCCAACGTTGACCTAATCTTGTAAGAGCGAAGATCCTACAAATTGCAGATATATTTCACTTATTTTAGCCTATGGTATAGTAAGAGTAGGACGAATTGCATGGTAGAGTAATTTCCTGGTAGAGAAACGGAGAAAACTCCAGAAGGCGAGCCTTTTGGCAGAAAATATTTAAAGAAAGCGACTCTCTGATACAATTTCTTCCCTACTCATCCCCCCACGCCCCACCCTCTACCCCCACCCTCTACCCCCACCGAAGGCTGGGTTTCGTTACTAATGGAAAGCACTCCTTATGCTTATAACTTCATCGATGGTTTATGTAGATCCTGGAGCGAGTTCAGACCCATGTCAAGATTCCTACAGAGGAACACATGCATTTTCCGAAAGAGAAGTGAAGAATGTAGCGAATTACTTAGAGACACTTAGCAGAAATGACCAAATAGCGGGCTATATGGACATTCATGCCTACAGTCAATTATGGATGACCCCCTGGGGATATACTAGACAGCCAACCAGAGACAACGAGGAATTGGTAATGAAACAGAAATTTGTTTTAACTAGATGTACTTCTCTTTATTATCTTCCCTTCAAAAACATTATCGACACAGTATTTAAAATTATGATTCCGAAATCTTGGACTCCTCTAAAGTTCGTTAAATGTTTTGTCTTGACGTTTTTAGATGAGAGTTAGCAAAGCTGCAGTAACAGCCATACGAAGGGCTGGTTATGGAACCTATTACAGATACGGGCCATCTTCCGTCATCATATGTAAGTTCATTACATAATTCGAAATCCATTTTTCATTAAACTATCACAGTTACAAATTTATTCATACCTCCTCCGCGTTACTGAGAGAAGAAGCACATGAACTTCCCCTCCCCTCCCAAAAAAGAAAAACATAATAGAGGTTCTTACTTTGTGACATCATTTGAGTAAGACATGAATTAGTAGAAACTGGAAAAGTGTTCTTCTTATCAAATGGCATGCGAAAGCATCCGCCCCCAGCTGCAGCCCATGAAAGTGCTTGACCCTTGTAGAAAAGATATGAGTGTGCGAAGCAAAGAAGCTTTTGATACTATGTATATTGTGGTTTTAAGTTTTACCTACGTATGTAAGATCCGCTTTTTGTATCATTCAAATGAAAGCTATAGCGGTAGTTTTATGTAGAGCTCTACTTAACGTGGTAAAGGCAGCATAGATTAGCAAGTAAGTCTGGTTCTCAAACTTTAATAGCAATTAGCCACACACGAGTACTTCTCAAATGTCTCGAATTGTTTTTGTACTTTGCGTGTGACATTTAGATGAAAGCTGCAAGAAAGAAATGTTCCGGAAATGAATTGCATGCACCATGCAGCTCTAACAATAAATTCTGTAATTGTGTTGGTAGACCAAAATTCTGGAGGCAGCAAGGACTATACGTATGGAAAACTGAAGATCAAATACTCATTTGCCTTAGAATTGAGGGATACGGGACGATATGGTTTTTTATTACCAGCACGTCAGATTGTTCCCACAGCAATGGAGACGTTTGAAGGAATTAAAGCGATGGCTGGGGAAATGAGAGTGTAGTCCGCTGGACTATATGCTTGTAAAGCAATAAAAAGGATTAAAAGCAATTGAATGATTTAATAAAAACGGGGCAATGGAAAAAAAGATGTTCCTTCTATATTAAGGTAATATTGTTGTATTGAATTTCGTATCCCTGTCAGGCACATTTTTCACAATTGATGAACAAATTTGAGCCTGGGTATTGCCCCTATTCAAAATCTGTCAACACTTAAGCAACTCTGAATTATAAAACCAATCTACTCAGTCGACCTGACCTACTTTCTTGTGCTGAACTCTCTGTTCATAATTAACCACACATGTGGGACTTCTTTAGTTACAAAAAAGGAAATTTTCTCCCGCTAACTACCAGCCATAATACTTCGGTAGTATTTTCTACGTAATTTAGCGCAGCTGTTTGTGAGTTTTCGTCGCTAATAAAATAGAACACAAAGGACATTCGATCCCTTTTGATAAGAAACGGAAAAGCTAGTTGTCATCAGAAGATTTCGGTACGTGATAACTTCAAGAACCAATTGCCAATTATAAACAAAGAAAAGATTCTCCTAATTAGCATATCTCGCTGCAGCTGCGCCATGCTCTCCTTATTGAAATCTTACAATATACGTTTTTGAGTATCCTGTCAACCTTTGAGTTATCTGAAAGAAACGGGAATGGTCTAAAAGTCTCGTCTGTAACCAAAACTCTTCACATAAGAATTCCGCACTTAGTCCACTTCTTGGACTACAAGGAAAAGGTAAGAGCAAATTCTTATGACAACCGCAACCTCGCATCTGAAAACCTCGCATCCGGAAAACCGTTCTTGAAAATTTTTTCCGAGGTAAACAAGGATCTATGTGTGATTTTGGTAGCAGAATGTTCTGTTAAGTGAGCGCGAGAAGAAATTGTGATGAAAGTTATTTAAATCTCAAAATCAAAAGAACACTTGCAAAATATTAATTCAAACGGGTATATACGAAAAAATCGCTTGAACTTTAGAAAGCTTTGATTTTTGCCTAGCTGGAATATTTTATAGTACTCCGACAAAATAGAGAAAAACGTTAAAAGATGTATACTAAACGTCGATGGTTATAATACAGGAAAAAAATTTGGCAACGATAATAACTTTCAAGAATAGACGCCACTTAATTGCAAAAAGTTAATTTAGAAAAAAATATTGTCAAATGATTTTTCATTTCACATATATGTATTTTTTGACATCTTGATACTTTAAGGTTATCAAATGTAACGCCGTATTTTAATCGACGTAGGTTTTTTTTAAACTTTCTTCCTATACTTATGGAAAATGATTTTGAAGTGATGTATCGAATTTCATTTTGGGATCAACTGTTTAACGTTTGGTACTTAGGCTTGCTTCCGGCAAACAAGTCAGGAGGTCTAGCTGGAAATGAAATATTATCACAAATAAGAGGAAACATGAAGCTTTCTTTTGCGCGTCGCGAATTTCTTTTCATTCGGTAAAATGCTTTTTTGACGACAAATGTAGAAGTCTCAGAATCAGATATTTGAGAGTCCTTTCAATCGAGAAAGTCGGATCGTAAATTTGAACCTCCACATCTTTTATTGCCAAAAGGTATACATTATTCCACTCAGAATATATAATTTTCCCCGAGGCAAACTTTTACTTTGACATTGATGAGTGAATCATACCGAATTGTAAAGTTTTTGGCCCAAAGTACTATCGCATGCATATTTTGAAGACCTTTTCTTCTATTGTGTTAACACCAAAATTGCTCTATATGCTCAGTAAATTCCATTTTATATCAGCCTTTGGAGCAAACATTGGCGGGAAAAGTTTCCACAAAAAAGTTTCGACATTTAAGATCTTAGGAGTATGTAGGAGGCTTTTCGCATCTAAACAATGAAAAAAGAACTTCTCAAAGGATTTATTTTTCGAAACTGTCTAGACTTCGAACCCAAACCGGCCTCCCATCGTGAAAATATTGTAACATCTGGTTATGATTTTCGGATGATTTCAGCCAGTTTCCATTTCACAAAGGATCTCGAAAATTCGAATTCTTCGAAGCTTTGTTAGTATTTCAACGAGTCAAGATCGTAATCAAGAAGAAACAGAGGTAGGAATTCAGACTAATTATTATCAAAGCCGACCGATTATTGACTGAAAGAAAACAGAGGGCCAAAAAAGATTCAATATTTGAGATTGAACAGCGTAAATAGCATTGCCATTAGCAGTTTTTAGTCTCTGAATCAATATTGTACGTTTAATAAGTCAATTTGTGTAAAATGTTGGGTTAAATGACGTTATGAAGACGTTGATGAAAACAAAAGCTGTACAGGCTACAACTAGTGATCATTTAATATATGGTCTTCTAATGACAGAGGGTTGTTTCGAGTTGTTAAGCAACAGGTAATAAGTTTTCTTATCATTTAATATTGATTAACGAAACATCAAAATATCCGTTCGGGATTGTTCCATAGAGTAGGAAGCAAGCTCTCAGATCAGGAACATTTGCGCATCAAGACTCTTTGAGGGAAGTGGTGAAGATTTTGTCAAGAAAGCAGTATACCTACCTTAAAGAAAACATGCAAAGTCTGTGCCAGGAGATTTTGAAAACCAAAGTTAGTCTAAACGACGCTCCATACGATAACTTGTCCGCCGACAAAAGTGTTCGTTAGGCGTGACCAAGACAGAATTTCTCCTTACAATATCGATACAATATCAAGCAGAAAAGTGATAAGAATAAGGAAAAATATATATTAGAGGATTATTAGTTGATCCAATATCAAAGTCTCGGGAATTGTGTAGAAAACATTAAGGAAATTACCCATGAGATCTTGGGAGTGAAGGAGTTACGAAACACTCTTCCCTTGGCTTACTTCCTTGCGTTAAGTCGATAAATATTCAAAACTCAATATTAGGTCAACAGAAATGATTAATGACAAAAAGTTTATTTCAGAAGCTTTTTCATCTTCTAACAAGAGTTTATTCAAAAGTTCCGAACAAAATTAACCTCTGAAGCGTCATGTCAAGCTTCATCATCTGAACAACTCTTAGCTTCTTTGTCAGTTAACTACTGAACATACCGCCTGGCTTTCAATCGCTCACGTAGACAATAAACTTGACTGACTTCAAAAGATGCAATTGGAAAAGATGATAGAGCAGTTTTCAATTGGGTGTCAAAAAACCGAAACCAAAGTAATCCCAACAACCAATCATAACGATGGTTTACAATATCATTAACCAATGAGAACTCGACGTGAAAAACGAAGAAAAACGCGAGCAACCAAGTCGCGACTGTTTACAGTTTTTGCACTTGATCAGTTGAGGAGATCGAGCGGAAGTTAAGTAAAACCTAAGCAACCACGGATCACTTTTGACATCCGATTGGAAATTTCTCTAAGGCTCAATTTCAAAGATCTGCTTTGATTTTAAAAAACAGGGTTTCGCTATTGTTTTAACATTACCCGAACCTCCCTCCTCATCATGTCATGTCAGTCTTAGCAGTCGAGAAGGTACCTAAAAGGAATTCAGCCACGTATAACTTAGCTGATCTCAATGAGTATAGCCCTTAACATCGAATTCGATACATAACACCTCGCCAATCGGGCAATGAGTTTGCAATGGATGCCGTTTTAAATTTCAATAAAGTAGTAGATGTCTGAACTAGAAATAATGGCAATAATTTTAATTGTAGATACCCTATACATTTTACGATAGTCATCAACTCAGGCCTTATTTTTCTTTGTAATAGAAGTCTGGCGCTAATGAGAAAGTTTTTCATTACAGCGTGTATGTCATTTATTTGCACATTTTTAGATTAGCCACACATGAAACAGACCGACAGTATGAGTACAGACATAGCGCAATTAAATAGACTCTGCTTTTTGACATTTTGACTTACGTGAGTTACGCATTGACGTTCGTAGACTGTATGTATTTGCTTTTAATAGAATACTTTGTCCATCCTTTGATGACTTATTAAAACTCAGAAAAGCAAGATTAATTTCTTCTTTTCGACTCTCAAAAACCATAGTCGAACCATTTTGGTAAGAGGAAATACTTGAGAAATATCAGATTGTATCTAGATCGCAATCAAAAGCAGAGGTTTGGGAATATCTAAATCATACAAGTCTGATCGTGTTTATTAATATTTCCAGCTAAAAGGTCTTGTTTAGCGAAAGATTGTCATATATCGTATTTTTCCTCATTTAACTTTCGCGAAATAAGCTGAAAAAGATTGTCTGCCTGCAAGTGTGTTCGGTTGGATTTGAGAGATGTAATGTTCAGATAATTGATTGAATGCAGAAGATTGGAGATAAGATTTGACTGTCGATCGATCATTACAAATATCTCCTCATCAGCCACTTTGAACTCTTTGAATCAGAGCGGTTAGTATCTCTATTCTATGCAGTGTCTTTAATTTTTTGTATTTATGTAGTCTATGATTACTTCAATTTTATCTCGACGAATTTCTGGCATTGATTTTACAGCCAGGGTTCATCTCCGTTTAGTTTTTTTTTTTAACTACATGTGTATAATTATGAACTCTTTTATGGTTGTTATCTTCACTTTTACATTTGTTAAGCTTTCTAGATTATAAAATTTTTCTCTTGATGGGGCTAACAGTAATTTTGCTCTCCTGGGCGATGAATTTGATTTAGTGAGCATGCGAATCATCCATTTTAAGAAGAGACCAATTATGCAAAGTAGTTATTATTAATTTCAATTATTAATTGAAAGATGTCAAACACGTTTAGACAGTGTCGAAGAAAGAAAATGTTCAAGATTTTATGAGGCGTTAGGTGGATGAAATTACAAACTGTGAGACGATGAGCGAATCAAGATGGCGTGCAATTCATTGAAAATATATAATAATGAATTGTTTGTGGACTGAAAAATAACTTGTTTTTGGTGACAAACTTGTTTTTATTGAGTCTTAGAGATGATCCCGCTGTGGCTATTGCCAGTTTTCATATTGATTCTTCATCCGCAATGCTCGCTGTTCAGAGCAGAGGGAGGATGTCCAAGGAATGAGAATGGACAGCAGCAAAACTGGCGGTATGCGGTCTACGAACGCAAGGAAAAAGGTTTGCCACAGCATAAGGAAATATGGAAGCTAATGAACATAGAGAACATGAGCTGGGAAAATCATCGCCCTATACTACCCTCTTTCAAATTCAACTTTTCAGATCTAATTTTACCAACTATTCGTACTGTCCAGCTGCCGTGGTCATGACTTCTCGTTTATCATGATGAATTTATTTTGACATGATGAATTTATTTTGACATGATGATGCCCATTATGGGTGACGGGTTTTGTACACCGCTGAAAATTTACTATACGTGACACGTCTGTCGCTGAATTTTCAAAAGTCAATTTTGGAAAAGAGCACTCTTTCACATAAAGGACATTATATTTATTGAATTATAGGGAGTTGATCTTAGCACATGTTCCATTGGATAAAGTAAATCCCCGTTATAGGTGCTGTGCCAAAGGCTACCTTCTACACGTGGACTCGAAAATCCGAGGATCGATGATGTCAGATGTCCTCGAGTGTTGAATAAACGTTTTCGTGAGCAGTGAATTGGCCCAAAAATCATTTCCTATAATTTAGGTATTTTTTGGCACCCTACATACTTTTAAGTATTGAAAATAGGTAGTTTCCATATGCTTTTGGTCTGTTTGGTCTCACTAAAAAATCGAAAAATAGATCCCTTCTTCACCCCATGCATAAATGGCCGACTCGATCAGTATTCATTTGTGATAATGTAGATAAGCCCAACTAACCTCTTCAGTGTGTCTAAGAAAAAATAAAACCTTAACTCAAAGATGAGGCTATTTGCATGGGTTAATTTACACGAGTACAAAAGAATACTAATTGGACCTGTCAGTTATGTATAATGTCTATGCCAATGATGATCTTAACGATGGCTTGTACAACATCAAAGTACTGTGCTGCCAAATTTGTTTTCACGCATGCTCTGGATACAGTTTGAGCCATCTATGATTGGTTCACTGTCCTGGGTCACTTTCTGTCAACAGGCAGGGCATTGAAGAATCACGTGTTCTCCTCAAGAATTGTTCGATCAGAAATAGAGTGTTCTTTGACATGCTTGCGCTACGAGAGGTGTGAATCGTTTAACTATCGAGACAATATTGTTGAAGGACCACACATTTGCGAATTGAATGACCAGACGAGATTGAAGAGGTTGCATGATGTACAACCAAGAAATGGTTTCTCATATTACGACTCTGAATTGGTAAGTTTTCCTGTCCGTTTTAAATTAATAAAATGCGACTCCAAAAATTTCGTTAAAAGAGTACGGAAGGACCAACAGAACCAACATTTCCATGGCTATTTTCACATAAAATGTAATATTTCGAACTCTCTCATATCCTTTCCTACCATAGCCAAAAATACGTATTTCCCAAAGCAACTCCATCTCTTAATATGAAAAATTCTAAAATATCAGTTTTTATTTTCATAGAAACCCTGCTTAAACGTGAAATGCCAAAATGGTGGAACATGCCATCCAGTGTTGAACAGCATAATAGCTCCTTATTGTTGCCAGTGTCACGAACGTTACGCTGGTGATCTTTGCCAACATCTAAAGGGTAAGAATTACAAACAACTTTTAATATTGTGTATCGCAGTACAAAATTGTTGTTTGAGACGGCATCCCCCATACGCATATTACACCAAATCTTAACTCCCACGTGCTATTTTTAGAATCAGGGTAACAGGTCCAGTCTTTCCTTAGCATTTCTCGAATTTCTTGGATGGAGACCAATGAGGTGCAATTTGACTTTAAAGGTCAAAAAAATTTCGCGACACAGGATTGGCTATCCGTGGATCTTTGAGGAACCTTAGAGAACGGGAATGTTCTCAAAATTACTCACGTGATGTCGTCACGAAAATTATACAAAGAAAAACGTAGTTCCTTGAGAAGAAACTAGGCCAGATTTCCATTCTTTGTTGGGCTGGATTGCATTAAGATAGGGGTCGTTAAATACAAAAAGGCTCAAGGATATTCCATTTAGGATTGCGTAAGTTTTAAGGCTTTCTGTTTCTTTTTCTCCTCTAGTAAAATCCCGCGAATTGAAATATAATTTGTAATAATAATTTGTTGTTATGTTTTAACTGCCCTTACGTCTCCCGCGCAGGTTTCCGTTTCACCAATGGCAGTTCAGGAGATCATGTGTTAGTTTCAGTCGGCGTAAGCATTCAGATGACGTCATTGACAGTTTGCCTCCGATTTAAAGCCACTCCAATGCAATATGAAGTTAGCACTCCTTTGTCATACGTAACCAGTGATTTCACCAGCGCTTTACAGCTTTACACAAATGGGACCATAAGAATTTACATCAACGATCAATTCAGGTAAGCTATTTGCGCTTAATAAAAGTTTGAAAAACTGTTACTGAGACATAAAAGGCAAAAAAAAGGTATGCGTTTGGGTACATGTCGTTATGAAAATTGTACAAAGAAAAACGTAGTTTGTGCTCCTTGTTTGCATATCGGTTGGATAGGAAGAATATCACCTCCAAATGTAAATTTTGAAGGAGGGTCTATCTTACATAGCTCCATTTTATCAGGCATAGTAAAATCATCCCAGTCAGTCAAAAAACTGTTATCCATCTTTGTATCCTAGTGATTTTCCGTATGTCCCTGTTTTGGATAACACCTGGCATCACGTGTGTTTCACGTGGGAAACAGCTGGAGGAAACGTCTCACTCTATATGGACGGCTTTCTGATTGGAAAAAAGCAAAGTGTGAACCCGGGAATGGTTTTCAACAGTTCAGGATCTATAGTGATTGGGCAGTTGCAGAGACTGGTTGGCGGCGAATTTCACAAGAATGAATCTTTCTTCGGAGATATTACGGATGTGAATATGTGGAAAGCTGAGTTGTCAATCAGCACTATAACGAGGCTTTCACAGAGCTGCTATAGTCACATGGGTAGCTTGATAAGCTGGTACGCATTTCGAACTGGGACGGAGCAGTTCGTTAACGAGACAAACAGTAACTCTTCAGAATGTCTGGGGCTTGGTGAGTACACGTGTCAAGTAATCTACTGTCATTTTCCGATTAGCAATAAGAGAGAAAAATTATAGGAAAGAAATCAAGTTAGTTACCAACTCAGTCAGCCACTAATGCATCAGTCTAGCAGTCAATCAGGTAATCATTTAATTTGTCTTTTAACTCAATAACTCAATGGTTCTTTCAGTCAGTCAGTCAGTCAGTCAGCCAGTTAGCCAGTCGGTCAGTCAGTTTGTGAGTGAGCAATTTGGTAAGTCAGCGAGTTAGTTAGTGAGTGAGTGAAAGAGTGAGTGAGTCGGTCGGTCGGTCGGTCGGTCGGTCGGTCGGTCGGTCGGTCGGTCGGTCGGTCGGTCGGTCGGTCGGTCGGTCGGTCGGTCGGTCGGTCGGTCAGTCAGTCAGTCAAATAGTCCGTTAATCTTCCACTTGGCCAATCATTCATTTCATATTTGTTGTTTTGTTTTGTTGTTTACTGTCAGATCCCCATTTCGGCTACGATTTGGAATTTCCAAGAAGAACAAACGAAGACTATGTTTACGGCCCGACGCTCTCAGCTTTGTCAGCTTTTACTGTGAGTTTGTTTGTGAGCTTCACAGACAACGGCGACAAAACATACTTCAACTACTACGCTAGTGGAGCTTACAATGAAATATTTATTCATGAAAGGAATAAGGAGTTTATAGTTCGAATAAAAGACGTAAAAAGGTAATGTAACCCAAAATGGCCTGAGGATGTGTGAGTTCATATTAATGATTTACGGCTCATATGAGATGGTTCAGTCTCCAGGATAACTTAATACTCTTTTGATTTCAGGCAACATGATTTTGTCATTCCACCGGACGGTACCTGGCACCACCTCGCCATTACATGGGAAAATACGAATGGTTCTTATGAAATATTCCTGGATGGTGTGACTTCTGGAAGTGGTAACGAATTGGAAAAGGGACAAACGATTCATCCTAACGGAAGTGTTGTCATTGGAAACGATAAAGACCTAAATGGTTTTCAGGCCAGAGATGCTTATGTGGGAAACATTTCTCGAGTGAATCTGTGGGATTATGTGCTGCCTCGAGAAACTATTTTATTGCTCTCCCAACGCTGTGGAATGGAAAGTGGTAATGAAGTATCCTGGAGGGATTTCAAGGAGGGACCTTATCATGGTGTGGTCAACATCAAGGAACCTTCATCCTGTCAAAAGCTTCAATAAGAAAAGAGAGACTTATAAAAATTGAAATGAGGACATAAAATTATTCTATGGGCCATTGGTCAATCTGATGTTTGATGTTTTTTGTAAAAAGTCCGGGCTTTTCATACAGGATCCGCAACGGAGAAACTAAGCTTAGAATAGCTGCTTTTATTCTATCGAAGAGCTACAAAGTCCAGTTTTGGGATAGGAGGAGGGAGATAAGATAGCTAGCCAATCTCCTCACTCCTACTCGATACACTGCGATACACTTACAATGGAACGCTTTTTCATTGAGTGTCGTAAAACCAAAATTAATTTAATGACAACGCTCAACAAAAGAACACCAAAGCAAAGAAAATTTCGAGACAAGCCTGTGAGAACACTATGAAAAAACAAGCTAAGGTAACATGATTTATTTAGACCAATCACAGAGCGAGACAGAGAACCTAATTCAAATTCGAATCACTTTCGATACTCGATTTGAAAGTGCTCTAATATTTTCGCTTAAAGGAATAGATGATCGCAATATAAAGTGGTATATTTTGTCATCATGTACGGCTCATAAATTTATGACAACGATTCACTTTTATCCATGGCATTTTAAGGTGTTACTGAGTTTGTACATGGTGTTGCAGGTTTCAGTTTGGTACTTTGTGTGTGGTGGGCATACCCTACCCAAATAAAACTGAAATAAGGAAGTGTTTAAAGGCACCATACCCCCCCTTCTCTGACTCTCTACAAAGATGAAAATCCTTATCGCCAAGAATTAAACTTTGATTTAGTCTATTACAAAACAGCAATTGTGGAGTCCACCCTCTATTGCTGAATGATAACTCAAACACTTTATCACTGGCATCATTACGATGCTGACGACTGCGCAGATTCTTAGAACTGTTATATTGTTCGCAACTTTATAACAAATACTGAGTGACTGTGATTGATATAGCAGTGATTAAACTCTCACACTTTAAAATCAAATACCCCCTTTAATCAATGTTCTCTGGAAATTTTTTCTCGGGACATTTTTCAATGGTAATTATAACGCAACTGACAGACACTTCTTCATCAGATTTTAAGTGCTGCACCCATTGCCTTGATGGCAGCGAACGTCTCCAGACCAGTTGGTATTATCTGATTGGCTGGCAATAAAAAGCCATATTGTCCCTTATCTCTCAGTTCCAGGGCAAATGAGTACCTCACGCCAAGGATCCCATATGCCCAGTCCTTTGTAGATCCTGAATTTGCGTCTGAAAAAGGACATAATGAAATTTATATTAATAAATTCAACTCAATGATCTAACTTTACGAATTGTTTAACAGTCAATACATAACAGATAGCTAGTCAATCAAATTCTAAGCCAACCAAACAGTTAGCCTGTACATCAATCAATCAATCAATCAAACCGTCGATTAAACAACCAATCAATCAATCAAACGAACGAGAAACCAATCAGAAAATGACATGAACAAAATAAGGAGGTAACCGTTTAAATTTTCCCACAAATTTCCATTTGAAAAAGATTCTGATCATATTCCCCCACCATGTCACAATAAGCAATATGTCATATCTAATTTATAATATTTTGTCATTTCTGATCGATCTCTTTGAGACAAAGCTCGGTTGTTGATAGTCAGAGAGTAAATATGTTCTTGATCGTTATTAGTTTCGCAGTATTTGTGGCCTCATTTATTTATTTTCTATCACTATTAATGCTGTTTGCAAGGCCGGAATTGCAAGACTTTTAATGATTTAAGGAATTCTATGAGCCTCCAAAGTTTTCTCTGTTTTATCCTCTATTTCATGCTCGACTTAGGGTTTCGTTTGGAGGCGGGCAAGTTCGAATGATCATAAAAGAAACGACTGTTTTGCACCAATGTTTTGTTTCACAACCAAATGGGCTTCTAGTGTCTAAGATTCTAAGCTTTAATGTGACAATCAACTCACACATGACTTTTAGAAAACCTCTGTAGCAATAGAATGCAACATGATTTTCTTATCATAGTTTTTCAACTCACAAATAATAATAGACGAGGGACCAACTCTATATTGCGTCCGGTATCCAGCATTATAAAGTGCGTTGACTGCAATGTCAGAGACACGTTTCTGAGTGAAAAAAAAAAGCAAGCAAATTATAAAAAACCATAACAACAGAATGCTTATGGTCATGATTGCTAATAAGATTTATGCAACAGCTGCTCTAGTCTGTAACTATGAACTTAACCTCAAGACATCAAACTATCGTCTTAGCCACGACTCGCCCCACCCTCCCTTTCCTTCCAGTGGAATAATTTTTGCGAGCAGAACATTAACCCTTGACTCCACGCATGATGAACTTAGAGTGGGACTATAATCTGTATTTCAGGGGGGGTTCTATTAGAAAAAACTAGATGTTTATCACTTCTAGGGGTCAAAGAATGAAGATAATGCAAATTATTTCCCTATCACATTCTTCAATGTTATCGTCTTTCCAGCCAATAAAAGCGGACTCTGAGCCCTTTCCTTGGAAATTATCGAGCGTTTGTTATGCATCGCCTAGCAGAGGCAGAGGATTTTGGTTTTCTCTCGATGACATTTACCTGATCCCCCCATAAGGCCGTGTAGTATTCTAATGATCCCCCTCATTGGCAGTCAATCAACAGTCAACTTTTTACATTCCTATTTACACTACGTTGGTCCCACCTTCCGTTCCCCCTGTGTGATATCCCTTAAAACTCCTCAGACCTTTCTCCCCTAGGCAATCAATATTAACTGGTCTCTCACCAGCTCCGTGTAGTCTTTTGGGTAGGCTCTTTTGTAACCCCAGGGGGTCATCCAGAGTTGACTGTAAGCATGAATGTCCATGTAACCAATCAGGTTTCTTCGATTTTTGTAAAGATATCGAGCCACATTCCTGACTTCGATCTCAGAGAAAGGTCGTGGTCCGTGGTAGGTATCCCTGCATGGGTTGCTACTAGTACCAACTCCTGAGAAAGTGAAAAACGAGTTATGTGCGAAAAACGTAAGTAGACGAGTGTTCGAGTCCTGACGGGGAATTTTGATTGGTCTTAGGGACCAGTCATTTTTTATCACCGAGGGGGAGAGGGCAGAGGATTTGTGGGGATCACATGGTTTCCAGGGGTAACGGAGGGGGGTCAGCCGTCGCTAATAACGTATAAAGGGAGAATTTACAAAGGGAGAGTTGATGGCAAATTAATCGCCCATGAGGGAAGCGAGAGGAGGGGGGGGGGGGGGGTTTGGAGGGCGTCATAAGAGTAATTTAGAGCCTTATGGAGAATCAGGCAAATGTTATCGTGACAAAAGACAAAATCCTCCATTCCTCCACAAGAGATTATAGATTATGACCAGTCCCTTATTGCTTTACATCCATTGACATGGGAAGTTCGAAGTGTGTTCGAAAGTATCCATTTCTTGCAGCAGAAAACACAATTTCTGTGATGCGAACACAAATCTTACATTGGAGCTTAAAGTTTTACGATCTCAATATACGTTCTTTAGTACTGACCTCTTGTTAAGGTAGAACTCCATCTTTTTTTAAAATTGATAGTGATTGTCATTAACATTACCTGCCCATCCGAAGTTCCAGTTACGGTTGGGGTCTGTGCCTAAGCAACTAGACCCACTATTTCGAGACATAGTCTTTCTCCACATTCGATTCTATAAAAGTTTAACAGTTAGTTATCAGTTTAAGGTTTCAAATTCTCCGATCACTTTTACGACTTTGCCTGAATGACTTCAAATCACATAGCGTGGCCCTTCGTTAACATTTTTGAACGCGAGCCAGGAAACTGGGATGAGTACATGAAGTCGAAGCTCATTGGAATTTTTCATGGAAGAAATATTATGAAACCAAGTGCTCATGCTTTTTAACAGCTGTTTAAACGAATTCTCATCCTTAACTGAAAATATTTCATGATAGGGCATTATAAGAGAGAAAAAAGGCCACTTAGTTCAAGGTAATTTAGGGGCCGCATGGCTTGTACTTCTCTTAAAACGTTCCTTTGGAGTTTTGTTGCACTTACCCCGGTGTGAGTGAATTCATATCCATCCACATTAAATACTGGCATGATCACCCAATCCAGCCTATCCACCATGTTAGTGACGGACGCGTCTTTGCCATATTTCTTCAGCATCTGTTCGTAAATTTAAAAGAGCCACTAGTTATAACAATAATGTGCCCCAAGAAGCCCTTAAAGAGTTTTCATGTCCGAAGGAGACGGGATCCAAGCGTCTATATACCGTGTGCAGTCTCCTCACGCAATTGCGTAGCACGACATGTGATGACGGCTGTAAATGAATTCAAAAGAACCCGGCCTGAATTGTTTTCAAAAGCTGAATGATGTTGCTTTATATAGATTTAATAGTGTTGATTTCTTTTGACATGTCAGTCAGCTCTCAGAAACCCTTTCGAGCCATTTTCAAATGCAAGCACTATAGGAAAGCTCACATCACTGCTTAAGGGAAAAAGATGAAGTCGCCCCTTGCATGATCAACCCAAGTTCCATCGACCTGATGTATGGTTGCGTCGCCCCCAACTTGAAATTACGTCGCCACGGACTTTTGACCTAAGTTTATGCGAGGTTACCACGAAATACAATCACGCAAGTTAATAGGTTTGCCTATTAGAATTGACATGTTTGATTTATGTTAACAAAAAACTCAAACACACCTGATTTATCATGAACATACAAGTCGCAGGAGTGATCCACTCGCGAGCATGAATTCCACAGTTGATAAAAAATGTTTTGCGTCCAGCGTTAGGATTGGATGATATCTAGACAAAAAAACATTAAAAAAATACAAATTAAAGACATAATGGAGAACTTAGACAAACTGCGACGGCGACGGCAAAAAGGACGTGGCAAAGCGTAAGATCTAATGGTTAGAACAATACCAACAAGTTCGTTTCAAAACTTTGTACATTTCTCAGCCGTCCTCTGCAAAACAACAACGTGAAATCACCAGAATTTGCGTCGTCTGCGAATGGAAACCGCAATGGCAAATTATTTTAATTTCCATTTGGAACTGAAAGCTGCTTACATACGTTAGGCTGAAGTTAAGGCATATTTGTGCGTGGGGGAGGAGAAGGTAAAGGCATGCAGCCATTGTCGAAATTCTTACTTAGAATAGGAACTCATTTTTCAATCGACGACTTCCTCGACGTTGGCGTCCTGACTGCTTAAGGTCCCTGATATCAAACATGAAGACACCTTCAATTTCTTCAGTGATGTGCAGCTGACCCTTCAACTACAAAAATACCCATGACTCTCCAGGTTCCCCCCCCCCCCACCTCTCCCTCCCCCTCCCCCCAGGTAATTAATGACTCTTTAATAGCCTATGGTGAGGCTTAATAAAATATAGGACATAAAAACAAAGTAAAGATAATACGTACATAGAAAAAACAAAATATTCTTGGACATTTTTCCGAGTTTTACCACAGTCAGCAGAGTTCGTTTCGTTTTTCTTCGAAGATTTAGGTCTTGTAATCTTAGTGGAATTTGTATGTCAAGAGCGTCAATTTACACATACACAAAAAGACACAATTGAAGGACCCTGGCAATTGAAATAAAATGAAATTACCCCAAATTACTTTTGAAAAACTCACCTTTACAGCATAAATCGTCCTTTTCTCGTATGACGTGCCGAACTCTTCCACTAAACTTGCCAAATTTGGATGAGAAGAAACAAGGCTCCTGAGTTCATCTACCATCTACAAAATTTAAACATAATTATTAAAAATCTATTCATCTTGACGAAAATTAATTTGGAGTTAAACAACCGGCTTAGTTGTCATAGAAGAGAAAAGTTTGAAAAATAAAGTGAAAGTCCCCCATGCAGATTCAAACTCCTATTTGAGGTGAAATGCACTCCTAACTGAATCACGGGGAATTTGCTAGTTAGGACATAGGTAAATATTTTTTCTAGCCCAATTCCTCCTCGGAAATAAGCGAACGAAGAGGTATCCTGCGGAAATATCACCACTGAATTACCCTTTATCCATTTTTTTATTCACTTGAAATGTTCCGATCGTCGTGCATACTTCCACTGCTGCCCTGTCCTGAAGACAGAGTGAGTGGTATGATACATTTTGAGCTTGGTTATCCAATAGTGAAGATTTTGAGAACCCGCAGACGGTTGCAAGATTTCGTGCTTCATTTTATTTTTCCTAGTGAACCTTTTTGATAAACTTTTCCCAAAAATTATATCAAAAGGTGACAATTGGCCTGCATACCACTAAGATTAGGCATGTTTTTCAAATGTAAGTGATCTGACCTCACCGGAGTTAGCCTATTGTAACGACCATAGTCGTATGCTCTTGCTGATCGGGCTGGAGGCGGGTTCTCACTTTCCAACAAGTCTTGCACATCCGGGATAAGAATGGTAAATATGATCCCATTAGACTCCAGTAGCTTAGCGAGACGAGGGTACTGCAAAGCACTCACACGAATATCAACAGCTGCACCTACGTGGGAGGGGTGAGTCCAAAAATCTACTTCGAACTAAATAGGCACAAAATAAAAACGTAAGTTACACTTAGTGAGATTGTAAATAAAGGGTTATACTCTTCTATTTTTAGAGGCGCTAATTTTTTCGCTCTCACAGCTAATCGTCTCTCTCTCACACCCACTTCATTAGACTTAAAAAAAAGGAAAGAAAGAGAGAGAGAAATAAAAGAATGCTATTTATTTTCCACACTGTTGTCACTTTTCTTAGCCTTATTCTCGTTCTGTCACTCTGTCACTCTGTCACTCTGTCACGCTGTCACTCGGTCACTCTGTCACTCTATCATTCTGTCATTCTATCATTCTGTCATTCTGTCACTCTATCATTCTGTCATTCTATCATTCTGTCATTCTGTCATTCTATCATTCTATCATTCTATCATTCTATCATTCTATCATTCTATCATTCTATCATTCTATCATTCTATCATTCTATCATTCTATCATTCTATCATTCTATCATTCTGTTATTCTATCTTTCTGTCATTCTGTCAGTCTATCATTCTGTCATTCTGTCACTCTGTCATTCTGTCATTCTGTCATTCTGTCACTCTATCATTCTGTCATTCTATCATTCTGTCATTCTGTCATTCTGTCATTCTGTCATTCTATCATTCTATCATTCTATCATTCTGTCATTCTATCATTCTATCATTCTATCATTCTATCATTCTATCATTCTGTTATTCTATCATTCTGTCATTCTGTCAGTCTATCATTCTGTCATTCTGTCACTCTGTCATTCTGTCATTCTGTCATTCTGTCATTCTATCATTCTATCATTCTATCATTCTGTCATTCTATCATTCTGTCATTCTGTCAGTCTATCATTCTGTCATTCTGTTAATCTATCATTCTGTCGTTCTGTCATTCTGTCATTCTGTCACGCTGTCACGCTGTCACTCGATCACTCTGTCACTCTGTCACTCTGTCACTCTGTCATTCTGTCACTCTATCATTCTGTCATTCTGTCACTCTATCATTCTGTCATTCTATCATTCTGTCATTCTGTCATTCTATCATTCTATCATTCTATCATTCTGTCATTCTGTCATTCTGTCATTCTATCATTCTGTCATTCTGTCATTCTGTCATTCTGTCAATCTATCATTCTGTCGTTCTGTCATTCTGTCATTCTCCCATTCTGTCATTCTCATTCGGCTATTCTTATTGCACTGCTTTCGTCCTTGATTAAATCACTGCCCTTTTTTTTCACGAAAAGAAAACATTTGTGCAATAAACCGGTGAAATCAATGTAGTCATTCTTCTCACACAGTGATTAGATGTCCTCTAATTGACTTTTTACTCACATTGCCGGACTCTTCAAGATTCGTAAGAAGCTTTAGCTGGGCTTCATTTGCGGGAGTAGCTCGAATAACACGATACCTAGAATGAAAATGAACACGAAAGATCATTTTACGACAAATCATCACAAGAGACTATAGTTAAAGAAATGTTGTTTGGAATTTAATCTGTTCTCGAATTCCTCATGGTACTCATTAATTTTTCCGAGAGAAATTAATCACAATGCCTTGGGCAAAATATCTAAAGCAAACAAAGTGTTTCAAAGAAAATCGAACATAAGAATTTAAGTACGCACACCCTCTATGGTCCATGGGCGTGTTGAAATAAGAAGAACTATTGTTAAAGCAACAGTCAAAATTTGTATCGCCTCTTATTTTGAGAAATAGTTCACCAAGGGAATTGGGGAGTATTCCGTGTTTATATAACGTCATCTGAATACTCTGATGCTCAGGAGAACTCGAGAAAGTAGAATAACTTTCATGGATTCTCTAAATCCACCTTGCTTTTAGATGAAGCTATGTGAAGACCGTAATTGCTCTCTGTTGCTTACGTAATGACTAGCACAGAAATTTATCCCACGGTTTTGCAGCATTATAAACACGATCGCTGATGCGAATAATAATTCCAAAGCTGTAGCTAAGATTTGTTATGCTGATCCAGTGGCACATTTTCCGGAACGGGTGTTGATTGCAAGCGTATGTTATTCTCGTCCCAGGGAGGGAGGGCCTGGAATCACTCGACGCTCCATGGAGACTGGGACCAGCTCACTCTGTGTAAACACTTGACACAGCGGTCTGACTGCACATACAATTCGCCATCGTTAAGTTTATGAATTCATTTTTTCTTATTCAATCGCATACTTAAGGCAATTTCTGAAAATCTTGTCGGTAGAAAACTTGAGTGATTTAAAGTACCTTTACATATTCAAAATTAGTGTGTGTTCGCGTAAGTTTAGTCTCAAGGAAAAATTAGCTAATCTTTCAGCAAATAATTCAAATTTAATTCACCATTTCTCCGAAAGCCGACTGGGGGAGCAGAGGAAGGGGTTAAAATTTTGGCTTTCGAAAAATCGTGTGATTTCACAGCTCTTAATTTGAGCAACGTATCGACATACAAAATGTAACACAATAGAACGTTAGATAAAGTAACAAAACTGTAACATACCTACAGTAATCAGATTTTTACCAGATAACAGAAGCACTTCCCGTTTTCAATTTTTTAAGCCACTACTTAAAGACACATACTGCATCATGGATATCTATTTTAAATTTCTTTGCCACTCACCCTTTAAAATTTGCTCGTTCCTCGCAAAGACATTTCCCAAAAACACAAAACAGAAAAATAAAAACCAAAGTGCGCTGCATTTTGGAGACAGCTTTAAAACGCAACCACCTCCAAGAAAACTGGTCAAAGTGTGCCGATTTCTTTCCCCTGAATGGAGATCACTCGAAATGAAGCTTTTAAAGCCCCTGTCAATCGAGGGCAGCTGAGGTAAACAAGCAAAAGAATTGGTTTTTTATTTCTTTTGTTTTTCAAGTCGCCTTAGGCTTTGCAGGAGTACATGTTTAATAGAGTCGGACAAAATTTTGAAAATGAGCTTTGTTTTGAGTGACCATGAATCAAAGGTTGTTTGTGCAAAAGGCTTCGATTTTGCGCTTTTGCAACCAGCTCGACTGGTTTTATTTGGGTAGCTGCTCCAGCGAAGCCCGCACTTTTTAAAGATGTTTTAAGTCATCAGTTTCCTTCCGCAGATATTTATTTTTCAAAAATTTCCAAAGATCTATAACAAATATCTGTTAAATATGTATGCTGTAAATGATCAAAAATCATTTTCAAAAACTGCTTTACACAATCTATAATTGAAGAAATCTGTATGCTTAAGAAGGCTCCTTTTTGACCACAAGAGCGGTTGCTAAGGAAAAATTCGGCGAGCAAGTTGTCAGCGGTATTTCTTGCAAATACTGCCGCTTGCCGACCAGCATCCAGATGGCAGAAAATATGAACAATCTACCTGATCGAAAACCTAATCAAAAGTGGCTCAAAATTGCCTTTACATTCGGCGTGAGTCTTTTTTTTTTTTTTTTTTTTTTTTTTTTAACGGCGTTTTTCTGCTTCGTTTGCGTTGTTCAAGCGATGATCGAAAGAGGGTGCGAAGAGCGTGCGACACCGTTCTCTGTGACTCGGTGGTAACGCGTCGGAATGTAAAAGGCGAAGGTGAATGTTTCATTTTCCATAGGGGCTCAGGTTCTCCAATAAATGCCTTCAAAAACCTGTTTAAAGGAGGTCTTAAGATTTTCATGAAATGAAACTAATAATGCTCATCATCGGTTTTAGACGCCTTGTAGACCTCTCGCTGACTCGCGTTCCTTAAGGCCACTTCCTTTCCGCGTACGAAGAAACGCGCGTTCTGAAGCGCTGATAATGAGTACCTGCCCGCAGCCAAGTTTGACTGGTTGCGCATGGAATAATGATACGTACGTGACGCCCACGCACGCACACGATGTTAAAATGAGCCAACCCGTGCGTGGTGACCTCACTACGCGATGAAGCGTATCAGTTTCATTGAAGTCAATACCCCATTGTAAATACCCGGTTATAAACTTATTACACGTCAGATGTACTAATACGCTCTTCCATTTTCAGTGGACGACCAAGAAACTGAGCGATGAACAATAAAATTCCTTCAGCTTTTTGCCAAATCCTCGCCGTATTGGCGATTACAGTTTGTATACAGACCATCGAGGCGAGACAACAGACATACCACAGGTGAGTTTCTCGAAGAAAAACATCTCTCACGTAGACTTTACCTTTTTCCGGTCGATCATAATGCTTGCGATACCTATAATTTTTAAACATTCCAACGCGAAAAATCTATATAATCACTTCTAGGTATGTGTATCATCTCAAAAGTAAGAGTTGGAGATTTCGAATCGAGCGGAATGATCGCTATTGTCTGAGATAATACTTCGTCTCAAATATTGAAACGATATTCAATAACCTCTTCCTCACATGCATCAAATTGGCCCCCTAAGGCACGACATTTATGGACTTAAATCTCTAACTCAATACTCTAAGAATAGTGTTTTATGCCAGCCTGATAAGCAAACCGAAGTGTCGTTCATATCTAAATCCCTAGTTTCAGTCTGTAATGAAGGCCCCTGTAAGCGATGCACTAGCTCTCAGAGATCTGTCATCAGCTTATAAGCCTATAAGCGATTACTCAGTGACATGTTTCAATAGGCCTTACGCATGTTTGCTACGATTTTTTACCCTCAAGCCTGACTTTCAAGGTGGAAACTGCTATTCTTAATAGGAAAACATTCCCTATACACGGACATCAAAAGAATTCCTATACTAAAACGGATAACTGGCAAAAATTCACAAAACTTTAAGCGCAACCGGGGCTTAGGGGTGAATTTTCCTTAAAATACGTCATCGAGCAGAAGAGCTACTTTCTTCAAACCTGAATCTTAGACTTTTCACTTTTTATGGCCCCCACTGATAATATGTTCATAACTATTGCAAGTTTGAGACTGTAGCAAAGTATGCGGTACATTTTGTTAACATTCTAAACCATTACGACCTTTGAAATCACTTCGAACGTGGGAATGCTGATTGACGCTTTTCGTAAAGCATCAAGATTTTAAATAAGTAAAATACAATTAAAATTTACAGTATTATTAAATACCACAACTTACACTTTACTACATAAAAGCTAAATTTGGGAGGGATCGTCGGGGTTAAGTGAATCCGTACGTAGGTACTCCTCGCGTGTACTCATCGTCACGCAATCCTCGTCACCAATTATTTGCCACGCTTTGTAGGATTACAGTTTACTCACTTATCATGTCCTACTAAACTAAACTGAAACAGATAGAGAAGACTGTGCGTGTGCACATGTGCGTGGAGTCGCCATGTCTTCGGGCCGCCTGTGTGGCGAACGCCATATAAATTCTAGTCACGTTTAGGCCTTCAGTCTTATCTCTGTGGTTATACAGCTGTTTCTGTTTCATAGCTTGATATCAGAAAAGTCACGTTTTCTCTATCAAAACCAAAATTTATTTTCCTATTGTTTTCTATCATTCATTTTAACCATTTTTTATCTTTTTTATAAATGTTATTCTGAGAATGTGGTCTTTCATCAAAATTAATACTAAATTTTTAACTCGTGAATTGCGCGCATGCGCAAGAGCGAGTTGTAGATATGATGTGGAGAATGGCACTCGCTCGCTCGCTCGATTTGTCGATTCCTGTAATCTTTTTTTCGATCTTAGGCTTTTGAGAGCATTTGATAGTTTTTGGCGAGTAATAAACAAACGAAATGGCGACCTTTGTTGCTAAGAATATCGGTGGGGTGAAAAAGAAGCCAATGATAATCTTAAAAGAGTTTATTTTTTTCATTATGGTTTCAACAAGTGGGGCCAGCGACTGGCAGGCGTGCAAGGATTCAGACTGAAATAAGAGAACAACCTTCGTTTTTCATAAAATTGTAATTTACAGTCCTTGAACTTGATAACAATCCGAAGATTCATTAAAATATTACTTACTCCGAAGCGGTCGTAGTGTACAGGTGTTCAAAAGTTTTTTCGGTCATGGGGTGAGATTGGGGACAAAATCGATCATTACATTTCGTATGGTGTGTTTATTCTGTGTGAAGCAACAGAAGGTGTCAGCGACTGACGAAATTACAGGTTAACACGAAAATCAAATAACACCTAAACAAATAATTTGGCGACCGATTTTCAGTGAATTTTTTAAGAACAATTTTCTTTTAAGTTTCAAGACAGTTTGAAGATTCAAAATAAATATTACGTACTAAAATGCGAAAGTTATACACCACAAAATTGGTAAATAGGCCTGAAAGGAAATTCTATCTTGTTCTTGATTACAAGTTGCCTAGCACGTGACCAAAATCTACCCAGGCGGAAATCCAAAATGACGGTGGCAGTCTGGGCTTAGCTATATCACTCAAAACTCGCTCCCGTTTGTCTCATTTGATAAAGTATAGCATGATAGCATAGCATGATCATTTCAATTGTAATGCTTTCATATCCCAACGTTACTTTGTTTCTTTGCTGCGAACACTGAACTACTGCTCACACTCTAAATATGACAATCAACCACAAAATTCCCTAAACCAGATAACATTAAACATAATCCAAAAAATCATATAAGTCATCTGTCAATTCATGAGTTTGCTCACAGAGTATTTCCTTTACTTACCATTAATTCATTTGTCTCATTCTTGGATTTACTTATGTACTTCTTTTCTTTTTTTTTTTGCACTGATCCTCTGGGGAGTAAAAAGAGGTTCGATCGAGATCAATATCTCTGTCTTTCTTTTTTTTTTTCTTTCTTATTTTTGAATATTATCCAGACTTATTTGTATTGCGTTTCTTTCCTTTATAGAGACCAAGTTTTGCAGGTCACTCCCAGAACAGAAAAGGACATAAAATTTCTGAATAGTTTGCTGCACAGCGAAAACAACCTCACGGTGATTTTACAAAATTTTACTTGCTAGCGAGTTAAAAAGGGAAACTTTTTTTCTTTGAGGAAATTGAAATTCCCATGTGCAACAGATGTTTCCTCATTGTTTGACGGATGTTCACCCCAATAATAGAGTTTATCTACTGAGCTGGGAAGCTGCAAGGTAGTAACAATCCGTCAAATATTTTCGCTTTTGCCAGTTGTGACTAGGGAATATCAGGTGGTATTCCTTGATCGATATTTCCCAATTTGGAACCTTACGTCCAGTACGATAAAAGTTTTCCGCTCAAAGGGGTTTCAATATTTTAAGAGTTTCGCTGTTGTCACAGAGGAAGGGACATTCATGTTTATTCATAAAGAGAAGGGACAGCTGAGGAATGAAAATTCCACGCAATTCATGTTTTTTTATGTATGCTGTTTGTAAATGTACTACCGCATGAATAGTTACCAAATTAGCATCAATAGCATTGGTATGGCTTGAAAAACAAAACGAAGCAGAACAAGGCAAATTAAAAAAAACAACAACAACAACAACAACAAAACAGTTCATGCAACGACGTCAATGTAACGCGTGTACGGTCACATGACAGTGGAATTCACTGTAAAATGTACATATCTCAGAGAAGCTGTTTTCTATTTTGCAGTTAGACTTTTGGACCTACCCAAGCAAGCCTAGTAACCCTGTAGACATCCATGTGCCTCGCAGAAAACTCCGGGAATTCAAACATATTCTAGCCAAACGATCAATCCCCTTCACGGTGAAGATCAGAAACGTGCAAAGGCAGATCAAAGTGGAAGGAATGAGGCCCCGTTCTGTTTCATTCAATGGAGCATTTCGTTCATACGCTCAGGTGAGTTTGTCAATGATATGAAATGATTTTAACGATCACCAATTTAAGAATTTTCCTTATTGGCAAACAAATTCTCCTTGTAAACACGTTTTAACAATGATTCAAAATTATTCATCCCCTTTTGGGTTGAAGATCTGGAGTCGAAAGTTATTCCCTGTAAATACATACAGACGATTTGTTCTCTTTTCATAGATTGTTCATGAAATGAAACGACTCGCACGCTTGAATGAAAGCTTAGTGAAAGTATTTAGTCTGGGCAAGACCTATGAGAACCGAACAATGTATGGGATAAAGGTAAGTGATAAAACTGACAAAATTAATTGTATGGCAAATGTCACTGGTTACGTGAAGTTTTGCGACAATGGTAACCGGAACGTGGCGTAAAAAGATATTTCATTAGCGGAACAATAGCTCGACACATATGTTTTACAGTGCTCTTCAAAACAGCAGTGTCTAATTATGGTTACTTCATGTTTTTCTATTCTAAGAACGGGAGACCAGAATTAAATTTTCATGTTCCATTCTGAACTGAATGCCGCCTCTACATCAACGTGGGGAAGATAGACAGCGCCCATTGGTTCCTTGTGATATTTCCCTTTACTCTGATAGGCCACTGTGATTACATTGGTTGTGCTTATTCGACGCTCAATTAAAATGAGCCCTTTAAGAATCTTACAAACTTATATAATCTAATGGGGATAATTGCTAATCAGATCTTAAAGGAGGCGAAGAGAAGATTGATATACTTCCTTGTAAATTACCGGTAGGCTCATCCTTTATCTTCGGTTCGTAGATTTCATCAAACGTTTCCAGCTCAAATAAACCAGTTGTCTTCATAAATTGTGGAATACATGCGCGAGAATGGATTTCTGTTTCATCGTGCGTGTATGTCGCCAGAGAGGTGAGACAAATCATGGAAGTTTCTTTATGTTTTAAAAACCACTGTTTCATGAATCACGATAATCATGATTAATTAATTGTTTTCTCGATAATGCTTCTTGAAGCCGTTTTTCGTTTTCATCATGCAACAGCTAATAAGGGAATTGTTGGGATTCAATATCATGGGATACAATATCCCATTCATCACGAGTCAATTTGTGCTCTCTTTCCAAAGCAAGAAGTTACCATAGTAATATCACATCCCTCTGGAACCCACAACCACAGGTTAACCTTCACGTGCCTGTGATGATAAATCGATTGCGACTTCCTTTTTTAGAATAAACAGCGTGGCATAAAAAATAATGAACCCAAAGATATGGTGAAATTTGGAGAGGATTAGAAAGGAGAGAGAGACTCTAAATGTCTTTGTTTTCAGCTCGTCTTGAAGTACTCGTCAGAGGAATCAATCCGGCTCTTAGTAGATAGGTTAGAATGGATCATAGTGCCAGTTGTGAATGTGGATGGATATATTTACACTCACAAAGAGGTAAGTCATGCTTACTGTGTACAGATGAACTCAGGTTAACCCGTAGTTACATATCATTACACATATTTAGAGACAAAGCAATATTTTTCTCTCGTATACAGCTATGGCGAACTCTCGTTAGTAGAGATGCTAAATCTCCCCCCGAGGATGTCCGCAATAACGGCAGTCGACTGTATTCATCTGGAAAGGACTGTGCGGCGATTTAACTCGTAAATCATATATTTAAAGTTATGGTTTCTGTGTTTCGTTACAGGATCGCTTGTGGAGAAAGAACAGAAGACCAAATGGCAACTCAACCAAATGCATTGGAACGGACTTAAACAGGAATTTCAATTTTAGATGGGCTAGTGAGTACTTCAGACCTTATGTTTCAGTTCTGTTCAATAGAGGTCAATGTTCTTCGTTTGGCTCAAGTTAGAAATTTACCTGCGCTATATTTAGGTTGGAAGATTATCCTCTATGCCTTCGGTGTTGGTTGCACAGTGACGTAGGTGTGTTTCAGCTTTCCTTTCACAAAAGTCAATTTTTTTTTCCTCTGGAGAAAAATCATGATAAAAAAAAACATACCTACTCGCTTCAAGCTGCGGCAACTTCGATGAGCGCTGTATCGGGTAATGACAGCCACAGTCTTTACTTTTTCTCATAACTTGCAGAAAGGAGTTGTCCTTAAGTCTTTTATTACATTTAACAAAAAGGCTTCATGTTGCCATGTGTATGTTTGGTAATAGATCACAGAAGACATAAAAATGTGGTGAGGAAAAACAAGAGGCACAAGATATGCCACTGTGTAATAAATTTTTAAATAAATGAATATTAATTATTTTTAATAAATTAATTTTTTTTTCTTGCTCATATTATCACCAGCGGTTGGAGCAGATTATGGAAAGCCTTGCAGTGACATCTACCCCGGAGAGCGGCCATTTTCCGAACCCGAAACACACAACTTAGCCACGTATATGTACTCCATAAGAGACCGCATCAAAGCTTATGTGGACTTCCATTCCTATGGACAATTGTGGATGTCTCCTTGGGGCTTCAAAAAGGATTTACCTCCAACGTATCGTACCATGAACGTAAGTTTACAATATACTAAGGCCAACCCAATAAAAAGGCTTGTCTACTATCGCCTGCCCAACCCAAAAATTAAGATTATACTTTCTAACAAGTCAAATATAAATTCAAACTAAGTTCATCCTCTCGATTTAAATAGATGTGATCAGACCTTATGATTCAGGTGGCGAAACGGCGTGAATCTAAAGAGGCTACACGGCACGTGGCGATGCAGAAGGATGTAACACTCTTTTTGACCCCCTCTCTCCCGCCCCTCGTTCCTCTTTAAAACATTCTAGTTTAGTACTGGGAATTCTGTACAAGTTCAAACTACTTGTTCATGAATATGTTGTCTTCGTTTTTCTATTCAGCGGAACGCAATGATACGCATTGTACTAGCTATATACATGACCAACAGGACAATCTTTGGGTTTGGACCGGCAGCTGTTGTTATCTGTAAGTATTCATTTGCACATATCCTTCATCCTTAGATTCGAAATGACTGGTTCCGAGAGAAACAGTTCATTTTGTCCACAAAAAAAAAAAAAACTAACCGGCCGCAGTTACGTTCTTATCGCGTGTATTGACGGTCAACAATCGACAATCCCTGGTAAGAGTGCAACTTTACCCTCTGACGTCATGGATTTTGCGATGCTGCCCACTCGGAGACTTTTAGCGGGAATAATTTTCAGTGCAATATGTCATGTGATAACACTTTACGTCGATCATATCTAAGATTACGCGTAGACCGTAGCCACTGTATTTTTCACGTATCCTTTACCACCTAACATCAGTATCCAGATTCTCCATACTACTCACTACACATTCCCCAAGGTGTTAACAAAGAGAATTTGTGTGATAATCAGGAGCTTCTTTGGTTGATTATCATTTCCTTTATTCTCATGACCTTAATGTTTGATTTAAGGCTGATATTGTAAGGAGAAATTAGATGCTAGTCTCTCTTAGGGGTTAAAGGGTTAAGTACCTTTACAGGCGTGCTAGATGTAGATGTAGACACCTTTAGCAGTTATCCGATATCTTATCTACCATTTTTTATTTTTGAAATAAGTTATACATGGTTATGATACTTTTTTTTTATTAACAGATAAGACTTCAGGTGATGCAACCGACTGGGTGTACGCTGTTTTGGGTGTCACGCATTCCTACGGAGTTGAGTTGCAACCATCAATCTTTTCTCAGAATGGATTCGTTCTTCCCCCTTCATACATTGAACCTGTTGGGAAGGAGGTGCTCGCTGGAATGAAGACCTTGGCTTCCCTTGTAAAATAGAAAACATGGCGAAGAGACCAATAACTATTCTAAAAAATATTATTCATATTCTGGGAGTATAAATAACAAACAAAGCTATATTGGTAAAAATTTATTAATTATGGAAAATAACGCTACAACTATTATCAACATTTTAGTCTTTGTTTTTGTGTGAGGGAGCGTTTTCCCGGTTGGACAGTGTTGCAAATTCATCTATTTTGCTAAACTCTACAAGATCGTGATTTCAGTCCCAAAAACAAACCCAAAAACATCGTAACTTCTTATAGTGAAATCGCAAGGATTTGATGGGAACTCAAAATAATTAACTATTTCTCCCGTCAAGTACCGTAAAACGCTGTGCAATCGGTGGAACGCCGTAAAACGCGATAAATCGCGGTAAAACACAATGAAACACGGTAGAACGCGTCAAGTTGTAGCCTAGTTTCGATTGGTCAGTTTAAGTTTTGCGTCTGATTGGTCAGTGAAAAGCAGGCACGAGTTTCCTGAACCAATCGTGAAGCGAAGACAGGTAAAACTCATGCTATAGCGAAATAATTTTTGGGTTGCTAACTTCAAGTTGCGTATAAGGCTTCAGAAAATTATTTACAACACGCGGAGATATATCTGGAAATTTTTTCCCATACTATTTTTAGGCAGCACTCGTAAAAGTGTGGTCGTTTTGATCGACAAAAAATTTGATTTTTCGAAATAAAGACATAATTTTGAATCACCTAGTTGCATTTTCGCGACTGAAACAGTAAATGGCCGACAGATATTACCATAAAAATTTCCCTAGCTTAGGGCTGATGTAGATCGCCAGTGCAACAAAAATACTTTGGTTTTAATTTACTGCCGCTGACTTAAAGAGGAGTCTATTTCAGCGCAAACAAAGAATTAACATATAAAGACATTGCTGAGTATGTAAAGCCGAGAAGCCTGTTTTAAACATTCCTTATCATCATTCTGTATTTTCCCATCAAAAAAGGAAATTAAAGAAAAAGTTCCCAAGTGCACCTATTCTGTTCAAATGAGGAGTGAATAATTGTCGTACAGAAAAACGGGGTTTTTCGTTGTTCATCTGTTCAAAGTCCTTCCAACATTGATTGTTCTTCGTGAAATGTTTGCGGCCAATCCTAAACTGTCATATTTTTAAAACGCTTTTTATTTCTTGTAAACCATTTGCGACAAGCTGTTTCACGCAAATTTCTACGTATGTGTAATCAGTCGTGGAGAAAGCTTTTTTCTAATGGGTTTGTCGGGCTATTTGTTGGATTTTGCATTTAAACAGTACTTAACAAAAAAAACACAATCCATTGATTTCGCTTATTCAGTTGATTGGTAACTCAACTGAGACAACAAAGCTGTCTCAATAGTGTTTGGAGTCGTAATTACTAAATTGCGATTCTCCTGTAAGATCTTGAAGGGAATAATACATGTGCATAGATATTTAATAAATTAAATTTAAAAAAATCTTCCCTTTGTTCAAATTTTTACCCATACTCTACAGGATCATTCTTTTTCGTTTTGTTGTTATGAAGTTGATAAGCACAGCAAAACTACCTCCCTACCCACCCCTCGATTGTTTGGCCGTGAGAATAATGGTATAAAGTCTGTTTACGTGTTTGTTTTAAGCGCGGGGCGCATGGTGACTTTGAGAGCACTTAACACTCTGAGAAGTTATTAAAGATATTTCCAGGTCAACATGCGAGGTGCCCGAGAATTCGCTCTCGTTCTCCTATTCGCTTTTGTTTTCAGCGAGCCTGATTCATTTGAAGGGTAAGTAATCTCAGAGATATTTTTCTACAACAAACTTTATACTCATCTTGATTTTCAACTAGGAATGTTTTAAACTTCTAGATCAAATCGGTGTTGACTATTTAAATTTATAGTTCTCGCATCGAACACAGTTTCGCTGCGCGTCACAGAGACACCCTCCCTTAACGAATCGCAGCCGGTAAATAAGTTACAATAGTTACCGTTCGTTGTACTTTTTAACACTTCTAATCTCGCGATATTTCCTTTTGCCTTTAGATGTGTTTTCAATCAAAACTTTCTTTTTCGTAGTGACACTGCCCACGGTACAATAACTGTCGAATAACGTCCTCTTCGGTTGAAAATTGAAATTGAAATTTGCGTCAAGATGTCCTTTGCGTCAATACTCGTTGGACAAAGAGTTTGTCTGTCTGTTACGAACTGATTTATTACATTAACAAAAGTCTCAATTTATTGCAATAAACATAAGGCAAATAAAGAAATTTGCCTGGAGGCCAACGTCCCATTGCAGCGACTACACATATCAACTGGAAATTTAAAAGATTGAATTGAAATAGAGTTATATCAGACTCCGCAAAACCCTCCTTAACCTTTCTTGGAAAGATTGGGAAAAATATCCTAAAACAATTTAACACTACGGTAGTGAACTTTTTGTTGTTTTCTTTTCTTCATGAACTAAAGGCCTGAATTAGATTACAGTGCTCGCCCTTTTTTGAATTTTAAGGGATCTTTTGCTGCAACCATCTGAAAGCTAAGTCAATAAACAGTGCGAAATATCCCCCAAAGACGACAGTACATTTAAAAATCTCCATTTTCTTTTTCTTTTGAAATTCTTGCAAAACTTTCAATACCTAAGATTTTGATTCTCTTTGGATGTTTTTTTTTTTGGCACAATTTTTAAAGAACTTGGAAATAGTCATAGGAAGGTAAAAAAAAAAAGGTCTGATTTAACTAAACATTTCCTTCCGGAATTTGGTAAAAGTGTCCAACTATCGAGGCTAGGTTATAAACACGGATTGTTGGGGGGGAGACGACGGTTTTGCCCTGCGTTGCCTTTTCATCGTCGACTAAAATCGACAAGTTCTTGAAATGCTGGAAATGTTTGACATTTTCCGTATCCCCTAGCAATGAATGAGTTGCTAGTAAATCGGATCCTTGTGTTTGCGCACGGTTGTTTTGACTGAAAACAGCACGATTTTGGTGAGAGATCACCGCCTTTTCGCCGCCATTTTATAGAAATGGTTTTAGGTAGTGTTGATACGAAGGAAGCGTACGTTTTTGTATGATTAACCATGAAATATGTGATAAAATCTGCCGATTGACCTTTCACCTTAAGTAAGGTTTATTGTGAAATTTACATCGCACAATGGTCTGGAAATATCACAAAATTAACTACAAATCGCCGGGAAATAACTCAATACTGTTAGTAAGTTGTATTTAAGTGTGTACAGCTTGTTTTTCTACTTGTTTACGTTTTGGATAACCAAAAAATACGTCCTCAAAATATATGTCAGTGGAAATGGAACTTATTTTTACAGACCTGTTGCTCTTCAGAGGGATGAAACAAGCGACGAGGAACACGAGAGATCAATAGTTTAAATTCCAGAAAAATCGAAAGGTTTTTGAGCTGCGGCTTTTCACTATTTTCAACTACATAAATGGTCACCGTTTTCTCAACAATAAAATTTGCTGCAGCGATTTCTTCGGCTGATCTAACTGACAAATCATGGTAGTTTACTGTAACTGCACAATTCATTCCAATTTTACGCTCAGTGGCCAAAGCATCCAACGGAATCACCTTTAGGAATCTTGTTTATTGAATTAAACAAAGTGCACATAACTGTATTGAGCGAGTATTTTATTGAATTTTGCCAAATGGTGATTAGAGTCAGGAAATTGATTATTGAGTGCTGAAAAGATGTCTAGATATTGTAATTCTGTAGGAATCACTTTAAGACAACAACAGTTGTGAATGCTGAAACACCGTTATTCGTTTAACAGACATAAGCTGTACCGCACTTTTCCCAAGAATAAAGATGACGTAAAGTTCTTGGATAACCTTCTCAAATCAGGAGAGGATGGCGTAAGTAATAAGCCACAAAACCTTAGGGTGTGCGTATCCTTAATCCTTGCGTGCAGCGCTAATAATGAGGATTTACTCTCTTGCTAAACGAGCGTCAGAGGATTCGCCTGAAGTGCAAAGGAAGGTGTGATACCAAATTACGAGTGATTTATGTATAAAGGTGTAGGTTTCTAAAGAAACTGTGGTGCTGCGTCGGTGGGAGAGTATAACAAGTTAATTATTATTATCAACTGAGTTGATAACATAAATTGGTCAACATAAAGAGTTCCAGAGCTGACGTTTCGAGTGTTAGCCCTTCATCAGAGTGAAAGACGAAGGGCTAACGCTCGAAACGTCAGCTTTGAAACTCTTAACGAAAACAAAATCCTGCAATCCTCCGGAAGTCTGTGAAAGGATTAGATGTGATTGAAAAAAATTTTTCAAGGATCATTTCTTACTGGATTAAGCCTAACTTGACAATAAAATTGTCTCTCCTCAATCCTCTTTCTAAAGAATTTAATACTTTGGCAATAATAGCAGTTATGAAACTTTCAATCCCTGTTAAAAAATAAAAATAGTTTAGATGAAACTAATTCTCAATTTCAGATTGATTTTTGGACATATCCTACTGATTCTCTGGACCCTGTTGAAATTCACGTCGAGCCTATTGCAATCCAAAAACTTGAAGGCCTTTTAAATGGTGCTGGTATTTCCTTCCAAGTTTCACAAGAGGATGTGCAACATGCCATAAAAAAAGAACAGGCAACCTCAAGGGCTTCAGGATTTGACAGCAAATATCACAAGCTGAGAGAGGTACAAAGTACACCCAGAGGGGTGGGAGTAGGTGCTAAATCCCCGTCAAATTTGCGGGGTAACTCGTATCTGAAGAATTAATTGTTCGAACCGCTTGTGGTCCGAAGATATCGACCTACAATCCCCTACTTATCGCCTGTCGTCCATCCTTTCGGAAGAAATTTCTCTCGCTCTTTAATCTTCCTTTGCTTTAAAATTCAAAGTAGGTATCCAATTATTTTAGCCCAAAATCAGCGCGTCTGCACTGTGGACCACCATATCACGCGGAAAAAAATAGCATAAAGGAAAGGTAAGGTTAAATCTTACCCAAGCGAAACTATTCCGTTGAATGACAAATTTTCTTTCCCGTGACAAAGCTGCTCAGTTTGTACTGTGGTTTAATTTTTTTTTATGTTTTCCAACCGCTTCTTCGACTTTGCATGCCTTGCGTACCTATGTCTTTTACTCGATAATGTACTTTTTCATTTCATGTAGTTACCGTCATATTGCGTATTAATTAAACCATTTGCACTATTTCATGCTATACCCATTATTTTTTCTTTCCTTTCGGTAAGCATTTGGCCGAGCAAATAAGCAATTAAATTAAAGAGCGTTAGTATTTTTGCATAAACTTACTTTACAGATTCACTCTGAGATACGAGCACTGGCCTCGAGACATTCTGATGTGGCAGGAACTTTTAGCTTGGGAAATTCCTATGAGGGCAGAGAGCAACTTGCTATCAAGGTATGGCAACGAGATAAGAAACTTGCACAGGTCTTTGGTATCGGTGCTCAAAGAAGCTTTATGAATTGGTAGTCTGTTTTTGATTGGAGGCAAAACGCTTGTCAAACTAGGCTTATTTAACAAATTTTATCGACTTACCTCCTCAGTCACAGTGCTTGAACTATCCCTAGAAAGCACAGTAAACACCTGAAAAATCTTGTAATTTATAATAACGTTTCTCACGGTTATTTTTATAGTAATAGTAATAGTTTCCAAAAAAAACTGTAAAATTTCCAGAAATCACCCTTGAAATATAGGGTTTTGTTGGTTTGTCTGTTTTTGTCAAAATTGTTTCATCGGTGAAAGCTTCATTCTTGACCATATTTTTGTCCGATTTTCGGCTTGTTTTCAATACCAATTCCATTTCCATTTCTAGATTCTAAAAGGCTCTGCGGCTAGCAAAAAAGGTCTGTTCTTCTTCAACTGTGGAATTCACGCAAGGGAATGGATAAGTCCAGCTACTTGCATGTACATGATACGACAGGTGAACATTATTTGATGAGTTTTTAATGTTTTGCATGTGCTCTAACTTACCACCGAAGCCGGGCTCACGCTTCCCTTAACTCTACGTGTTAGGACAATTTCTTTTACATATATGCCGATTTTAAAAATATCTGTTGTAATAACTTGGTGTTACTATTGTCTCAGCATATACAAATCTCTTGTAAATCATGTTTAATTTCGCTTTGCACCGGATATATCTCTATCCGATGGATAGCGCAGAATGTCTCGTTAACGCTTATCCACAAGATATAAATCCATCCGTTGGATAGCGTTATGCACCCTTTGGGCAAGTGGGCCCAGGAGAAACTTACTCAGCTAGGCGAGGCAGTCTCGTATACAAACTTTACCTTAACCTTTAACATTTATGATTGGAATTATATGTCATCCGTTTCCCAGATGTTGGAAACTCGAAACTCCAATGCCGATGTTCGGTTTATGCTCGACAATTACGAGTGGGTAATTCTGCCAGTACTGAATGTAGATGGATATGAGTATACACACACTGGGGTATGTAAACATAATAATGACACACAACCAATCAGGAAAATTATTTTCTACCACGTGATACAAATCAACCAATCACTTAAAAAAATGATGAAAGAAAAATCAAATCGCCATCTTGGATGCAAAACCACCCATATGGTTGGTTGATTGTGCCACGTGGTACTAAATACTCTTCTTTGATTGGTTGTGAACCATATGAGCCCAATATACTATTCCTACCAAAGTTTAAGGAAAAGTATGCTCCCGACGCCATATAATTTTTCTTCTCCGCAAGCAAACTATTTCCTTTCAACAATTAGATTGTTAGTGATAGATCAGATTGTGGGAAGTACGAGGCGCAGCCGGGAGTGACACTAATGTAATGATGTGAGTGCTTTACATAATTGGTTGTGAGGGACATATCAATGACTTCGTTTGTAGCCATGAGGGACGAGCAACACATATTATGCAAATATTTTCGGCCCTAAGCTTCAAGACCTGGCTAATTTTGACTCAAAGGGTTATTTTTTTGCATAGCAAGAAAAGCCTATTCTCAGTCGCTTTATGTTGTAATCATGCGAAAAAGAACACTTTTAAAAATATCCCAACCGTTTGATAATAAAGCGCCTTTTAAACTAGTGATCATTTCCTTTGTTTTCATGGCCTGTACGTTTCATTCAAGGGTAGAGGTGGAAGAATAAATTCGAGAGAGGCACCCATAGGGGTTAAAGAGAATCAAAAGGATCTGTAATTAAACACTTATTGAAAACCCCTCCGTGACACTTCTTGCTCATGCCCTAACCTTTAACCCGTAATTTTTCCTCACGGTATCACTATTGAATCAAACATCAGGGTCGCGAGAATAAAGAAAACGATCATCGGAGGTCTTGATTGTTGATGATTCTTCACGTTTGTCACATAGGGAGTCTACAGAGCACAGTGAGGGGAATATACATGTTGATATCAGCGTGTAAAGGCTTGAAACGAGTACTCCTAAACATTTTTTGTAACTGTCCTTACCCAGAGCATGTGTAAAGTAGACATTAGTTTTGAATCTACTCTATCAGAATCGCATGTGGAGAAAAACGAGACGCCCAAATAAGGATGGGAGTTACGGAGCTGATCCAAACAGAAATTTCAATTATCATTTCGCAGGTAGGACAATTTAACTTTTGGTGATGTCTCAGTGAAACATAAATAGACTCTCAAACCTCTCAAAGATAATAATACAAAGTCAAAACTCTTTAAAATCCTCAACTACCAGCACCCGAATGATAACTTTTTTTTGACAGTTGTCTGCCAAAGTCTGGGTCTTTTTCGGATCAAGCGTTTAAGCTAATTAAGATTGGCCTGGTTTTTTCCGTTTTCATTATAGAACAACTGTTTAGGTTAATTTTCACGATCAACTCTTTTAGCCCGCATATAAAAAAGCGTGAGTAGCAACCGCTGTCATTTTCGCGGGCTTCAGCTGCTGGCCAAGACGCCCCATGTGAACAAACACTGGAGAGTTGCCGCACTGAACTTATGAGTGCGGAGAATACTGATGAAGACTCTTCCCAGGAACTCCTTCAAATATTTGTTGCAGCGAAGAGAGAAAGGTTTACAAGCAGCTCCCTGTTAAAACATTTATTTATATTTTACGAGGATAGATATCATATCTAGTGCGAGGGACAAAGAGGTAATTATTGTGTTCTTACTAACCTTCCGATATTATGAATTATTCAGGAGTTGGAACTTCACAAAGACCAAACAGTGACATATATACTGGAGAGCGACCATTTTCCGAGACAGTGACCTACAATGTTGGGAAATATCTATATGAGCGTAGATACGAGCTGAAGGGATACATTGATTTTCATGCATACAGTCAATTGTGGATGAGTCCGTGGGGATACACCAAAGCGTACCCCCCAGAGTACGCGAGGATGGTATGCAAATGATCAAAATAATGGCACCTAGCATCTCTTTCAAGGCTGCTCCGGTTTACTGTATTTATTAGATTAAACGCCCATCCTGTAGATAGGGAGAGTAAATAAGCACCAATCCCCGCCACTCCCCACTTCCCCCTCCCCCACAAAAAAGGGTAACCAAAGTGCACAAGCGGAGTATTAATCGTTATTTATTTTCTGTCTTATAATCTCTAAATTCACTGTTATGGCCTATCTTCACATTTTGTTATTATTCATTATAATGTTCCAAAATGAATTTACTCCTTGTTGAACATGGTAAAAATTGAATAAGCCCCCAGCCTCGAACAAGCGCCGACCTCGAGTGACTGCTTACCTCAAATATGTGCCCACTCGAAAGGTCAAAAAATTTAACAAGCACCGAGGGCGCTTATCAAAAAAACAGTTTGTTTTAAAATTCAGATGAAGAGTAATGTTTATTAGAGAGCAGACTTGCTGTAATTGGGAAATTATGAGAGATCTAGCCTATGCTCAAAATGATTTACTGTAATTGGCAGTCTCACCAGAGACGGAAGTCTTCACGTTGCACTAGTTGCCTCATCGTATATTTACAAAAGCCTACGCCCAATAAAATTCAAAGTTCCTTCCGCGTTTTACATTATCTATACAAGATAGAGTTACTGTAGGGTTGTGTTTGACTATCCAAGATGATTTACCACTGATGCTCTGCCATTTTGTCTTATTTTGTAAAGAAAAAAGCCATGCAAGCTGCTGTCAAGGCACTCACAAATGTGCATGGAACCAGCTACAAATATGGACCGGCTGCCATAACCATTTGTAAGTATGAAGTATTTATTATATGGCGCGGTAACCTCGAGGTAAATCCGAGCGTTCTGATTGGTTCCTTTTTAGTCGGTATTTGCCCACACTGTTTAGTTTTGCATCCAATTGGTTGCATTAGGGGATCGCGAGTCTCCTTGACCAATCACAGAGCAAAGTTGAGCATATTTTGTGCGTATTATTTTCGATACTCAGTTGAAAAATTGCTCACTGGTTTTATTTCGTTCCCAGATCCCACCACTGGTGACACAACTGACTGGACATTCGGTGTCTTAGGAGTGGTACATTCCTATTGTGTAGAACTCCGCCCAAAAACTTACGGTCAAGGGGGATTTATACTTCCCCCGGATAAGATTATCCCCGTGGGGCAGGAAACATTTGCAGGTTTAAAGGCCCTGACTAGAAATATGTAAACAAGAACAAGTGTTAAATGAGGGAATTTTTCCTGCTGTGAGTTTCGTCTTTAAATTTCCTAAAAAGTTTAATGGTGAATAAACTACAGATCAAGAGAAAAGTTTAAATTGTTTGAGACTTGAAACATTAACCTGACTTCAAGTTTATATATCCATACGTTTAGTTTGCAAAACATACCACTATAGTAGCGGCTGAACGAAAAAACAAGGGGGTTTTATATCACGCAGTTCGTTTATTTGGGCCCCGTTTTACCACCTGAGCACACGGGACAGGCTACAAGTTTATTAGTGTTTCTCCTTCACATCCTTTCAAAATAAACAAGCAAAAGATTTATAAAGTAGTTTTCCAAAACAACCATGTCAAGACATTGTCCTACGTAGCCATTTAAGAAATACATGCTTTGGAGTTAAGCCTTAAGGGAGGAATCTATACCCTTAAGAATATTTAGACATGCAACTTGGGACTTGTGAGAGATGTGATTGCTTATTTGTCCACGCTCTAAATTTCGCTGGTTCGAAATAATCCAGGTGCACATATATGCTTGCTGTTAATCTCCTAGCAGGAACGTTCCCGCACGAATTTTTCTTCAACACGAGAAAGTATGAGGCCTTGACGATGATAGTTATCAGTGCCAGACCCTAAGCAATCCTCTTCCCAACTTGTCTCAAATCTTCCCGCAGGCGGAGAGACGCGCGTCCTGCAGCACTAGTGATTAGGGCCTATTCGCAAGTTCTTTTGAGAAGCCACAGCGAAGGCTTTATCCTAGGCGTTACAAAAATTTAACTGAACGTGTCAAACGCCAACTGTGTCTGATCCAGCTACATCAGGAATAGTATCGCGTCAAAACTGATCTTGAATTTCCTGAACTAGGTTGGAAACATACAGAAGAGTAAACTCTGTAGACTTACAGTCACATTCGATAGAGACACAGTGATCTTGTTCGGTTCGTTGTCACAAATCAGTATGTTAATCAAAACTGGATTCCGACATTTTCCTATGGCGTCCAGTAAAATGAAAACGTCGTTTGAGTCTCTTAGTGATTCGATATAGACAAATTCGTCGCCCTCCTGCGAAATCCATTGAAGTAATTCCATGAAGTGCGTTAGTCCCTGCTGAAGCTGCTTCTGTTGTTTTGGATCTTTTTGGTTAAGGATGATTTCCTTGGACGAATCTTCCGCTGTACAGCTATCTTTTAGATAAATCATTTCATAATTATCTTTCCAGGCCCCCTCTTCCCTTTTGCTGTTCTAAAATTAATAAGGAAAAAAGAAATCAATTAGGCAAAGTCAAAATTATATCAGGATGGCGTTGACATAACTGCAAGTGTTAGCTCGGTTTAATAAACACACTGTTCAGAGGCGGATCTAGGGGGGGGCCCCCCTTTTTTCGGGTAAAAAAAAGGGATCGCAGGAGGAAGAAAAGCCAGCAGGGCAAGCGACAAAAAACCGCCCCCCCCCCCCCCTTAGCTCAAGGTCTGGATCCGCCACTGCTGTTTCCAGGCTATATTTGCTCTCGTTTTTTCTTTTAATAACAAAACGTTGGTCACTTTCTCCACGAGCTTCGCGCTCTACTGAAGTACTTTTACATGACAAAAAAAAACCTGTCTAGCGGGGGAAGGGTTGGTCTAAGTCCCAGGCCCCGACACAAGCTTAACAACGGTCAAACAACCTCAGTGCATTGTTTAAGGAAAACATAACCCCAAAATCACTTATTGATAATAAAGAGAACAAAACTAACAGCAAATGCACAGCCACTGGAATCAAAATTATTTTTAAAAACAAGATCAATAGATAATGCAACTCACGAGTTTTCATTGGCTTAGCCATATGGGTTATGAGCGTAGAAAAAAAATAGAGTTTGCAAAACAAAGTTGAGAAGATTTATCTACACTCAAATAATTGCAAATTAATGTATTTTCCCAAAATTTCTTTGGCTAAGACGGCATGCGATACTTTGCAATACTTTGTCAGATAACTAAACAAAGGGCACAAATTTTTTTTATATAACAAGCTCAGTTATGCACGCATTCTGATTGGTTCTCACTTATGATCTATTGGAGGACAGACGTATAGATGACGTCATCATTAAAACTTTTTAAAATTATTTATTATATAAAACAAATAGATTACAAGTTGCCGTGCGTCTGTTCAGTAATAGATCACAGATGACGTCAAAAAGTGTTAAATACTGGTATAAATAATTTCTGATATTGATCAAGTTTCTCCTCTGTGTTTTTTTTTTCATCTTTATTGGACTATTCTTTCCTACCTCAAAGAGGGCGTCTGTCCGACGGTCTTCTGTACACATCGCTCTTCGAAGTTCTTCTTCAAGGTGCTTCTTTCCAATCTTTCTGAAAGGCACATAGTTAGAGGGGCTGAAATGACACGCCACGAACTGGCCCTCAGCGTAGAGGATGGGTGTTCCTGAGAAAAGACTCTTGCTGTCACTTTTCAACATGTTGTCTGAAATGATAGAAGTAACTCTTAGTTTTTCAGCGAACAGTTTTGTGGGGTTCCCTTTATGTACCACCCGTTCGATCGCAAAAGAAATGCTCCTTGATACCTTGACGGCTGAAGACTTTGCATTCGACAAATTAAACTGAGACACAGATCATCAAAAGAGATCCACAATACTGCGTGACGTGATCATTAGTAATGGTTTCGTATGACGTCACCTTGTAAATGTTGACCCCCAAATCCAGGGCCTTTTTCAGTGTGATAAAGTCCATATGGCTAAGATGAGAGGATAAAAGTCGAGGGCTTACTTTGTCAAATTGCTAAAGCAAATCTTTCGCTATAGCTAACCCGGGGTGACTTTTCACAGAGAAAGTACACTCATTTAAATTTGTTGTCAGTCAGGCTTCTTACTTATGAGAAATTGAAAGTTAGTTTCGCTTTGGATATCATGACATCGCGGTGAATACCCTTCCCATCCAACAGCTCTCAATAGGAGGATCAGGTTAAATTGATTAGCAGCGATTGGAAAGAGAAAAAAAAAACTCTAGCCTGTTCCCTCCTTTCTTTACGCCGATGTATACACCTCTCAGGAACAGAGAGTTCATATTTGCGTTTTATTTACCTTAGAAAGCTGTCAGTGATTCTGTTTCTTGTGCTAACAAATTCTCTGGCAAGACGCGACTTGTGTTCATCTCTACAAATTGCTACTTATTTCTAACGTGGCTTAAGGTTTTCTAATTATTAACACTTCTAAATATAATTTTCCTGATTTTGCTTACCTCAGAAAGGCATCTAACATTCAGCTTCAAGTCCGCTCCGATATGTACGCCCGGCCAAAGATTTTTCAGAAATTTAAATATTATTTTGCGAGATCCTTGTTTACGTGCTATTTTTCTATTTGATTCTTGGCGGAACTCCAGGAAAATCTAACAACAGTAAACGTCTTTCCATAGGAAGTTCGAAGCGAAACGAAAATTAACTGCGTTGCAGTTCATAGTCTCTACTTGAATGCCGACGGCTTAATATGGAACGAAAAACGCCACGTCTTGCACAATTAAGGTCAAAATGTCAATATTTATCCTTTCTTAGGATATTATTGAGTCACAATGTAAATATAGGTCGGGGGAGGGGTAAATAAATCGGTTATCACATGATTCTGCCGACCGCACGTGATCTCAAGAACATTCGGTCACGAAATCGTTCAAAAAACCATTACCTATTCCGTAAATTCTCTCTCCCCAAAGCTTGGTCCAAACAGTCTCGTGTGTCTCCTTAGCAAAAAAATTCGTACGCACACTGTTTTTCAAGAAACCACCACCATCTATATCTAGATGAAAAGTTAATTAAATGCGGAATTCGAAACATCATAGGCTATTTCGGTTACTAACGCCATTCCGCCGAATGATCTGGTATCAAATGTGATTTCTAATGAAAAGTAACTGCACATTTTTCATCAATGTTCGAGCACTTCCTTGTTTCCTCATTACAAACGTTTTGCATTCCGAGAGGAGGGAACGTTTCGGCTTAAAACAGGACGACGCAATTGTTCCTTATTATTCGGTAAACGTTCAGGCCAAATTTCACGGAGTTCCGTCAATTCTTTATACCCGGCCTATGACATTTAACGAGGGGGTTTTTATTCAAAATGATTTTGTGAGAGAATTTTCGTCTACTTAAGTGCTAGACACCTATTTCGCCTTCTCGGGAGATTCACAGGCTAGCCATTTAAGCTACTAGCCAAAAACATAGTAGAACCCCTGATGTTCACAGTAAGTAAAATGGCCCTACACCTGAAAATGATCTCTGTCAGTCACGTTTTTGCCTGTGGCGTCCGTGGTCACGTTTTTCGGTGGTCACTAGGGGACCAAAGGTAAAAACATGTTGTCGCCACTCTTTCAAGGCTGAGTAAACCATGAATCCTTGCCACTCAGAAGAATGTTTTATTTTTTAATCGGTAAACTCACAAGTTTTCTGTTTCTTTTTGGCTTCTGGCTCTGCTTTGGTTTTCAACCAAATACTTTTTCCTCTTTTTGGATGTTTCATGAAAAGGAAGTGACATGTCTATTTTTGAAAATTACAGCAGATCGGAGGTACACAATGCTGAGTTGTAAGAGGATCTTCCCTCGTTCGTTTTTATACTTATTTATGACGTATCTACGCAGGAAAAATAAATAATTTGAAATCAAGATTAAGTCAAACCTGTTGTTACCTAGCGGAAACAAACAGCATTTTCATGAATGAACCAACCAACGATAGTTTTAAAGCGACATTTTGCTATAGACCTGAGTAGAGTGTTGAGGCTATTCCGCAGTTTACATTTTTCTTTAGATAAGTAAGACCATGATGCCTCAGTAGCTCGTTCTTTTCATTTTCATTTTTTTTCCAATCGCACGTGGTGAAGCTAGTTTGCTCTAAAATTGTGATTTGTCTCTCTTGTATCTGTTTCCTTCCTTTCATCATATGGTAAGTTTAGATAGTTTCAGTACATGTTTCGAATTTCGCTTCGCTACGTAATCTTTGTTGTGTTTCGCAGGTTATTACGGCTTGTAACGAGTTCGTAATCCAAAATGAAAGGCTGTTGTGCTAACGATTTGTGACGCTCTCCGCCCGATAAATAAAGACGTTGCGTTTGGAAGGCTGTTCGTGTGATAAACCCACGCCCTGACCTGCTTTATATGTCCGGCCCGGACATCGAGTATCCAGAGTAATATCCATCTCATTGAACATTAAACATAATAATATACTTTGATTTGGTACTTTTGATTGCTTCTAATATATGTATATACCACTCAACCCGTCTTTAAGCTGTGATAATTTATTCTGATTAGACAAACATTGCATTGTTCCTGATTCCGATGAGAATCTCGTTACGTCTCTCAGTATAATCAGTGGATCAAAGCCTCCAGATGACGAAAGGACGTAGTAACTAAGGGTCTATCGAGTCCACTTTTATCGATTGTCTTACTTTGTGAGGAGCTGATGCAGGCCTCACTCTCCCGTGTAAAGACTGAACTAATACCGCTGCGTGATAAGTCTGCGATAAGGGCAGATGGCGTGACAGGAAACCATGCACTTTGACTGGACAACAACCCAACGCGATCTCGAAGTAACCGCGTCGATAACTATGATTAGTTACGCCGTATATGAAGGGGTTGACGCAGGAAGAGACAAACACTAAGGCAGAGGTCCAGTGGTATGATGGGAAGGTCATGTCTGTGATCTCAAACAGTGACAGTAAATGTAACACTTGATAAGGTATCCAAAATGACATCATTGAGAGTAACGCAATCTTCACCATACGCATTCTTCCTTGGCGACTGCGAATGGCGCGGCCATTGGGTAAAACTTGGTTCTTTTGGATTCGTGTTTTGAAAAGCATGTGAAAATAGATTCCCGTCATCATCCCTGAAGGTACAGCGACGTTCAGAATCAGCTGAATCACTGCCAATATTTTCCTGAGTGTTACTGAAATTGTCTTCCCGATGCTGCATATATCTAAGTTATCAGACTTACTGTCATTAAAGAAAACCTCAAAGAGTCGTGGTGTTGACGACAACAACGCAAGGAGCCATATGGCCACAGATCCACCAATCAACCGTCTCTTGTTCAAATTTGTTTGGTAAGCTAATGGTTTGACCACAGCACACCAACGTTTGTACGTCAGGACGAGGCAAATATACACTGAAGCGTTGCTGAATGTGAACGCAATCCATGTTAACCAAATAGGGCAACAGGAAACCTTGGTCTGTAAATCGTGTTCACCTTTCCAGTGTTTCCACCCGTTCAACGTGATCGTTGAAGTAACCAAGAGAAGTATGGCGTTCAATAAATCAGTGATGGCCAAGAGTAGCAAGAAAACGTTATATGATTTTTTAAGCAAAACTCTGTTTTTCGCAAATAAAATGCAAACTAACGAGTTTGCACTTAACGCCAAGCTTGAAATAACGGCATAAGCCACGTTGATAGCTTCTTTGCCGTTCTGATCATCAGCCATTTTTGTTCCTTCCTTGCAAAGATTTTTCAAGCCTCTGTTCTTAAAAAGAGACCTACCGTCGAAGTCCCCAACGCCTTCTTCTTCAGTAACAAATTATATAATGGAAGCATTTGCTGATGAAATCCAAGTAAAATAATTTCGCGTCAATGAAATGACGAATTTGGCAAAACAGCGGAAGTAACAATCGAGATACTGTGTATCGCAAAACTCTTTGCCTGCGATAATACTTTGCTTACGTAAAATAAAACGTTTCGTACAATGAAACATTTATCAATTTTGCGGAAAATTGCTCAGAACTAACGCTGTGAAAAAGGGTGTTTCACCGCCAAGTTAACTATCTGCAGATCTCGATCTACCCTGCGGCAAAAGTTCTGATGATGTGACTGATTAGTTTTACAAGTGAAAACGAAATTAAGTGGACCAAAATTTATTTTAAGCCTTTGAATAAAAACACAGCTTGGATTGAAATGCCTGTTTAAAAAAAAAATTTTGTTATCATAAATGGATAGAAGCAAAGAACGGCTACATGTACAACCTTGAAAACTTTTCAAGTCATCACACATTTCTTGAATATTTTGGAAAGTTTAATAGTCTAACGTAAAAGGCGGTAGTACCAGCGCGGTTAATGACAATTTTGTTTTCGTATTTAGTTCCTCATCATATATGAGTGACCCTAGGGAAATGTCTATTTACTGATATCTTTTTCCTGAATTTAACTTATTCAAAGAAAAGTTTTACAGAACGAGCTTGTGTGCCAAATAAACTGATGATTCCACGTAAGGTAACAAAGAAATGAACAAACAACAAACGAGCAAATTTATGAAAGATATCTTGGGGAGCATTTACAAACAGTCTCTTGTCTAAGTTTAGATAAAAAAATCAAAGAAATCAATAATTTTCAACCGACTGCGCGTTCAGAATTCTTAATAGGTTTTACTAACCGTATTTGAACCCAGAAATTAATGAAAAACCTACAATCTGTATTTGAGATATTTAAACAGAGTTAATAATTCAGTTACGTCATTTTTCTTATTAGATAAATGTAGCTGAAGTTTTTTTTACACTTCAAGGTAAGAAAATAAGCTTCGCGTAGGTTTTCACTAGATTAGATATTTGCCTCTTTTTAGATTTCGATCTTACGATCTGCCTCTTACAGAGTATCAAAAAAACATGGCAAACAATCACTTTTGAATATTCCAGAGTTAAAAAAGTATATACACCAGCAAGTTTTTCTTAGCTGTTGCAATTGTCGATGAAAGATTTATCCTGTTTGTCTTTTTTCTACACGGTAAAGAGTTATTTCCACAAGGTTGCCGAAAGAAGTCTGGTTACTAAACTTCTTTAGACCGAGTGAAGACTGGAGAGTATGAACTCAACATGGCGGACGATCAGTAGCGAATTTCTTGCCACAGCAATAATTTTAAGATCCATCAACGAACAAAATGCTTCAGCATTGAGCGTAGCTTTTTGAAAAATGCTAACTCCTGTATTCGAACTTAGCCAAGACGATGAGTTTGTTTTTGCGATTATCAAGACCCCATATGTCAAGGTAAGCGATTCACACAGGGTCTTCACGCGCACGTATCGTAAAGGATAAAAACACATGGAACGATTTCCTAATCGAATCAACCTGCTTTAGAAATAGAAAATAGTTAGTTATTCCTTATTGTAGTTCTTTTTTTTATCATGTTTTGCTTTGAAAACTTAGATTTTTTTGTCACCTGTAGATTGCTGATGTCGATTTCTTCATCAATGACACAGAATTTAAATTTTATGTCAAGCCATACTTTCTGAGGTAAGCTATCAAGATTGTATATAAAGCAGAAATAGAAAAAGACTTTGACCTGGAACCTGGAATAAAATTGTGCCAGCGTGAAAACAAAAACAAAACAAAACAAAAATACACTAAATTAATCAGTATTCAGGATGTAAAGTGTTTGCACGACCGCTTTCACTCCAAAGATCGCATTTAGTGATTCTCCTTATTGTCTGCTTTACATTTCTTTTTATGTTAGTTGGAGAATTTAGTTTTTGATCAACTAATAATCTTCAAATTGATATTTTTCTCCATTTTCATAACTTATCTGCTTGGTATGGTATTTCTAATGTCAGGAGAAATTCTATGTTGGTCACTCATGGGAGTTAGAGGTTTTGCATGGGGTGGCCATAAGGGAGAGGAGAGCAAAAAATGACATACAGAGATACAACAGAAGCAACTGCAAAAGTTCTCTGATTTGGATCACAACACAACAGGATTCCTCAAAAACTTGTTTATCAACCCTTGGGTGGATGGTTGACTCCAACCCTTTAACTCTCATAAGTGATAAACATATAACTTCTCCCTGTAATATCCATACATTATCCAGCAAACAGGTAATGAGAATACTCAAATTTATCAGGCAGAAGTTGATCTAACACTGAATTCTCATAAGTAAGTTACAAGGAAATGTGTTGCAGCTGGAGGGGAGAATTAACAATCAGATCTTGGGAGTTAAAAGGTTGAAAAAGAGGAAATACCCCAAGCAAACTTCAGTCCACTGTACTTTCACCTAAATTTTATGCACTGGTCATCATTTGATTTTTTATGCAGTGTGGGGTTGAAAATAATTATAGATTAAAATTACTTTTTTCTCCCAGGCTTAATTTACCAGGAAAGATTACTGAAGATGGAAGGGAGTCTGCATCTTATGATGTTGAGAAAGGTGAGATGTATATTCTTTGTGTATCCAACAGAGGCAGAGGCCAGTTGCCTGTAAGGCTATGTTTTCACTGACCAATAGTTAGTATTTGTTAACAACATTAGTAGAAATGAAACATTTTGTAAATTTCTTACAAATACCCTTTTTTTTTCAAACCTCTGAAATGTCTTACTAAATTTTTTACCACCAATGGTAAAGGTTTTTTGTAGTTCTGAACATCTGAACAGTGTTAAAATTGTTTACTCTTCATTTTTGACTTTCATTTTACCATAGGAACATTTTCAATAAAGCTTCCTAAGCTCCATGCTGGAGAGACCTTTGAGAACTTGGATCTGTTAACAACTTTACTAGCTCCTAAAAAGAAGGCCTCTTTAAATGTTAAGCCTCTCATTGAAGTTGTTGGTAAGTGTAGTTTATTAATTTTGCACATTTATGATCGTGCTAAATTGTAATCTGTTGGACTACTGTTCTGTGCAGTTATAGTTATTAAATCAGATGACAGCCATTAATTTTTTTTTTTTTAAGAAAGTGATACCATAACAGAAGTTGATGACCAAGAAGATGAGAGCAACAGTGATGAGGAATTTGACTGGGAATTTGAGCAACATTTACCTCAGGTAACATTTGCTCTAGAATTTTTTGAGGAATAACTGTTTTAGTTTTCAATTCTGACTCAAATGGTAAAATACCCTCTCTTCATGTTTGCAGGATAATGCAGAAATTACTCTTGGTGAAACCAAATATGGATTTGCCAACCAAAAGGGTGGAATTTTTAAAGGCAGAGAGGTACTGGGCTTGTTAAGTAGTCTTGCTATAGGATGGGAGAGCATGGGTATTGATGCTGCAGTGATAAGAGGACTTACATGTACAGGGTACATCATCTGCATCCTGCATTATATTACTGTGACAGATAGGGTACATCTCTCTGATGAGCACAGGTGTGGTTTCTTGTTGGTGCTCACCCATGCTCCAGGCCCTTCCAGCCACAACTATTTTTTTTCACCTATTAATAGTTTGCAATTTTTCATTTCATTTCAAATTGTCTAATTGTAATTGTGATAAAAAGTTAAGGTCTCGCTGAACTCACTATTATTATTTAATTACAAGGCCACCACCTCTCCTTACTTATTTTGTGTATGTTGTAGTTGTTTTTTTTGTTTGTTTATCTTGTAGGACAATTTCTTTCAAAGTTGCAAATTTTGAACTGGAGTTTCAGATCTAACTTGACATACTGGTGTTGTTTAACAGGCAGAGCTTCTTGAGATAGCTGAAATAACTGATCCTGATTCAATGGCACCAAGTGAGAGACGAGGAAACAGGCAGGCAGCTGAAGATGCCAAGTTTGATGAGGAATATTATTTGTAAGATAAATACCTGCATACAGCAATGACTTAAAAATTGAGAAACCCAATTGTGTTAACATTTTAACAATTTGTGTGCAACAAGGCATTTGAGACAGCTTACTTTTTCATGGCTTCATAAATTTTATGTTGCTCATATGTCACAGTGTAGGATGTTAAACAGGTAATGACTGATTACAGGGAAGTTTACTCTTGAGATAGAATCATGTAATTGACAGTGGTCCTATTAAGCTATTTGGGTAGGCCTTAGTGCACTGAAATGAAGCTCCACAAACAGATTGAAATAACTGCAGTGAAATTTTCATTATTGTCATCAAATGGATCTGTTTTAGGCTATAGGCACATACACTGTCAAACGCCTCTGTTGGTCCATCCTGTTTGAATGTATGGCTACAGTTATTCCTTCCTTTTCAGGGCAGATTATTTCAACGTTGATCAAATTCAACATCTCTTGGATTACAAGCCTCCTTGGGACACTTACTTGCAACAGCACAAAGAAAACTCTTTTGAGGTATTGCATGTTAATAGTCCATTTCACATGCAGTTGCATGCTTGGTTGCCAAGTCTTTGAACAGGAGTGAGGCTAAGGGTGACCTTGTTTTGAATCAAATGTTGCTGCTTTTAAGGAAAATTTTGTTGTTATCATGCCAGCTAGATACTGTTCTTTATCACAACAAGGTCACCTTCAGCCTCACTCCAAATCAAGGGCTTGGCAACTAAGTACACTACTGTTAAATGCCCTACAGTATTATGGATTGGAAAAAGTTCTGCTTTTAGGAATGATTATGTTAGAGAGTTTGGCAACATTACATATAAATATAGACACATCTCAAAAACGTTTTTTGAAGATCACCAAAAACAACCTAGATAATCTGGTTTGATTTGGTAGTTTACATTACTCATCAATCAGACAGGAACATATAAGGATTGAAAAAAAACCTCAAATCCATGAAAAATATTGTTTCTTTTGACATAATAATAATTTTAATAGTAATAATGATAATAAAAATTTTGTGTTGTTATTGTAACCACCTAATGAGTAGCAGATGAACTTTGTCAAGGCAGATTTCTTGTAAACTAAGACTGTTAATATTGTAATGGAATGTTTTATAATTGAATAACTTTCAAGAGTTTTGTTGGTTGTCGTTACAAATGGCTTTACCTTTTTGCCAGACAATCGACTGTTTAAAATTTGAACACTATTTTTCAGGATGAGGCAAAGTATTCAAATGAGCAAGAAGATAAAACAGGTACTCTTTGTAATCATTGCTTGTGAGCATCCTCAAATGAAAGTTATCTAAGAACTGATGATCTTCATGGTCCAACTTTTTCTCTTAATTTAACTACATTGTTCATAAAAGAGGCTTTAAGAATACAGATTTTTTGTATTAGTCCAGAAAAGTTTATGTTGATTTGGTACAAGTTGTCTTGAATAACCTTCTAAAAAGTGTAGGCAGCTGAAGGGGACAGTTTCATCTTAGAACTTGGGCGTTAAAATGTTATACTATTGTGGTGAAGCCGAAACACCTTGAATGTTCTACCTTAGTCTGTAATTTTGACGGAATATAACGAAAATGAAACTTCATTTCAATGTAACTCATCACAAAGATGTTCCATATCATTGAAACTTATTTTTATCTTATAAGAGTCAATGAACCTTCTCATCAATTTACGAGTTCAGTGTGTAATTGGAAATTTACTTTTTCTTTTGCAGTTCAGTTTACAGCTGAAGAGAAAGACCAGCTGAGAAGACTTCCAAATAAAGATTATATCCTTTTACCATGTAAAATATAATCCAGTTCAAATTTCTGAATTCTACTTGAGTAGCAAGTATTGTTTGCCTCAGAGCAAAAATCTTGAGTTTGGTTGGTAGCTTGGGGTAAAAAAGTGAGTTTTGTGTTTAGAAATCTTCTTTTGCAGTGTATACCAAAACAAATTTTTAGCTATAAGTTAGTGTTGGTGCTGTAGAAAGATAGAAAATACCAATTTTAGTTTTGGTCTTGGAGCCTGGTGCATACAAATACATGTATGTACCACTAATCATATTCATTTCCATGGCTATTTGCTTGCTATGAACTGTATAAAGAACTTTTGATTATTTTTATTTGTTTGAAATAGTATTTGTAATGATACTATGAGTAAATTTTGATTTTGAAGCTTGCATCATTTATGTCGTCTTTTTCCCTACAGTTGTTTTTATATTAATTTTTTTATTCATGTGCGGTATCCATGTTTTACAATGCATGCATTTGTTACTCAATGGTTGCTAACATTATCATATATGAGAACCCTTAACAAATTATAAACCTTTTTGATGACAAAGAAGAGCTACCTCTATTTCTTGGCCTTGTTGATATCATCTTTGCTTATGCTTATAATCATCGCACCACAGAAGGAGAGAACACGGTAAACAATTCAAAAATACAGTGTGTACTGGTAACATAAATAAATGCGAATATATGAAAGTCATATATTTGAACTGCGGATCTTTGCAGTAATGAATTCTACTTAAACAGTAGTGAAAAGAAGGCCTGTACGGGATTTGAACCCATGACCTCTGCGATACCAGTGCAGTGCTCTACCAACTGAGCTAACAAGCCAACTGGGAGCTGGTCATTGTGTTGGTTCCAAATAAACCCATGAAGTGGTGAATAAACGGCTTTGAATATATGAAAGTCATATATCTGAACTGCGGATTAAGACGTGAATATGAGGGCAATCTTCACCTCATGGGTTCAAATCCCGTACAGGCCTGAATTTTTTTCAGGCCTTCATTTCACTATTGTTTAAGTAGTGTTCATTACTGTGAAGATCGCCTTCATATTCACTGGTAACACAGTTCACAGATCTTCCCTGTTTACTTCAAGCTCAAGGTGTTCATTTCCCTTTCATCCATATGGACTTGAGTGGGCGTGGCTTCATTTGGAGCACCTCTTAATACTTTGACTCTCAGATCAAATTTGTAATTCTCCTTACTGTCAACCACACAATTCTTATAATGTTAGTTCAGAGATTTTAGTATTGGATCAACTTATCCACAAATTGATATATTTCTTTATTATCATCACTTATCTGGTTGATATTGTAATTGATATTGTAAGGAGAAATTCTGTCTTGGTCACTCATGGGAGTTAAAGGGTTAAAATCGCACTTCATATAATAAGCTCAGCTATGCACGCATTCTGATTGGTTCTCACTTATGATCTATTGGAGGACAGACGTATACATGACGTCATCATTAAAACTTTTTTAGTTCTTTAGCCGTGCGTCTGTTCAGTAATTGATCACAGAGGACGTCAAAATGTGTTAAGAACAAAAAAGTGGCACATGAGGCGCAGCCAACTTGGAATCTATTTGTTAAACTGATAACAGCATAAATACTTGAGTTCCACCTCACATCGCATTAAAACTAACAGTTCTTTTCGTCTTGTTTGAAGAATTTTACACGTAGTAATTAACAAAAATGTTGTTTGGCAGGTGGAATCGCCTTGGACCATTTCACGAATTAGCTCCACGTTCTCATGGTTTGATGTAAGACAATTTTTAACCTTTTACACCTTACTATCAGTCTGAATATTCTCCATACTGTTCATTATACATTTCCAGGGGTGCTGACAAGGAGAATTTTCTTAACAATCAAGAGCTCTTTAGTTGGTGATCATTTCCTTGCGTGGAATCTATTTCTGAATTACAGCCTGAGTTCCCTAATATGCATCACGGTCACATACCACCCGTCCCTAAATGCGTGTAAGATGTTTGCGTAGGAGCCCTGTGCTAGGAAATTCCGTGCGCGAAGTCAGATATTGAAGCATTTATTTATTTATTTAATATTTAATTTTTTGGTTTTCTCAGTCGTTCAGCAGCATCCATGATGTCATAATTTCTTGTGCCCGCCGATCTTTATCGTATCCTCTCTATCGACACTGGTCTTTGGTCACTGCAGTTGTTGAAGACACCAAAAGAATATTTTCCCTGGGTATGTAGCCGTTAAGTCTTTTTTGTGTGAAGCATAACTGTTTTTCACGTTGCGGAATTAAAATTCTCAATTATTATAAAAGAGTAAGTCTCTGGTTTGAGCCACACTTTGAGCCACACTTTATTCAACATAAAACGCATGACATTGGAAAAGACAAAAGAGGCCCTTTGCCTTCGTTTTCTTCTCGGTTTTCCGGCACCCCTCTCCTCCCGGAATTATTTATGGTTGCCATCGAATTGTAAGGAATTTTGGTGAAGTGAAGGGGGGGGGGGGTTACCTGCAACGAAGAAGCATTATCCTATCTAGGGGGAGTAGTAATACTCTTAGTCGTATCATGCTCTAGAAGCCAGTATAGGCACTGACAATATCGCGCTAATATTGGCATTACAATGGGGGGTTAGAGGTTAAAAACTTTATTCCTTGGTAGGTCGTCGACAGCTATTGAGATGTTTACTGGAACTCCATGCCCTGTGTCGGGAAGACGACCCTTGGTTTCTGTTAAATGATCTCTACTTGACTGACTACTGCGTCTGGATTCAAAAAGCTAGGTAAGATGCTTTTGAGTTACACGAATTTCTGTGTACTGTATCTCGGAGGTCGGGCGTTTCCAAGCACTATGAATGAAGGGTGTAAGATTCTAAAGAAACTGTGGTGCTGCATTGGTGGGAGAGTATAACAGGGTAATTTAATACTATCAACTGAGTTGATAACGTAAATTGGCCATCGTAAAGAGTTCATGCTCGATTGTCTGGATTTGGGAGAAGATTGACTTAATACAATGATAGGTATGGGTATAGGCTAGCCTTGTCAAGGCGTTGCCTCATTACGATGTTATTATTTTATCTCTTGAAACAGCCGAAAGAAGCTTTCTTCTTTGGCGAGAAGCCTCGAACAGGTATTTGACAATCATTGTATTACCTCTAGGTCCACACACTATACAGACTCATATATACTACTTGTAAGATCTTATTCCAGTTTCCGTTGCATGAAGCCGCAGTTTTCTTTTCCTTATTTTTAAAGCTCTTGGTTGATAAGAATTACCGTAAGAGTAAGGTTCCTTGTTAGAAACCACTGAAAACTGTGGCTGGAGTTCATGGTTGGACCTGTCGATCAAGACTCCAGCGCGTTAATCATTCGGCGAGCGCCTCTCACTTCGAAGCGCAATTGTTGCTGAGTTGCGCTCGGAGCACTGTCCACAAAAAAGATAATGAGATAAGGTGAACTTATCAGGAAGAGGGTATTAGCCCTTTAAATTCCAAGATCTGATTGTTAATTCTCTTCTCCAGTTTTTACGCAATTCCTGGAAAATAGGTTAGGAGAATTTGGTATTGGATCAAGATAACAACTTCTACCTGATAAGTTTGGGTACTCTCATTTGCCCTTTGCTGGATAATGTATGAATATTATAGGGAGAAGTTTCATGTTAATCACTTTTGGGAGTTAAAGGGTTAATTAACTGATTTCCAAAATTTAAAGCTTTGGGCGCACACTGATAAAGATGGGGCGAACTTGTTTTACTTCAAGGGGCGATTTGGCAATGGTGGTGGGGGCGAACTTGTAATGGGGCGAGACCTACATAACCAGGAGGAAATAATGGGCCATTGTTTTCTTCTGCCGTGACTCATTTCAAAAGATATGTGGTGGTACCAGCCAGGAGGGAAATTCTGTTATCAGATTTCACGAGTTCAAGAAGTCAGGGGCGGAAAAGACTGCGTTATTCTTTCTATTCTCAGTTTTCGAAGCCATAGTAGCTGCCTGAAAGAAAAATGTGACGCGGTAATATGAGTAAAATGGAAGCAAAAGTGCGGCAAAACTCGTCAATTTTAAGTTTTCCTTTTATGTCGTTTAGGTTCAGATAAGTAAAGGCGACTTGTCTTGGCAGTTAGAAGAACTGGAACTGGCTGCATGTTTGGTTCAAAAAGAGGAGGAGAAAACTGATTCCGTTGAAAATATATGCGATACACGTGAAACTGAAAGCGACGATGAGAGCTCCGAAAGTGGGGACGATGATGATACGAGCGACGACGGCGACGGTGATAGCGACGACGAAGATGACGTAGGCAACAAGGACGACGATTACGTGGACGATCTCGACGAAAGAAATGAAGAAAAAAATTCTGCAACTGTTGTTGAGAGAGAGATTTCAGAGGCTGGTCCTTTACTGAATAAGGAGATTAAAAAGGATTCAAATTAAACTCCTATCAGTTACAATTCTGCTGATCTGCAAAGAGGATTTTGGTTACAGACATTGACAACAGCTGTTGGTCGCACGACTCTCCGCCCCTCCCCCTCGGAGTCCCACAAATGTCTAGCCAGTTTCACAATGGCCAGGAGTCGATGGATCTGCGATAAACTTTGATCATTAGTCAGCATTAATCTGGACTGACCCGGTTCAAATTTCTTTCGTTGAAATGGCAATCGATAACACCCACAATCTTAAAACAATTTGAACCACGCAGTGTTAAGTGTCTATTGTTCGGGTCCTGACATCAAAACAAAGAAAGGTTAATTTTTTGAAAATTATAGATATTAAGTTATTTATACAACACATACAAGTTATAGTTCTAACATATATCATTACTTAACTTAACTTACAAGGCTTACATTTCTTACGTAACAGGGATAACTAACAGAACTAGTCTTCAGTCGAACCGGTATTCAGCGACACCGGCACCACCGTATTAAGCGGTCACTTACAGTCCAACCACTCAAACTGAGAATAATCTTTCAAGTAATTTACAATCTATGTTTCTCTTCCAAAATCAAAGTAAGTAAGTAGTATTTTTGAGCGAGATTTTGTACATTAAGTGGTCAACTTTGGCATAAAATGGCGTTTTGTACCGTGTTTTATAATACCCCTTATCTGTGGAACCTGTATTAAGCGGTAAACCATTCCTCGTGGGTTACCGCCTATTACAGGTTCGACTGTAGTTTACCCAGCGAACTACTGTTAATTTTGAAACAACTCAGGTCTGGCTAGTTACATAGCAGCAAACAATGATTGGATCTGTGATGGTCTTTGATAACATTTGTATAGTTATCTATAGTTGTATAGTTGTATTGTTATCTATTTGCCGGTAGATAACATCAACAATCTTAGAAAACTTGAATGACACAAAACTTCAAAGGCCCCGTTGCTCAGATCGTACCCTCAAGTCGGAGAGGGCTCGTACGGACATTAAAAGCAGAAACAAGCTCGCTCTACTGCATCGTGCATTCCCTTTTTTAGGCCCTGCAGATTCTCCCCAGTTCAGATTTGCAGTTAGAACTTGGCAGCGCTGAGTTTGCTTTTACACCACGCTTCGAGAAGAGTAACTTTGGTTAGATCGGGAAAAATTTCAAATTTTTTTCAAGGCTCATTTTAAGCTGTCAACGACTAAAATCCTGAGGTATATCTGTTCTCACTGACCAAAAATAAAGGCTGATAGACTTCACGCATCTTTCATGCCGTTCAGTTATTCACATTTCTGCTGCTTCCTTATTTCATTTCCTGCTAGGTTTTTTTTTTTTTTTTTGCTTCAGCAAACCGAAAGCATAACAGGGCTTTTGTCTGCCACCTATCAACCACAGTATTGTTCGTGTGTTTCGCTTGCGTGTCCTAAGAGTTTAGCAGCGCTTTCTGGAAGAGATTTGCGGGGCATACAGGTCACTCAAAGATGCAATCCACTTCGTAGTAACACCCTCTTGACTAAATTCATCAGAATTCTCTTCCAGGAAAAGTGAAAAGAAGAACTTATGTTCGGAATCACAATATTTGAAAAAGTTGTTCCATCACTGCTCTGAGCGTTGTCCAAAGTCAAAAACAATAGAAACGTGACTGGAAGCATGTTGTTTACTCTAGAAGGAATCAAAATGTTGCAAAGTGATCATTTTGATAAAAAAATACTTGACCTCTCAAATTGCGTAATTGTCTGAATAGTAACCAAATATGGACTATTGTGTATGTTAAGTTCAGTCTCTTGTAAACCTCGTCCAGGCGAGTCGCACAAAAATGGCGGATAAGAACGGCGACAAATCGAATCTTATTTTGAAAATCCTGCTCGCGATCTTTGTTCTGCTTTCGTTAGCTCTGCTTATTGCGTTAATTGTGGTCGCTACCAGAAATAACAAGGACAGCACTGCAGAAATCGGAGATTCAGCTCCTAATATTGGAGACTGCCCCGAAACCACGGAGCTGAGTGCACCATCAAAGGCCTCACATGGGTGGAGAGAGCTCTACCAAGACTTATCCAAGGAGGAGATTATTGCAGTACGAGACTATATCATCAAGCAACCGTCCCTGAACGTAACAGCCTACGAAAATGCCAACATCAACGACAACTATATTTACTTGATCGAGCTGCAACAACCGGTAAAATCTGAAGCGCTTGCTTACCTTGACACGAACAACGCCCCGAAACCTGCACGGAAGGCTCGAGTGGTTTTGTACAATGGGGGGAAAGCGAACCCGGACGTGACGGAATATCTGGTGAGTCCAGTCGAAAAACCTAGTCAGCACAAAGAAACGAAAGGCCCTGGTCAGAAATATCCGATCCCATTCAACACGCGATTCCCAGACCCTAAAGAGTTCGATTTCATGGGCAAATTAATTCGCAATTTAACCTCGCACCCTGGCGTCGATAAACTCCTCAAAGAGAGCACCGACGGTTACTCGATGTTGGATTGTGTGAAGCCAAAGTGTTTAACATGGGGCTCGGCTGCTCCTAGTACGTTCAAGATAAACGAGCGTAAAACATGGACTTGGTTGATGCGGGATTTGATTGGATATTACATTCATCCCGTGGGTTTTGAAATGCGTCTGGATACAAGCGGCAACGACTTGTCCCTCTGGAAAGTGGATAAAATATTTTACAACAACGCAACTTATGACACTGTAGATGAATTAGTGAACGCCTTTAAGAGCGGATCGAAGATGCCTGTTTTCAAAGCGCCGGAAGAGAACGGAAGATTCTCAACTTATGAGCGACGTGGGAACAAAGAACCCGCCAAGCCACTTCGAAATCCTCAGCTCTACGAGCCCGATGGCAAGCGGTACACGGTCAGCGGACGTCACATAGAATACATGGGCTGGAGTTTTTGTTTCCGGTCGCGGACCTCCTCCGGTATCCAACTGTTCGACATCCGGTTCAAAGGTGACAGGATTGTCTACGAGCTGAGCGCGCAGGAGGCTGAGGCGTTTTATTCCGGTTGGGCGCCGAAGCCGATGTTTACCAATTTCCTTGATACCGCTTGGAACATGGGATCCATGAGTTTTGAATTGCTTCGTGGTGTGGACTGTCCTAACACAGCAACGTTCTTTGATCTGACACATTTTATTGGTGTTAAAGAGCCAGCGGTGTACAAGAACGCGGTCTGCATTTTTGAACAAGACATGGGGATTCCCCTACGACGACATTATGACACTGATTTTCAAGGTAGCTACAACTTCTATGGTGGGGTCCCTGGGAGCGCATTAATCCTTCGAACAGCCTCGACTACATACAATTACGATTACGTTCTCGATTACATTTTCTATCCCAATGGTGTGTTGGAAGTGAGAACCACAACCAGTGGTTACGCACAAACTACTTTCTACACCCCTGACGAAGACCCCTATGCATACCAGATCCACCCCAAGATGGCGGGAAGCCTACATGATCACATTTTTAACTACAAAGTCGACATTGATGTACGTGGCACTAAAAACTCCCATCAGACTGTCGAGGTTGGCCTGGAAAACATCACTAATCCTTGGTTCCCCGGCGACCGACACGTACAAAAGATCCTGAAGCGCCGAGTTCGAACAAATGAGCGCGATGCAGTGTATCATTTCAATTTTCAGACACCCACTTTGTTAAATTTCTTTAACAGAGAGGAGAAGAACGCCTTCGGTGTCCATCGTGGTTATCGCATTCAGATCAGGGACATGATGAAGCAGATGATCCCCGAGGCATTTCCCATGATAAAGGGCGCGGCTTGGTCCCTGAACCAGATGACGGTCACGAAGCAAAAGGACTCCGAAGAGAAGAGCTCCTGTATGTACAATCAACTAGACATGGCTGACCCCGTGTTGGACTTCACAAAGTTTTACGCTGATAACGAAGGCATCGAAAATGAAGATCTGGTCGCTTGGGTCACCATTGGAATGATGCATGTCATGCACTCGGAAGATGTCCCCAATACAGCAACCCCTGGGAACTCTGCAAGCTTCTACCTGAGGCCCTTCAGCTACTTTGACGAGGATCCATCCATGGGGATGTATGACGGAGTCGTCATCAAGCCCAAGGCTGGTGGTGGCAGTGACATCGACACTCTGGGATCTCCAAAGACGCAGTCAACCTGTGCCCCTAAGAATAAACCCATTGAGTTTTTTGGCCGTTATGGAAACTATTAGAGAACTCCCTCGAATAGGACATCTTCAAAGATTCCAAGGTTTACGCAGAAGGTATTAATTTTCTCTGGATTAGACGGAAAAATAATGAAATAGAAGTGTCTTAGATTTAGCTGAGGTTAATAACTTTTAGCGAGTCCTCTATACAGTAAAACGTGATTTTCAAATCAATAGAAATGTCTTCGGCTTGACACAACAGTTACATCTCGCGTTGCGTGACAGCCCAAAAATAGACACCCATCTTCATTCTGTGTAGCATCAAAGACTCTATCAACTCTAACAGGCTAATCTTTTTCCATAGCTTTGGGCTGTTGAAGGTAGTTTCACAAATGTTTCAGCAAGTGCTTCATGAACTGTTAAGGTGTAGTAGTTTGTGATTGAAAATTAAAGTCGGCATTTTCATCTTATTTTTTGTTGATTTTTGTTAGTTCAGAAGTAAATGGTCAGGGTGAAGGGGGGGGGGGGGAGTGGGGAAAGAGCGGAAAAAGCGGCGCCGAAAAAGGGCCGGTGGGATCAAACGAAGGATGGAGAATAATTATAACGAGTTCATGTACAGCTCTGACGTCATGATTTATCGCCTTTCCCTTCCCTCTTGGCTCTTTCAAAACCCAATCACCGCTAGCAGGAGCCCTTTATTGTAATAGGCTCTTGCCACTAAATAAAGAGTAAAGAAACGTTTCGTGGACAATAGAACTTCTGGTAGTAATATCAAAGAGTTAGAATATTGATCTTTGAAAAAAGTTGCTATCTTTGTCGATATTTAACGGTACAAATTCAAAGAACAATATCGAAAAGAAGGAAAAAACTTTTCGATTTTTAGGCCGTTTCGTTGTACATGTACTGAAGAAACTGAAACATAAAATGGCTCACTTGAAAAGAGTCAACGTAATCTTCATACCCTAGCGCTAGCTTCGAACAAGCTTACCAGGGCTTTATGGATCTCGGCCGTGATGTGTCTCTTACAGTATCTAAACATGACAGTTAAAACCTGATATCATCAATAATCTTGATATATGTGAGCTAGGTGTCTTGAATAACAATTGAGAAATGGATAACTTGAAGGACTTGAAGCACTCTTTAATTTTAAAGAGCTTTCTATGAGTATATTTGCGTTTCTTTTGAGCATACGTATTTTTGCTTGTTTCCAGTATAATATGTGGTGGTCTGCTAACTATCTCTAACGTGAGAAGCCACACATTATTAAAATGGGCGCGGGAAGAATGAGGTTGAGGGCAACATGCATTTTTCCGCGTGATCCGTCTTCTTTCAACCTTGTGTATCTCCTGTGCTCAATATACCAGGATATCAAGTATGACGAGGCTATTTGGGGACTGAGATAGGATCATGTGCAAAGCGAAAAAAATTAATCTTATTCAGGTATGCTTAGTTTCGTACCACTTATATCACTGACAGTCTGACGGACTGCTTAGCATAACAAACGAAAAACCTGAGTACAAGAATATCGCGCAAACAAGGAAGTAAATTACGTTTGTCGTGAAACCGTCCTAGCTGAAGTGTACGTATATTCAGTTCTTACTCCAACTTGTTTTTCGGAGGTTTTCATGGTCGAGCGGCGCGCACGCAAATTCTTTTCCTGGGAGTGGACAAGATCATTCAAAACTAAATCCGGCAATCCGGCATTGTTTGTCATTTTCCACCCATGACTGCTAACAAACCGCAGACTTCCAAACAATTAACGTCTAAATGACATGCAATCTATGAATGAAAAACACGGCATGAAGACTCCAAAACATATATATTAATTAAATTTCGAAGCTTCTGGCGAATCTTATTTGACTAGTTTAAGGATAAATTGCTATTTTTTTTTAACGAAATAATGCTTAGGATTTGATGGCATATAGTTCAGACGTGCTCGCGCCTTAGGCTATTTTTCTGAAAGATGACAAACAACGCTGTTTACGAAATTGAAGAAGTGACACGCCGCTGGTTTGATCAGTTGTTTATCTTTGAATAAATTCTTACTTTACCGCTAACGACCATCCACCCTACTGCCATTAAAATGCCGCGTATGAAAGCCTTTCTAATTTGCGGTTTGTTCGGTGAGCAGGAGTGACTAAATGACTCTTAGTTCTGCCTAATGAGAATGTCGCAGCAAATATTATTACACTATTAAATACATAGTTCATCAAGTGGACCTCGTCGGGCAAAGGAAGGAGAGGAGGGCCTTTCACTTTTCTATCATAAAAATTAAAGGGTTTAAATCTAGAGAGAAAGATCAAAGCTGTCAGCCGACTCCCCACCAACCCTCCCCCCAAAAAGAAAATAGAGCTCAAAGGGCCAATGGGGAAACATATGTAACTGTGAATATGAAAGTGATCTTCGCAGTAATGAACATCACTTGAGCGGTAGAGAAAATAAGGCCCGAAAAAATTCAGGTCTGTACGGGATTTGAATCCATGACCTCTGCGATTCTGGTGCCGTGTTCTACCAAATTTGAGTGAGCTTTCAAGTCAGCAAGGAGCTGGTCATTGTGTTGGCGCTATAAACACGTGAAGTGATGAATCGATGACTAAGAATATATGGAAATCATATGAGTGAACTCACGCGGCGGATTAACAAATGAATATGAGAGTGATGTTCGCAGTGATGAACACAACTTAAGCAGTAGTGAAAATAAGCCCTGAAAAATTCACCTGTCTTCAAGAGCTTTCAAGCATGATAAAAGGTGGGTGAGACTTATGCCCCATTCACACCAAAGCTTAAACATGTTTAAAAGTTGTTTTGTTAAACACAGTTTAATTTTTTTTTTTCTTCATAGAAACTATTTAACCGAATATTTTTGACTTGAATGTAGCACATTGGAAATGCAAGTTAGCAAGTACTTGAATCCAATGGAAAATCAAGTTTTTCAGTTCTCTGTTTATAATTTTCATTCAATGAAAACCAGTTTAACAAAACATGTTTTGCTGGTGTGAATGGGGTATTAGTTGATTCGACTTCATTTTAACATATGATTGGTTGAAAGGTGAACGCAATTTTTTTTTCACCGCTCCTAAGGCGTTAAAGTAAATTCAAAGTAGTTCCTTTCGCCCTTGAGTGAAAATTACTTTACCCGGCTGTTTGGTGCGGCCTTCGACGGTGTGCATAATTGATTCATTTTAATAATCCCTTTATTAGCAAGACCAACGGCGCTGGCGCTAATTTGCTTTAACGGCTTTAGATCTTTACCGCTGCCTGGAGAAAATAAACCTAGCAGGTTTTGTTGCCTACTCTGCGCAATCAATCAGTCGTGCACAATGATACAATGTTTTAAGCACTCCAGCCATCTTGCTCAATTTTTGTCCGCTTAGGCCCGACCAGGGGCCCATTGTGATGGGCTCCTGGCCCGATCGATTAACACTTCTCTCCCTCATTTTTTCCCAAAAAGATCTAAATGGGAACAAAATTTTTATAAAATCTGGATACGCTGTTTATACGGCAAAATTTAAATATCTAGCTAAAGACTTGATTTTGAACAGAACTCGCTGTCCAATGTGAACATTGTACCTAAATTGTTTGGGTTGATGGAAAAACATGTCTATGGCGAACGCGCACACTTAAAGCTTTTCCTAGACGCAGGCTCCCCCGGTCAATGATTTCCCTTTCATTACATTTTTATCTTTATATCATTTTTTTCCCTTTTATCATAATCTTGATTATTATCATTGCCATAAGTTTCATCATTAACGCGACCGACCCCCTACTTCCTTTCAAGAAAAGACAACGGTAAAACAAAACATTACATAACAATGGTTTTGTGTTTCTCTGCCGCTACTACAGCGTCGTTGTTTGCTAAATTAACACTTGGATTAGGCCTGAAATTTTTTCGATATCGAAGCTGTCCAAAGATCCAACCGATCGCCAACGCTACATGACTAATTGAAAACACAGGAGGAAAGATTATTTCAGGGAATGTCAAGGAAAAATACATTATTTACCACTGTGGTTGAGTTGGAAACGGAAAAGGTCGAAGAGCATTTTCTATCAAAGAATTTTAAGTCGATGACAAATCTGTCAGTCATGACTGTTGAATGACTGCAACTTCCCTACCCATCCTTTCTGAGGCGTCACATACCCACCACGGAAATTCCTTATTCGGCAAGGGTCTGGTCGACATCGTCATTTCCGCAACAATTTTTTAATTATTTCAGTTTTCATTAGAGTGAATATTTGTGCATTTAATTATGAAATTAGTTTACTTACTTAAATTTGCTTTTCTGAAAGTTTCTTTTCCACCGATTTCTGAAACTTCCATATATGTATGTATATAAAAATTCGAAATTTGTAGACCGCATTGAGTTCAGAGGCTAGTAAATTGTCCTCAGTCGGAAATTGGTTTCTCTACAAATATCGTTCCGGTTTGCATAATAACTCTGTTCTCACAATACAGGGCACAACATAATTTGTCATCACTATCTTTGAATTTACATTTTTATTTTAAGGCATTATTGTTGCGATGGCGTTGAGGAGGAAATATTTCTATAAATTATTTCATGTGGCATGTAATTTTCTCACTTGTAAACGACACTTTCCCAATAAATGGAAACAAAAAAATACAGAATTATCTCGAATCGTGTCATCGTTTTTGCGTCTTCACCCGCTCACGTAAAAGGAAAGTGAAAAAATCTTAAGAGTCTGGGAAAGACGTCTGTTTGCCCAAAAATAGGGATTAGGTGGATCTATCGAAACGTCAACATGCGACGTCATGATCACGTGATAACAAATAACGCGCCCAGCCTAAATTCCCTACGATCCGAACGTTGATTAGCAGTAAGCAACGATTGTTTGTACTAAGAATATCAAAGCTCAGTTGGGTTTGAAGGTTTTTGGCTTCTCCAGACGATTTTTAACTTAGATATTTTATCATTTTGTTGGAAGGTGCCTTTTTGAAAGGTGAGACACGATAACTGTAAAGATTGTTGATTTGGATGCTGGCATAGCAAGTTAGTTGCAAAGTCGTCTTCACAAATTTGTTGCTCGTTTGAGTGGAACGATCATACAAATCAGAAGCTTATATTATAGATTTTGGTAACATGTTGTGGATTAGTTTGTTTTTCGTTATCTTCCCTTGGCCATCGATTGATAGGAGTGCCGTGAGATAAATTCTTGAGTTAGTTATTCCCGATTTAGCTTTAAATTTGGCCGATTTGCGTTTCGAACAACTATGCAGCTGTGAAACTAGAGGTTTCAAAATCGGGAAGGATTACCATTACTTAGGGAGACAGAATCGCAATTTTTTTTTCAATAAATGACCAAGTTTCAAGTTACATCGTAAGCTGCCCTTGTTGATAACTTATACGAAGAATATTTTTCTAGTGTGAAATTGGAACGCAGATATACTTCCAAAGCCTACTATTGAAATTACCAACGTGGGTATGAGTCATCCGCTTGGAACACTCGATCAAAATATGACATCTCTTTTCTAAATGCGATTTCTTCGCTTGGTAGACATAAAAAGTAATTGTGGTGGATTTTGGTGGTGGATTTTGATGGCGGTGCTGCAATTAAACGTTTTCCAGCAGAGGTTAACTTTCGCTTCAATTTTCCAAATTCAAATGTAGTAATCGAGTTTGTGTTTTCGTGCCTCGAACAATTGCCAACGTCCGTCTTAAGTGCATTGACAGATGTTGGATGTGAATGATTTGATCAAGTAACCATGGCTGAATGGTAGCGGACTGTTTTGGTACCGTCGATTTCGATTTTATTCGTGCATTAACGTTCTTTAGCGTCTTTTTATTATCTACATGTAGTGCTTGCTGGATTTCACTTTTCGTTGTCGAACATAATATTCTTTTTTGAATTTACTTTTGAATGTGACTTGGGTGCTTCCATTGTGTACTAAAATACAATGTAGTGTACTTCTCGGGCAGCTTTTCAGTGAAAATGTAACGAAATGTTGTCGGCAATTTGTCCGGAACACTTTGCGTGTCTCTGAGCATATTTTTGTTAACTAAACGTGACAGTGAGGCCTCCTGCTGTCTTCGTACTTACATTGTTGTTTTGAATATTGCAACGCATTTAACCATCGGCTGACCTCCGGAAAACACTGTTACACTTCAAAGGACGAAGGAAACATTCGAGTGTTCTTGCCCCTTCCTTACTCAACTCTTAATACAGGTCAAGAAACCCAATCACCAAATCATAATGCCGGTTTTGGTTCGACTGTTGCAGTGAAGATACCACCTGGTTATTTTCTTATGTGGATTGGATGTATCTTCTTTCCCTTTTGAACTCCAGTCAACCGGATCGGATAGTTTATGAAACAGCAAGGAACCGATTTCTCCAGGATATCATTCTCTGCCTCTGGATTAAATGCACATATTTATTTAAGTGTACAAATCTACATATATATGACAGCTCAACGTTAAGGTGAACGTTGTTTTTTCTTGTAGGCACAAGTCATCAATCCTCCACAATGCGGTGTTTGGGTTTATTACTTTGGATTTTTAGCATCGCAACTCTGGCAAATGGTAATTTTTGTTGATTCTAATAAATTTGCAACTGATAAAGGAACTTAATTTACATTTTTGTGTGGATTACAGCCTGTACCTTTCACTTTTTTACTCTACTTTACCAAAATAGGTGTCAATTATCATATGAGTTTTGTAGACCAATTCTTATGTGCCAGTTATCAAATAGTGTTGCGAATGGAATAGAGTCTAGAATAGGGTAATTTGGTATTATCAACTGAGTTGATACTGTAAAGAGTTTTAAAGCTGACATTTTGGACGTGAGTCCTTGGTCATTTGCTTTGAAAAAGGGCTAATTACACTTGAAACATCAGCTTTAAAACTCTTTACAGTGGCCAATTTACATTATCAACTCAGTTGATGATACTAAGTTACCCTGTTATACTCTCCCACCAACACAGCACCATAGTTTCTTTAGAAACTTATCTCCTTTATTTGGTGTTTAAAATAGTTGGATTCAGTCGCACCTTGTGGGGACTGGGCTGGGTGGTCTGGCTCATTGAGACTGCAAAAGAATATTAATGGACATAGATAAATCTGAAAGATAATATGTACCATTTAATCAATGTTATGCAAGTAAAAATACATTCTCATATCATTTTGTGTAAACTGCTAATATTGAAATGCATTGAGTAATTACAGTGCTTGTAGGAATAAAAATTGTGCAGATTTGTGTTTCATTACATGTGGTTTGATTGATGGAAAAAAAGTTGTTATGAATCTTGTATGTGACTAAGTGATATTCATAAGGAAAAGAAAGCACCAAAGATGCAAGTCTGGATAATAAAAAAATTTAGATAATCATGGTCTGGATAAGCAAGGTTTGATTGTACAATTTATGGAAATAGTTTTGTTTAGCTCTCACAGCATGGTGGCTCTTGCTTTTTAACCCTTAACCTCCCAGGAGTGATTAACATGTAATTTCTCCCTATAATATTCATACATTATCCAGCAAACAGGTAATGAGAATACTCAGAAGCTGTGATCTTGATCAAACACCAAATTCTTTCAAGTAACTTATAAGGAACTGTGTAACAGCGAGAGGGGAGAGTTGACAATCAGGTCTTGGGAGTTTAAGGGTTTAGCAATACCAAGATGACAAGGACTTTTGTGAGGAAACAGAGAGAAAAAGTTCGCCATTCGTGGTGGCTTTGAAATGGTATTTGACTGAGATAACTTTTTGGTATTGAATCAATGGATACTCATTGTGGGTGCTTTTGTGATTTCAGGTCAAAGTGTATCGCAGCCACAATCTCCCCCCCCCAGAATTGTAAATTTCTTGACAGGGAATTTGCTCAAGCCAGAAGACGTCAAGTTTGGCAAAGAATTTAATGCTGCTAAGAACTGGGGCTTCAGACTACCATGTGATGCACAGGGTGCCAACAAATTAGAATGGAGATGGCAGCAGAATGGAACTGATATAATTTTTCCTAATGGCCAATATAAGCTTAACGATGATGGTTCATTGACTGGAAATTTCCTTACAGCTAAAAATAGTGGGAATTACCAGTGTTTTGTTAAGGACCCCACAACCAACAAAGAAACATTCAGTAGAAAGGTGCAAGTAGCAGTAACATGTAAGTGACAACCATTTGCTATTGATCAGGTGCTGTAATTAAATTTCAGTCTCAGATGAGTGACAGGGCAAAACTTCTAATCAAAAAAGATACACAGAGGAAGGGGGCTGAGGAAATGTTTTTATGAGGCATACATGTAAGCATCTGATTAGGGTCCTGACCATAGTTTTTTGTCAAGCTGACAAATGGTTACATGAACTCTCCTGAATAGTGCTGTTGTAACATACAATTTTGTACTGCTGCCATAATTTGTCAATTTTTTGCATGAAAGTATTTAAAGCAGGAGTAAAAACCCTCTGATCAGAATTTGGGAAAGTTTGTGGCAGCTGGTATCAGATTTAAAACTGAAAATGATTGGTATTTTAAGACTCACATTTTCCCTCATATCATGCAGTTTGCCTGCTGTTTCTTGGAGTTCTTATGTCGACCTTTGCTCTGATTGAATACTATGTTTGCTTTGGTTCTTGTTTTTCAAAAATCAAGCCTATTTTTTTTTTGGTTCCTCGTCACCACACAGAAATTGTTGAGAAAAGTGACATATTCTTGAACAGGTGTGAATGTGTACTCAAATGTTCAGCTCTACACGTACTTTGTGGAGTTGTTTGACAGTTAATGATAGGACTCTTCCTTTCCTTTAGATGTTGAAGATTTTGCTAATAAAGACCCCATCCGGTTGAGCGTGACTCTTGGAGATCCTTTGAAAATTGATTGCCCGCCAAATGGTGGAAGTTATGGTGCTTCATATACCTGGGCAAATAAAGACAACATTCAGCTTAACAGAGATGGACATATAGCGATAACCCCAGTTGGTACACTGCATATCATGTTTCTAACTCAAGCTGATGTGGACAAAATCTCAGAATTAAAAGGAATTGCTTGTACCATTGTTGCAGCAAATTCTATCTTCGAATCTGGCCTTGTGACTTTGGATCCTCAAGGTGAAAATTGTTATTAAAATATTAACGTCTTCCTAATTTTTTGTTTTAATGTTCTCTATGCTCTACTGGCATGTGCAGAGCTCAGCTTACTAATCATAGCTTACTAGCTTACTTATACATATTGCCATCTCGTCTTTAAAATTCTATGTATACTTACAGGCTCAGATAAATATTTTTAAAAAAGCAGCAATCCAAAAAAATACTGTACAGGTGTGAGATCAAACTCAGAAGCACCACAAACTGACAGAGTATAGCATAATAATATTAGGTAGAACTGGACTGAGTGTTTCATGAAGGAGGTCAATTTCTGATTATACTCCTCCTTCGATGGAGAACTAAAAAATTTTTCATGTGCATAATGGGAATGAACATGATAAATGTTAAGCCTGGTGATTTATATGAATGAGATAGGCATGTTCGGAGAAATAAAAGATGCAGTGGCCTAGCCCACCTTGAGTGTCCTGTAATACAGTGGTAAAGCAATCAAAAGTACTAATCTAAAGTCATAGCACTCCGAGTTCCTTTTTTTCTGAATAATTATTCCTGAGTCATTCACTGAATACATCACTAAGTTAATATTATCATTGTCATTATCATTTTTGTCATTATTTTTATCACCAATTCTGTCGGCATATATTGTAGTTTTAGTGTCGATCATTATTGTTTGTAGTTTTATTCATTTCTTTTATGAATAGGGAAGTGATCTTCACAGTAATAAAGTAGTGAAAGCAATATATTTTTCTCAGGCCTTATCTTCATTTCAGTAACTGCTTAATATGTAGTGTTAATTTCTGCCAAGATGGATTTCACATTCATTTCTTTATCCGTGATTCATGCTTATGATTTTTTTATATCTACAGTCATTTATTTCTCTTACGTTTGATATTTAGCTGGATCTGTGCAAGAAAAAGCACCTTCCTGGGAATCATCTTCATTGTCAAAAAGTTCGGAGATAGCTGTTGAGGGAAGAAACAAGACCCTTTACTGTCTGGCCCTTGGAAGGTGATTTGTAGTTATTGATAGTTTTCTGAAAAAGATCTTTAAACTATTTCAATCCAATGGCTCTGATATCAATTGTTGCCAATTATTTTTTTTTTGTGACAGATTTGCTAATCACTTTCTGTACCTCAGGGTTAAAGGTCTTTTTAACCCTTTAACTCCCACAAGTGACCAAGACAGAATTTCTCCTTACAATATCTATACAAAATCAACCAGATAAGTGATGAGAATGAAGAAAATTATCAATTTTGGGATAATTAGTTGATCCAATACTAAACTCTCTGAACTAACATTATAAGAATTGTATGGCTGACAGTAAGGAGAATTACAAACTTGGTCTGGGAGGTAAATAGTTAACTGCTCAGGTTTTTTTGCTGGTGAAGCTGGTGGTGCCGTTGTGCAGCAGTAATTTGTGGATTTTTGTGTTCTTGGTGACATCTAGAGCTCTATAGTGTAATTTAAATGACTGGAACTGCTTTTCCCACAGAGATCCATATTTTGTTCTGCCAAGATTGTCCACAATTTTTGTACTCTCCAAGATGTAATCTTCAGATAACTTTTCCATACTGAATTTAACCTTTTAAATTTGAGTGATTGAACATGTAACTTCTTCCTTTAATAACCATACAATCTCCACTGTGTAGGTTAGGTGAATACTCAGACATTTCTGGTAGAAGTTGTTGTCTTGATTGAACTTATTTTCACGAAAATGTGTAAGAGCTAGAGAGTAGAATTAACAATCAGATGTTAGGTATCCAGTGAGTTGTTTTTGTCTTTCTAATAATCAATATTTTATCTTTGAAAACTTCAAGGCCTGCCCCAAAGATAACCTGGAAGAAAAATGGTCAGCAAATTATAAATGGGGAAAATAACTACGACATTCCAGACCTGTTCTTTGGACGACAATTGACCATCATGAATGTAAAGAAAGACAAACACGAATCTCCACAGTACTCATGTGAGGCAGAGAATAAAATGAACAGTGGAAACCCTTTGAAACACAACATAGAGCTGAAAGTTGAAGGTAAGCATAATAATGTACTTGGAAAAAAGTCCTATAATTTGGTAAATACTTCCAATTAGATCCTGCTGTCACAAAGGTGTTTACCTACAGTAGCATCATCTAAGCGCATGCATTGACCAATGAGAGCTTGCATACTTTCTTCAATATTTTAAAAAGCTTTACAAGCTGTGACCATCTTCGTGGCAGTGGCAGGATGTCAAACAGTTTGCAACAAATTCTGCAGCAGAAGTCACAAATTTGCTGACCTGTATGTTTGATAATAGTGTCCATTTAGCAGTTTATGCTTCTTTTGTTATGTGTTGGTATGGTTTATTAATGTTGAGGTGAAGACCAAGAAATTTCTGTCAGTACTGTAAGCTAATGGAGAAATTTTTACTCTCTTTTTTCCTTTTTTTGGTTAGCTGCTCCACGTTGGCGTCTCAAAGCTCCTGCAGAGAAGTTAGAGGTGGATATTCAAGGAAACGGGACGTTGCTTTGTGATGTATATGCTGATCCTGTGCCATCTTTCTCGTGGTATAAAGATGGAACAAGGATTGTGTCATCAAAGTAAGTAAATGCTATCTGGACTGGGAGCTTTTATACTCGAGCATGCACTGTATAGAGGAGGAGCCTTTCCTACATATGTACATGTAGAGTTCTTGTACACTGTGATGATTCAGCTAGTGTATCTGTTCCTATAGGTGCCCCCTTTATGGAATGAGGGGTCATGGATTGAATTTTTGGTCCTTTATAAGTGCCCCCTGTTCTAATAGGTGCCCCTATTAAGCAAGCACCTTCATCCCAATAGGCACCCCTTTTCCAATAAGCACCCCTATTATGTTTCCTAGATAACACTGTAATAGTACAACTGTACATTCCCTACCATTATGGTGTGAATACTCACTGTAAATTTGTTAATCTTAAAGTTTCTGCTTCTGTTGCTTTTTAATTAAACATCAAAGCTTTGTTTCACACATTGTTTTGTTTCTCCAAGAAAAAAGGAACAAGTATCTTGTCCTTAATAAGTGCTCTGTTTCAAATAAGCCCCATATGGTACACATGTGTGAGGTGCACATGTACAATGTACCTCAAGAAAATGAGGGCCCTGGGCACTAGATTGAATCAACACAGTATACCAATTCATCTAAATTTCCTGATCCAGACAGGATGTTACTGAAATAATTTGTAGGACTGCATTACAGTTTTGTGTGCATTGTAGCTCAATCATTCAGACCAAAGTGAATTCTCTTAAAGAGGGAAAATTAATTTTTAAGGAAATTTCTCCAAAATTAAAAATTGATTTAAAATTTAAAGTCTCCTAAATTACCTGACTTAGACAGGAGGGTACAGAAAGTTACATTTTTAATGGATGCTTTTATTTTTATAGTTTTATTTGATTATGATTCATTGCGTCCAAGTTAGTGACTTCCTTTTGTGGGGGAAGAGTTAGAGTTTAGAACTGTAGTCACAACCGTGCATCATTCATCAGTGTTGTGAAGAGGTTTCCCTTCCTTTGGCAAACAAAAATGCTTACCTTGTAACATGAACATTTTGGGTAAAACTCAATTTTTTTTTGTTCTTTGGTTTGTTGGTTTTTTTTTTTTTTTTTTTAGTGCAAATTTGCAGTTTGGGTAACATTTCTGCTTGGCTCCAGTTTCTGGACTTTTCTCATTTGTGGACTGACCGAGTATAGAAGTGATGAGATTATTTGAAAAAAGTTAACTCACATCTTATCTTGAATTCCACAGTACTAATGTCAAAATAGAAAATGAAAAGTTGAGGATTGAAAATGCTCGAATGCAGGAAGATGGTGTTTACCAGTGTGTTGCAGAAAACGTCCATGGTATGGTTGTGTCATCTACTTGGATTTATATCCGCGGTGAGTAGCTTATTGTCCTGACTCTTTTGGATACATTTTGAAAGATGCTGACAAGGAGAATATGTTTAACAATCAAGAGCTCCTTCAGTTTGTGATCATTTCCTTTATTCTCATGACCTCAATGCGTGATTCATGGGTGGTATTGCGAGGAGAAATTAGCGTTGATAGCCTCTTAAAATTTTCTGTCCGTCTTCTTACCTTAAGATAATTTTAAAAAATCAGTTTGTTTTATTTTCAGAATTTTACTACCATAGAGCAAACGGTTCGTATTTGAGGACTGTATCGTATGCTTCGACTGTAAACCAATCTGTTTGTATCATTTCTAAACCAAGTTACTCAAACTCCTTTTTGGGTCTTATAACCTTTTACACCCTAACATCAATCTGTAAGTTCTCCATACTGTTGACTTTACATTTCCTAAGGTGCTGACAAGGAGACTCTGTTAAACAATCAAAAGCTTAAGTTGGCGATCATTTCATTCATTCCCATGACTTACATGAGTGATTCAGGGTGAAATTAGATGTTACTCACGCGTTTGGGTACAAAGGGTTTTCGAAATGAAATTTATACATTTAAATGATTGTGATTTTCAATGTTTTTTCAGCTAAAAAACCAACGTTTGACCCAACTAGTGGTCCGTTTTACCTGTTCAAGAATAGTCAAGGCGTTCTTAAATGCGAACCAGAAGCAGCACCTCCTCCAACCTTCAAGTGGTACAGGAAGGGTACGGAGCTCAAAACAGGCGGGCGCTACACAGTTCAGAAGGATGGCGTCTTGTTGATCAATGATGTTACTGAAGATGATGCGGGCAATTATCGTTGTGTAGCCGAGAACTTCTTGGATAAGGCTGAATATAATGGAGTAGCGACTGTTTATGGTAAGAAAAACAGTATACTACTACACAGTGCCGTAGGACCGCTCTCGATTATCGCCCCACGAATTACACGTGCATCAAGCCGTGTTTTCGTGGGAATTGTGCGCGCTTTCATTCGCGTGTAGGGGAGTGGTACGCGTTTGGTGGCTGAATTACATACAAATGTAGTCAATCAATCCTTAATTCCAATGAGGGCTGTAAGAAGCCTTTCTATACTCGAACAGGAAGGAAAAAGGGTTTTTTTTGTTTTAAGGAAGAATTTTAAGGAAGTTTGAAGGGGAAGTTTGGAAAGGGGTATCTGCGGCAACCTTGACGCCAACAGCCTGTAATTATTAAACGCGGAAAAATAGCCAATTTTCATTTTGCGCAAAGGAAGAATTGAAGCAATTTTAGTTCTGTTGATCTAACCTTGTCAATTCCAAGATCTCAATGATAATTCTCCTTACAGTATGCCATACAATTTTTATGTTGTTAGTTTTAAGAATTTGGTACTGGGTCAACTCGTAATTCCCCAATTGACATTTTTCTTTATTCTCATCACGTGCCTGCTTGATGTTGTATCGGTATTGCGAGGAGAAGTTATTTGTTGGTCACTCATGGGAGTTAAAGGGTTAATCTGTTATTTTCTTTACTACAGAAAGAACAAGAATTACAGTGCGACCGGAGGACAAGATTGTTCCGGAACGCGTCAATATCGACCTTCGTTGCCGCGCAGAGTTCGATAAAAGACTGGAACTAAAGTACTACTGGAAGAGAGATGATGCAATTATTAAATTCAACTCCAAGATGGAATGGCTGGAAGGAGAAAACGTTTTAAAAATCTCCGATATAAGTGTTAACGATGCTGGCGTTTACACCTGTGTCGCTTACACACCTGAACCTAAGAAGTCGGAAGACCAGGCGTCAGCCACAGTTAACATTAAAGGTTTGTTCTTATCAATGCATCGATCAATTCTAAGCTTCAACTTCCCCCCTACCCCCCCGTAAACTCCCTTCCCCCCCCCCCCCGGCCGAGCATTTTAACTTCTGAATAAAGATTCGTCAGATTTCCGCCATGCAAGAATGAGATCTTTTCCTGTTAAATAGCTAAGGCGTTTCTCGAAGTTTGCACGATCCCCAGAACAAATTCTGAACATAGAATCAATTCACTCATCGAAACACGTCTCTGGTACATGAAACTCAGTTATGCATTTAGTTGCACTTTAAAGTGGGAGCTGTTTCAATTTTCTTTGTGGTATTTCAATTCTTTTAGTATTTTTGTTAGTGGCACCTGTGGTACTGGTAGCCAGCTAAGAAAGGCAGAACAATCGACGGTTTTTGCGGGCCACTGATTGGTCAATTTAGCGGGCTTATTTCGTTGAATGGCCCGCTGAATTGGTTTGGTTTTTTTTTTTTTTAATTGAACTAAATTGATTTTTTTTATCTGAAAATTTCCCCCTCTGTTTGAACCAGTGAATGTAGTAGATATCTTTCAAACATATTGTGCCAAGCGGGAAAAAACTCAATCCGTAACTACTAGAACAGACCTCGAACTCGGTTGACAAGAGGTTTCTATTTGCAGATTTGGAATCAGCCAATTTTCGCTATCTCTGTTGATAACACTAAATTACCCTGTTATACTCTCCCGCCGAAGCAGCACCACAGTTTCTTTAGAAACTTACCCTCCTTTATTCATTTTTTTTTCCTTCAGGAGTTCCATTTCCTCCAACCAACCTCGAAATAAATAAGGAAACGTGCATCAATCGGACAACAGTACTCAAATGGACAACCAGCGCTTCAAATGATGCTCCCATTCTACACTTCCTGATTGAACAGGAATCGAATCATGAACCAGATGTGTTCATTTTCCTCCACAATGTAACAAATCCTAATGCAACATCTGTCGTGCTTAACCTTACTGGCTGGTCGACCTTGCGCTTCCGCATGAGAGCTGTGAACAGCTTTGGCCCAAGTCGCCCTAGTTTACCCACAGGGGCTGGAAGTTGTAAAACATCTCAGTCAGGTGTGTTTGTGTTTCTGTGTGCTAGTCAAACGTAGGGCATGCGCGAGGGGATCAATTTTGGGCGCCTGGGCGCCAATTTCCCGCGCTAAGTTTCTAAGTACAACATACCAAGCCACAACTGCTGTTTCGCTAGATAGAAACCTGAAAAAGGAAACAGAAGAGGGGAAAAAGGAAAACTCTAGAATTTTCAAACACAAAACTTATTCAAATACGGGTATCCTGTTAATTGACCATTTTGTTTTGAGCTTTACCAAAAAAGTTATTATGCTTCACATACATCGTGATTTGATGGCTTGTGTGGTTGTTTGTACAGGATTTTGCACAATATCAATAATTTAATGATCTACTACATCAGCATCCTGTGTTGAAAATGTCAATTTTTTCTTTAAAATAAAGTTCAAACTATTATGTACTTAACTAAATAACTTTGCATTCGAACAAGTTTAGTGTTCTCTTCTCTTTTGCTTTTGTACCCTTAACCCTTTACATCCTAACATTAGTATACAAAATCTCCATAATCTTCTCTATACATTTCCTAAGGTGCTGACAGGGAGAATTTGTTTAACAATCAAGAGCTTCTTTAGTTGGTGATCATTTCCTTTATTCTCGGATTCGGGGATGATGTGCGGAGAAATTAGGAGCTAATCACTCTCAGGGGTTAAAAGGTTAAGCACAGGTTTTATCTGGCGTCTGACCGCTGTGTAGATGCTCCTCAAGGCGCATATGCTCCCTTGTAGCTTGTGCTTCGTGTGACTTTCGTCTAGAGTGCGATTAATGGTGCAGAGGTACTGTAGATAATTATACAGCACCTTGAATTAGGCAAGAAAGAAAAGTAAATAGATATTGATCCATGTCTGCTTTCCTTACAGCTCCAGAGAAATTCCCAGAGAACTTGCGTGGAGTACCAAAGAAGGCCGGTGAACTTGATATTGCTTGGACGGTAAGTACCTTTTGATTGGCCGAATCTCACTACGTGACCTGAAAATAATTGCTTATAGATGATATTTTGCCCATACACTTCGGGGTTTTCTGGAAGTGTGAGGGTCCAACTCGCTGTAGCTCATACAATTTCGAACTGGCAAGTGGACAAGTTTTTTGTCAGGCCACCGACAAATTTTGTATCGCACAAGAAGCGCAATTGGTCGCACCAAAAGATTACTGGTAAATTGTGACCTCAATTTCTCTTTGGACCAAGAAATTGCTGCTTTGTAAATTCCTTCAATGGTATTGCAATAATTGCACGATTTTTCACGAGTATTTTTTACATTAAAGTAGGCGGCTAAAATGTGAAGACTAACCGGTGTTTTTGGACGGATTGATTGATTTCAATTGAGTGTAGAAAGTATTCCTAGATTGCTTCATTATTTGCTCTACTTAGCACCATGATTGGTCACCAGAAAGCGCAACAAAAAATTCGCGTCATGGACACCGTGTCGAAAAGGTGTATTGACAGTTATGATTAGTCAGTATTTGTAAGAAATCATTTTAAATTGACAGCCTATGCCGAAGGTCTATTGGAACGGTCCTGGGTTTTACTATATATTGGAGTACAGAAAAGTCGTAGAATCGGCGAATGAAGATTCTCCTGATCAATGGAAATACGCCAGACTGCCTGATCAAGCTTCAACCTTTAAAGTCGACAATCCTGGGTACTATGAGCTTTGGGAGTTTAGAATTCGCGCCGGAAACAACTTGGGCCCAGGACCCTTCAGCGCCATCGAACGATCCCGTTCTGGCCAAGATCCACCTGAGGGACAACCAAAGAACGTAGCGGTGCAGATTGTACAGGCACGCAGTGCGAAGCTTTCATGGGAGCCTGTTGCTGCCCCGTCCAGAGGAAGTGTCGATGGATATAGGGTAAGGGACTTAAAACACTTAAATCCCAAGATCTAATAGTTAATTCTGTCCTCAAGCTGCTACCATATCCTTATAAATTAGTTACGAGAATTTGGTGTTGGATCATGATGACAACCTTGCCTGAAACGAACCTGATAATTTCTGAAGTGGAAAGAATAAAAGATATTTTAACAATCTTTAAACAGATTCACATTACGTAGATTTACTTAAATGTTGAATGAAACTTGATTGTGTCGACTCGAAACTCCACCCTCGATTGTTAAGAAGTTCGAGAATCGAAATTTAAGTTGCGAGGTTCGATTATCGTTGACTGTGAAAAAGTTAATCGCGCGTCAAGTTCTATGTATCTCGATTCGATAATATTTCAAATACCTCCAAACATTTTTAAACTTTACCTAAGCTTCGATAATCAAAGTTTCGAGGAACATGAATTCATGATCCATTGGGTCTCAAGTCTTGAGCGTTGATTCTCGAGTCTCGAGGAACTTTTAACTAACATCTGAGCAGCACTGCAGTTCCCTTGATAATCTCTGGAGGTTTCTTTCTTATCTTTTCTCGTGTTAAAAATTTGCAGATTTTTTACTGGGGCACAAGCCTCCTGGCAAATGCAAGGAGAAGAAGACGAGCCATTCCAAGCTATGCGAACTCTACAGATGTCAAGGGGCGAACAACTTCTGAAACGACAGTTTTCGACCTGAAACCCTACACCTCGTACACAATGGCAATCAAAGCTTTTAACAGCGGAGGGGAGGGCCCAGCGAGTGATGAAATAGATCTTGCAACACTGCAGGATGGTATGTTTAAACAAACTTGCGATAGTTTAATTTGTTTTGTTTAAGTGGAATTTGGAATGAGGAACTAGAGCTAGGGAATTTTTATCATTTTAGCTACCTGAAAGTCATCGAATAGACTGAGATTTCAAATTAGGCTGAAGTCAACTTAGGCGAGTGCAGTTTAGCGGTTTTACCCATGGAGGCTGTTAGGAGGCTTCCAGGGAAATTTAAGTCGCTTGCTTTGTTGTCCGCCTTCAGACGCTTTTGACCAGGTTCCAGGTTCTCGTTATAAGCGCTGCTGGATGCGCGTTTATCCGTCCGAGGAAAAATTTGAGATGAGTCGTGGAAATGTTTGCTAGGAGTCTGCTAGAGCCCTTTCCGACTTCTCGCCGGTTTGCGTAGCTCATGTCCTCATAATTTTCCGCAGACGAAAAAACGCCCGTGCCGAAAAGCTAATATTAAATGAGGGCCGGCTCACGGGATAATTGCTCCCCTTTTGCGTTGTTTTTAATGCACCCATCTCCATTACTAAAAACTCATTTTTCACTTCTGTTGAAACTTGACCTCCGCAGTTCCTGGACGCCCGGCAGATGTGAAAGTGTTCGCATTTGCGTTGTATATCCTGATCACATGGAAACCACCTACAGAACCTAATGGAATCATTACAAATTACCAAGCGGGATCTGCTAAGTACACTGGTTCAGAGCCTAAGGATACTCCAGTGGAGATGACACAGTTAGCAGCGTCGAAGAGGAGGCACCTTATTGGACAACAAGAAGAACTGACAAACTATGTTGTCGAAATACGAGCCAAGACCGAACCGGGTTACGGTGAAAGTGTAAGAATAGCCACAAGAACAGTCAAAATTTCTCGTAAGTCACGACAAATTTGGAAAATCTTTTTGATTACAGTGACCTATCTCGTAAGAAGACACCCACGGAAGCTGAAAAGAGTGTGCGTTAGTAGGACTGACTACTTACGGGAATTATTTATACGAGGGTAGATGTCCACTTACGGAAGTGTTTTATGTTGGACTCTTGTTAATGTCAAACGAACGGAAAGCTTGCGCTCCTGCAGACAGATGGAGATTTGACAAAACCGACTCCCACTGCTCTTTTGCTCTGTCATAGTCAAATTTTTGTTGATTTGCAAATTCAAGACCACCTAACCGTCCAGAGTCATTTAATAACCGTTGGATGTCCGCTTACGAGAGAACATGGTCAAAAGAAAAATCAAATTTTCAATTTGAAAAGTGTTCGCGTCCGCTTACGAGAGAATGTCCGCTTACGGGAATGTGTAAATACAGAGTTTGACTGAGGAGCAAAAAATGGGAATTGAAAAAAGTGTCCGTAGTAGAACTGCCCGCTTACGAGAGTGTTCTTCATGGAAGAGTTTACTTCACTTGCACGATGATGATAAAATTAATCTTTTATTTTTTTTTTCATTCACAGCACCTGCCAAACACAATGCTCCCACGGTTGAACCAACAGGAATCGACAAAGTCAGGGTTATTTGCGAGATCGCTGTTGGTGGAGGATATACACATGAATTCCTGGTTCAGTACCGACAGAAATGTAAGTTGCATCCTTGCATCAGTATGCATATCTTTACACATTGTTTAGGTTTCTCTTTAGGAGAATTTGCTTAACTATCGAAGCGGTAACGCTTAAAACGTCGTCTTTAGAAACTCTCTACGGTAGGAAATTTACGTTTCAACACAGCTGCTAGAACCAGAGTATCTTGTAATGATACACCGCCAACGCAGCGCCACAGTTTGTTTAGAAAGTAGCCCCCGTTTTTACAGGAGTAATAAACTGATTTGAAGATAGAAATAAAAAAGATGGTAAGTTTTGAGCTCGGTAAAGAAATAGAGGAAGATTGTCCCACACTCGTCACAAGACGAAAAAAAACATCTTTCTCTTTAAGCTGATTTGTTTATTTGTCTCTCTTTTTGTTAGTGGAGGGTGAAGAGTTTGTGAACTCATCTTGGATTAATTACTTGGGTGGCGACTTGGATCTGGAGATTGGTAATCTGGAGTCTGCCTTGTACCAGTTTAGGACCATCGGCAGAAATGATCAGGGAGAAAGTCCGCCGAGTGGCATCACTGAAGCCAGACCCATCCCGGGAATTGTGGGTAAGTGCTATACATACTTAGTATGAGACTTGGGCACCGGCGGAATGTCAGAGAAATCTGACACAGTACCGCGTGGGGGGGTGAGGGGGAGGGGGGGTGGGGTGAAGGTTAACTTGCGATGTTGGGGAAGTAGAAATGCTCGTATTCGAAACTGGGATTAGTTCCAGTCTCTAAGCTCGAGTAGTTTTGACCTAACTTCTGCTATGATAAGGAGTTTTTGACCATATATCACGAGAGAGAGAGACAAAGAAGAGAGAAAAAAAGAGAGAAAAACAGGAAAAATTTAGTTGCTCCCCCTGAGGGCTGGAACCTCAACCACTTCCTATTTCGCGGTGAGATTAGCTTGTGTAGCCGACGTTTTTGTGTATCTTTTGAAGTGTTGAACCGTGGCGAAGTCGCAAGAGGTTTCAGACGGAGAATACAGGTTTTTCTCCTCAAACCTTTGTTGCGTGTGCCCATAGAACTTATCGACAGATATACGTTGTTTCTTCGGGGACGCCTATCATCTCGTTCACCCCCTCTTTCCCCCCCGGCTAAGAAGAAGGAAACAACCGGCAGTTCCGAGTGCTTTGAGTCTGACGTTTTCTTTCTTTCTCACTACAGCTGGCAAGAGATCAACTACTCCTATACACCAGAGCGCTTGGTTTATTGCCTTGTTGGTTCTTATTGCCATTCTCCTCATTGTGCTGCTTATATTTGTCCTTTACACCCGTCGCCGTGGATCAAAATACCCAGGTAAGACAATAATGGTAATTGAAGTGAGGGGAGTCTGACATCATGTTCTATTGAAGGCGAAAATACTCAGCTCCTTTTTCGTTGATGCTGAAATGGATAACAATGAAAACAAACTTGATTGTGTCTTTAACACCAGATACTCATGCAAAGCCTTAATTTGTTTTATTTCTCTTAAGTTGGTAAACGCGAGAAGAAACGAGCCGCTCATCTCATCGACCGGGAATCATTCGATGAAGAAGAAGGTCCCTACCAACACCAAGGGTAAGCGCATGCCAGGAATAATATATATTTTTGCCTTGAAAGACTTACAGGAAAGAAGTTCTCATTTTCTATTTTAAGGTACACATACGCATTTGAGAAAATGAACTTCAATTACTTGAGAGCAACACTGACAAAGAAGATCTTGCGCGCAATCGTCTTTAATGGAACGAAATTTTGACGTGTTTCTTTCTTTGGAATCGTCAGCTGCTTTGTACAGAGCTTCATTTTTTGCAATTTAAGTGTGTAGGTCTTAATATTGGTTTGTACCGCGAACACATCTACAGTGCATGCGCTTATCTGTTCGGTGGTCGTCTTTCCTAATAGATTAAAGGGTTTACTTGATCGGGTTTTCCCTCAGTTATCCACATAGTTTTTAGGGAAAGAGAGGGACCTTGAGGATTAAAGGTCCAGAGCTCGAGTCCAAAGCGGTAAGCAGTAGGTCAGCGGGTTTTCGATTTGATTTCGCTTAGATGGGTTACCAAGAAGTGGAATTTTTACATCTGTGCTGAATAATGAATGACTTATCTTGTCTTTTTTAGGGATGAAAATCCCCCACCCTACCAGAGTCAGGGCTCATTGGATAAACGGGATAGTGACCGGGATAGCCTGGACGACTACGGCGAGGGACCACAGTTCAACGAAGATGGGTCCTTTATAGAGGAATATGGGGACGAGAAAAAACCACCAGCGGACGAGAAAGACCAGTCTGCATTTGCGACATTCGTTTGAGGACATTTCTGTAGTGTACCAGTGTTGTTTGGTGATCCCAAAAAGTAAGCTGGGTACAGTTTGTCAATCATGATCTTTGAAAGCTTAAGACCGCTGACTCAGTAGTCAAAGAAAACGCTTAGTTAAAAAGACGAATTGTGGCTCGTCCCCAATCGTAAATGGCTGTTCTGATAGAAGACATTCAACCATTCTTAGGGTAACTACTAATGCGACGGCGATTCTTAGCACCCTCTTTTTTTGTATAAGACGTTTTAGATGACGTAACCCTTTAACTCCCAAACTCTGATCGTTAATTCTCTCCTTTGCTTCCAAAAAATTTCCTTTTAAATAAGTTACGAGAATTTAATGTTTGGGAGTTTAAGGGTTAAACGTCTCAGGTGTGAAAACAGTCAGAGCCATTAACGGAATATTTGGCGACTTTAAACTTATCAATTTTGTTGTTTTCAATGAATTTGAGTTTCTAAAACGAATTGTTAAAAAATCAGTGTCGTTAGGTAGTTTCAAATTAACTCCAGAAAGCTCTCTGAGAAAAGAAATTAGTGGCGATACGTGGCAGTACGTCGCAAACTGAATGCTTATCATTTGCTTGTAAGCAGAACATAACTGCTAAAGAGGCTGTATGTTATTACCGTAATTAAGTGTTCTAATAAGAGCTGTTAGAAGTTCGACCTCGTTTGAGGACGGTAAATGAATATTCGAATCGTATTTTATTTTGCTTTAAGTTTCGAAGATGCGCTCAAGGTGTGTCAAAGAACAACGGGCAACCGTGAAATGACGCGAAGGAAAAGCTGTGTTAGCCCGTCCATCGTATCTAGACTGCATTTGTTTTAGTTCTTTATTGCGAGTCGCCGGTCGCCAGTCTGATAGCAGGAAAAACAGGAAGAGGTGTTTCTTCCAAGAGAAGTCCAGTTAGGTTAAAATTCTGTTCAATTTGTTTTCACACGTTGTTAAGAAGCAGCAGGCAAAAGTCAGCATATTTATTCTAATTATTGAAAGCGATATAGTGTAAATTGCCAAAATTCGTAGTTAGTCGTACTGTCGAATGCTCTGTGCATTGTTAAGTCAGTTGTAAAGAAGTTAGGTTGATCTTGGACTGTAATTTTGTTTGTTTCGGTGACGCATCTTAGGGGCTTCGTTTCAATTTTTTTTCTTGGTAGGGTGGCGGTTTATATTCATTTTTTTTTTATTCATTCAATGCGTACCTTTTGCTATTAAAAAAAAAGTACCTTCTTGTAAAGTTTGATTTTTTCCTTTTTATTCACGACGTAGCAATGTATGATGGAAAATCACAGTGTTTTTATACTGATCAACCTGCACGTCATGAATTTCTTATTTCCTTTTGGAGCGTGTCTTAGTTTCTCTCAACTTGGTAGTATCCAGCAGAGTTAATAGATAACATTAAAGAAGTATCATTTCATTTCACCGCCATCTACCAGCTTACGTTAGACCACTGTGATAAAGTTACATATCTTGTGGTTAGATAAATAACCTAACATTGTCGTTTATTTCTGATCCTCAGTTTTAAGTTGCGGTACTTCTATTATTTTTAAGTTTTTACGATGTCATCGAGCAGATTTCACCGGAAAGTAGCAGCATTCTGGGAGTGTATTTCCCGTCCCAGTCAACCCTCACCCCCTCCTCCCCCAGACTTTATAACGTTCCCGTTAAGGAAAAACGTTTTTGAAATTAAAAAACGCCCCATCCTCCCGTTGTCGAAAAGTTGCTGTTACTTGAAGGTGTTCATACTCTGGTTATTTAATAAGGGATGTAAATGTTCTTTTAAAAATAGGGAACTGTTGTTTTATAGAAATAAAGTTGTTTGAGCTTGTAGCCTGTTCGCCCTCCTTTTGCTGAGAAGCTTTTGGTGTATCAGTTTTACAATCTGAAGCTCTGCAGTATTTTTGGAGCACAGATCTGATTACAACTCTTCCTTCGTGTTCTAACACATTATCTTTTAAATTAGCAAGGAGTATTCGATGTCATGTCAAGTTAAAACCCTGAGCTTTCCGCTGATGATGAGTTAGTCTCTTCTCATCACCCGATCGCTTGGCAAAGCATCGATATTATCAAGAGAAGTTAACACATTTATCACTTTTAGAAGTTAACTGAAATACTGAAACAAGACAGGATATTTTGGAATTCATCTTTATTAACTAAGCGTTATGGCATTTTTTATTCATGGAAAATTAACCAAAGTAACATGTTCTTTTATCAATTTAAATAAAGCAATAATAGCAGATAAACTTACGACTAATTTAGCGGCTCATTATATAAGGCAAGCAGATAAATTTGAGAATCTAACTCCTACGGCCATTGGCTAATATATATTTGAAAGCAGAAATCCTTAACTCTGAGCGCTTAGATTTTAGCAAATCTTTAGTAACTGAAAGCAGCGGTGTACAACAGATAGCCAATTTTAATTCTGGAAGCACAGAACCTTGTCAGCAGAAACTACAGCCTGCATCTATCACTATCCAATATCTCTTGGTGGTATTAAATCATTCTTTACCACAGAAGTTTTACAGGGAATCTTCAAGACTTGGCAAAATAGGACTATGCTAAAATAGTTAAAAATCGTAAGTAAACCATTTACTGTAACAATTTCTTACACTAAATTTCCTTAAAAAAAAACACGAGTAAATTAAATAACTAACTCCTGTATCAAAACATAGGACAGTTGTGTCCCTCACTGTGTGCTAAAATTTCCTATAAGTTGTCAACTGGGAGACTGAATGCTACACTAGTTCATATTTTTAGCCAATCACAAATGGCGAAAAAAGTAAGTCGAACCAATCGGAAAGCGAGAGGCAGTAGAGATATAGCGTGGGAAAATTAGCGCCAGCGAAACAACATTTAGTTTAGTCTTACACCTGATTGGCTGAGATGAAAAGTAATTCCCACTTCTTCGCGGTGCTCACTTTGTTCCCGCGAACACGAAAGTTGAAGCTGACTTGAGCCTGCCAAATCTACTTCTTTCGTGCAGTGAAAATAGAAAGAAAGAAAAAATCAAACCGACCAATCCTAGCGGCACCACTTTCCCAATAATGGTGTCATTCTACTCAAAGGAATGCTACCAAACTTGAAATAAATCAGTTTTAAAACTAAGACAAGCAGTTAGTGATAACTGTCTAACAATATGGGAAGAAAACATTTTTTCTGAAACAATTTCCTCTCAAACAAACAACCGAGCCCGCAGTGCCTGTTGGAGAGTTTAAACTCCCAAAACATAAAATAAGAAAAATTGACAGAGTTTCTGACTCTTCGAGTGCAAACAGGTTTGATTTTCTCTACAAAGGAACATGATGTTCTACGACTAAACACTTTTTCAAGTTTCGTTTTTAAACCTATAATCGTCAAAAAATAAAATAAAATCTCAAAAGCAGTGAGTAGTTTTTTATCGAGTCCAACTGTTTGAGAGACTAGCGTGGTTTTTCTTCACCCCTCGCATAGTATTGTGAATCAAAAGTAACGAAATATCTATCACTTCCAACTCTCAGTTTAAACTCTCTCAACTTGCAACGGTGCTAAACGGTTGCAAATTTAATTTTTAAATTATTCTGCATGTTAACACTCAAAAGACTCAGTAGAGGGAAATCTAAGACTTCTCAGTGTTACACAGCTGGATCTTGAACTTGTTCATGCGGAGTATCGCTTTTCTTCGCGTCAAATTCACCCACGAAGGAGCCATCTTCTGAAAAATATGCTCCTCCTCCGCCATATTCATCCAAGCTGTCGTGGCTTTCGCTGTCAGCTTCATCCACACGTTCAAGTCTTGTTCTCCAGTCCTCGCGCGGTTTAAAGTCGATGGGTTTTGGATTTTCTTGACTGGCTTCCTTTTCTTTATCGGACTCTGTCAATAACAAAAACACGCTCATTAGAGGATCATCTCTGGCATACTTTCGTTGTTATTTTATTTCTAGATTCATTTGATAAGCGAAATTACATACGCTATTTGATTAGTTTTTACTTACGATCTCAGTCATGGTATTGCAGGACAGAAAGATGACGTCACCATTGCCGTCATTCTACTATTTTAACCAACAGAGTCTGTTACCTTGGGACTGCACAGTTATAGACCACAAAAAGACATCTGCGCCTCGTATGCATTTTGTTTGTACTTATCGCATATTGAAGTCATCCGTGATCTATTACTAAACAACGCATAACAACAAGGAATCTGTTTGCTAAGTTGAGGCAGCGTGAATGATTATTTCAAGGCGCTACACTCCTCCATTGCACCACTCAATTGGATTTGCCTTTTCCAGTAGTCTTCAACTTTGTAAGTAATTGATTCGATTGCCTTCCATCAACTAGGATTTCTTGACATTTTGTTCTTTAATTAATTAAATTGCTTTTTTGTTTACACATTTTCCTCAAATGAAGATGAGTGCTAGATAAATCGCCACTTAAAAACAATTTTTTGTCCCAAATAATTTTTTTTTCTTTTGAACAACAACGCCGTAATCATTCGACACCAATCAGCTTAATTGTAACTAAAAATGAGAAATGTTCTAAGCTGAAATTCTTAACTGAGTGTAAAAGGTCTTTAACACATTACTAGCGCAAAAAGTTATCCTAATTATACTGTGAAGGTCAAATAACTGCCTCCAATTATCCTTTCGAGAATTCAAAATCAAAAAATTATTGGGGAAAGACTTTCCTTGAAATTATGAAAGTGACAACAATTGGAACATTAGTTCTCATGTTAAGCCCTTATGAATTTTGTAGGACAAGGTTAGGGTTTCTTATAAGAAGACCTTACCATGTAAATTTTCGCTACGCCTCTTCCGGCATTGTTTGACCACAACGACAATTACAATAAGAAGAACAACAATAGCTCCGATGATAACGACTGTGATGAACCAATCGGAATTATAGGTGGATGGACTTTTCAGCTCAGCTGCAATTGAGAGAGAGGTTAAACGTTTAATGGGTTGAACACGGGAGTAACATTTGATTGTGTACTCTGATCGTACTGGTGAGGGAAGCCCTGAGAGGGACTGTTGTCAGAAGTGGTGACTGACGTTTGGAAACCCTTAGCGGTAATCATCACCACAGTCGAGTGAGGTTTGGGGAGAGATTAACTCAATTTTCCATTTTTTTCACTCCCCCTTCAAACAAACCGACTTCACGTGTGTCCAAGAAGAACTCAAAGGAGAGTATTGAGAGCGGCTTTAACCCTTCACTCACTCCCAAGGGGGATTAACAAGTAAATTCTTCTCGCAATATCACCACACTGACGGGAGGACAGTTGATGAGATGAAAGAAAAATATAAACTAAGGAAAACTGTTTGACTTTGGACCAAATTCTCACAAATAACATTATGAGAAATATATGGTAGATAGTAAGGAGAATCACTGGGAAGATCTTAAGAGAGAAAGAGAGAGAGAAAGAGGGATACGCCCAATAATGAAATCATAACATGAATTCTTACCAACGTCTTGTACTTCCTCTGCGTTTTTGAGGTCCGCAAACGTGAGGTCGCTTTCTGCACTCATCCCAACTTTGTTTCTAGCCACAGTCTTGAATTCATACTTGTCTGGTTTCAGATCGTCGATCACAGTCCATCTCCTTTCGAAATGATCTACCCAAGCTGTGTTCTGATATGTCTCCCCTTCTGCTGCTAAAAAAAAAAAAGACAGTTATCAGACCTTCAGATACGAAATCAGTTTTCGGACATATTTTTAGTTCTACATTTTAGGAAAGGGGAACTGGGAAACTATCTAGGAAAATATTCTTCCACCTTCGAGGTGTTTTTTTTACTCCAAAAAACCCATAGTATAGTAAAAGCTTCTTGCTGGATTTTTTCCAACCCCCGAATAAGGACAATATGAACAACTACTTAAAAAGAGTTTCAACCCTTTACCTCCCAAGAGAGACTGAAAGGGAATTTCTCCTTACAACCTCAACACAATATCAAGCATAGAAGTGATGAGAATAAAGAAAAATATCAATAAGGGATTATTAGTTGATCCAATACCAAATTCTCCAAATTGAAATCCTAAGAATTGTATGGCAGACAGTAAGGAGAATTACTAATGAGATCTTAGGAGTTAAAGGGTTATGGAAGTAGTAAGAAAAAGATTGTGGAGAGTTTAAAAATTTAGAGCTGGCTGATCACAGCCCAATGATTTTCAGCTGAGAGGGAAGAAGGTATAAAGTAATACGATTATATCAAAAAAAAGCATTTCGTTTACCTTCTTTTCTGTACAAAACTTTGAACTCGAGTGTCCAGCCTCCTCCGACAGCAAAGTTGTAGGTAACATTAAACGCGTTTTTGCCTGGTATCTGTTTAACGGTGGGCTTCAGCGGTTTGGCAGGAGCTGAAAACGTAAGGACGCAAAGTTAAGTAAATCATTTAGTTTGATCTCCCAGGTGAGGGTAGTTTAAAAAAAAAGAACTATTTCCGGCGACAGTTGGTGGTGTTCGAAAACCTTAGCGAAAGCCATCTTTAGTCAATCTGAGGAATTGTTTGTCAATCGAATTAAAAACGATAGAGCGGTTTTGCCTTTGTTTTATTAGCTGCAATACCCAATAGTCCTTTGTACGGTTGCATGCTTGGTTGCCAAGCCTTTGAACAGGAGTGAGGCTAAGGTTGACCGAGTTATGATACAAACCTTACTGCTTTTCAAATGCAAATTACTTTGTTATCATGCTAAATAGATACTGGTCTCTATCACAACCAGGTCACCTTCAGCCTCACTCCAAAGCAAAGGCTTGGCAACTAAGTACACAACAGTAAAATGGCCTATTGGCTAGGACTAGTCAGTTTTGATGGGTATTTTCTTGGCTTATGAGAAACGAATCAACCAAACAAACCAACCAAACAATCGACAAATAAACAAAGAATGAACAGAAAGAAGACTAACGAGTTTTACACACATCGATCTTGAGCATGAAATTATTATTGCAATAAATTCTTTTATGTCCTTTTGAGTCTTGAAGGTATATATCTAATAATGAATTTTTGGCCACACAGATAAAATACGACAGTCAGGTTTTGAACTTCAGTGTCGGAAAGTTATGGTGAGATGCCACAAATCTTCATCCTTCGTTTCAAGCCTCGTTCATCAATAATAAAGAGGGTAAGTTTCTGAAGAAACTATGTTTCTGCGTCGGCGGAGAGTATAACAGAGTAATTTTGTATTATCAACTGAGTTGATAACGTAAATTTGCGGGCGTTAGCCTTTCGTCAGAGCGAATCAGGGCTAGCGCTCGAAACGTCAGCTTTGAAACTCTTTACGATGGCCAATTTACGTTAATAACTCAGTTGATAATACTAAATTACTCAGATTCATCACTGTTAAGTTTTCCCACCTGATTTCTTTACAGTTGTTGTATTCCTCCTTAAACCGCGGCCCCATCCTTTACTAGTTTTGGCTTGCACCTCCACTACATAGCTCGTTTCAGATTTTTTGTTTTTCAACAATATTGTGCGCACAGTAACTTCTACTTCTTCCATAGAAAGAACAACTCTTTCAGGCGAGGAGCCGTCGTACTCAGCCCACCCCACACGATAGCCGTTAATAATTCCATTTGGCTCCTGGGGCGGTGTCCACCTGATCCGGAGGAACTCATCGAATGCATCAATGAATACGTCTGATGGCGGACCAGGTTCTGACAATGACAGAAATAATTAGAATAATATTAGCATAAATTACATGAGTAGACGGAATAATTAGAATAACATTAACATAAATTAAACGGGTAGACAGAAATAATTAGAATAACATTAGCATAAATTACACGGGTAGACAGAAATAATTAGAATAACATTAGCATAAATTACATGAGTAGAACACATTATTCTCAAGATTATTTCGACAAGCCGGGGATCAAATTAGCCGTACATGGCCTAAATTTACCTTTCACTTATCCATGGGCCGAGAGAGAAGAGAACGAAACAGACATCGCAAAATCTTACTAAAGGTACTCGAAAGAACACAGGATCTGCTTCGCCGTTTACGCTTATGGAGCTTGCTTTAATGAACGTACTTTTTCGCCATTAGTTACGAGCATGAAACAAAAAATGTTCTCCTCACTTATTACTGGAGAAAATGAGATATCATTTCTTTCTCCTCCATAGACAAATGAAGATCTCGCTGCGACAATTTGGAGAATTTGTGTTGAAGTATCGCGAGCAATTCGCTCGAGGTAATTGTAGTAAAATAGTACAACAGCACCATTCACATAGCGAAGCAAAAGCAAAAGCAAAACCAAAACCAAAACCAAAGCAACAACGGATCACTTTCAATGCTAAACCGACAAATTCTCCGGAAGTCAGCATTCTCTTACCACTCTCCGAAGTTTCAAAGTTAATTATGGGACTTTCTGGTCCTTCACCGCCAGAGTTAAAAGCCTTTACAGCAGCACTATAAGCTGAGAATGGTTTAAGTCCAGTAATTGTAGCCTGTGTGTTGCTGCCCCCTATGACCTCGAATTTTTCGGCTGTACTAGGAATGGCTCGTCTTTTTCTCCTTGAGCTGACTGAGAGAGGTTCACCCCAGTAATAAATCTAAAATATTAGATAATGGAACATTTATTAGACCCAGTTTTACTTGTCGAACTTTATATGTACTCGAACATATCGGCCAACTCAATTAGGAATTGATTAAGTTTGGCAAATCTAATTTTTGGTCGACCCTAGGAATTAAAAGTGCGTCACGTGGGTGGTTCCAATGAGGGGCGAATTCAATTCCAAAGTTGGACTAATCACCTGTTACAACCAGCTATTGAGGACTCTCGCGAATACGGAAGAGTTAACTGTTAACCCTTTACATCCCAACATAGGTATAAATATTCTCCACACTGCTCTCTATATATTTCCTGCGGGACTGACACGATGAATTTGTTAAACCGGAAAGAATTTCTTTTGTTTGTGATCATTTTTAACATTCTCATGACCTTATTGTTTGATTCAGAGGTGTTATTGTAAGGAGAAATTAGATGCTGGTCAAATGTTTATGCTCTACTGGAATATACTTCTTTGCACCATCACTTACCCTGTATCCGTCGACACTTCCTCTTTTCACGGTGACAGGTTCCCAGCTCAAAGTCACTGAATCGTCAGACACCGTTCCCACTTCAGAACTTTCTGGTTTTACAACTGGGGCATTTTGACCGGAGTGCGCACTTTCCACAGGGCTGGCAGGTCCAGATCCCTCGTTATTACCCGCGCGTATTGTGAATTCCCATAGTTGATAGTAACCAGGATTAGACAAATCAAACATGTTTACTCCAGGGTCAGCGATTTTCTCATCTCTCCATTCAGAAATCCGTCCATTCACTTTTCTGTATTGTATGACGTAATAAAAACCCTGGGCGTTCCATTTGTCTTTTGGCATAGGCTGATGGTAAGAAACGGCAGTAAGATACACGTGTATTGAGATTGACCTGCTGAGTGAGAGACAGCTGACCAAACTGACTGCTTGACAGACTTATCAACTGACTGAGTGACTAGCAGACTTGGACATCAACCATCTGACTGACTGACTGATCAGCTGACTGACTGACTGACTGATTGACGGACTGGTGGACTAACTGACTGACTGACCGATTGATTGACTAACTGACTGACTGAACTGACTTACTGACTAAATGACAGAATGACTTACTTACTGACTAAGTTGACTGACTAACTGACTAACTGAATGACTGACTGACTGAATGAATGACTGACTGACTGCCTAATAGATGACTGACTGACTGAATGACTGACTAAAAAAACATCGAAAACACACCTACAACATGCCATGCAACATTAATAGGAACATCTTGTCGAATTATTATACTTACGTCCCAATAAATGACCAGCTCATTTGCATTTCCAGGTACTCCTCTTAACTTTTTTGGGTGACTGTCTGGTGCTATTAATTCAGAATAAATAAATTTCAACAAGTTGTTATCATCAACCCTTAATATGAATAGTAATACAAAGTAACAAAGGTTCTGAAATTAGAACTGTCTCGTGAAAAAGCACAAATGACAGTTGTTCTTTTTTGTGATTCCAAGACGGAACAGGCAGGTTACCTAATCGTTTGTCCCAGCTCTTACCATGGCCGGCTTTAAGATTGGGAATTCTGGAAAACAGTTGGAAATCTGAAATGATCTTTACAAGGGCAGGAGATTTAGCACTAAAGTATTTAAGGTGTGGTGAGATGGTCAAGGCAGTGCATACAGGCCGTTTCTCGAGCGACATAAGCCGTTTCTCATAAGCGACAAAGCTGTCACCAGCATCGATACTCTGCTTACTATTACAACGCTTACATTTCCACTAAATCTTACCGCTCTGCGCTTCAGGTAATTAACGACTCCTAATATGACTCCAACGATAGTGAAAACCAACCTTACGTTCATTGAAAACATACCTACGGAGGGTGTTTCACAAGCCCCTTTCGCAGTTGACAGACTGGGGCGGCCTGCTCCAAAGTCGTTGACTGCCCTTACACGGAAACGTAGATTGGTCCAGCCAGGGAGGCTTAATTGAAAAGATGTAACGTTAGGGTCAGTGACATTATGAAGTTTGAAGACGGTTGGGTTGTGATTCGATTCTTGATAAATCAGATATTGAGTGATAGGGGCGTTGTTTGAGGCCACAGGAGTCCATGATAGAATGGGTGCCCTGTCATAGCAATCAGTTATCTGAAGATTTTCCGGAGGAGGTGGAACACCTGTGAGGAAAAACAAATAATTATTCGATAAATTAAAAAGTAAATAGAGCGTATCAACTTATAATTATCCAACCGTCAACTACCTTCAATCTAAACATCGTGTTTTGGCGGCAGGATCTAACTTTGTTGTACAATCAATCGCCGTCTTTTCTCACGGGCTTATAAAAAAAAAAAGGAGAAAGAACGAGGTTTCCGATTTGCCGCTGTATTTGGGAAAAATCTGCTATTAAGATGAAGACAGAAAAAAGAATGGTAAACAAAGCAAGAATATCTGAAATGAAAATTATTTTTTGTACTAATCCTGCCATATTTCCCTTGAATATTTGCTGACATATACCTTTTTTATACACCTGGCTCCGGCTGTTCGAAGTGTGGATAACGCTATCCACTAAATACATCTATATCCGGTGGACAGCGCAAAACATTTTGCACCCACCCCCCCTCCCCCCCACTTACAGATTCGTAAGATTTCCCTTACAGTTTGTCAATACGCATTCCTATCCACATGGGCGGGGGGAGAGAGAGAGTCTCTCTGATGGTAAAGTTTCCTGCCCAAGAACGCGACACAAATGACCCTGCTAGGCCTGGATCCGAAACTTTGCAATCTGGGATCCAATCCACCGCGTTTTCTAAACCAATAAATACAATAAATCAAATCATGAAAAGTACCTATGATGGAAACAATGGCGGAGACGCTGTCTTCTGATCTCTTGGGTTCTGGTGTGAATGCTACACACGTGTAAATACCAGCCTCATCAACAGAGATGTTTAAGATCCTCAACACATTTTCTGGCTTTGAGCTAATAACTTCAATGCCGTCTTTTTTCCAAATATATCTCAACTCCAAAGAAGGATCCGCAGTCGCGTTGCATTTTAATTCCACGTTTGTACCCTGACTGACTGTCTGGGTTTGTGGAGGTCCCTTAAAGATCTTCGTCCTCTCTGTCACAAAGCAAGAAAAAAAATTAATACATCTATGAGCCGGTTGATAAACACCTGTTTTAAAAACAAGGATCGTCGCAGCTAGAACACAACTTATAAAAATGGTTGTAAAAATAATAGACGGCTGTGCACAAGGTGAGTTCGACATACACACTTCAAGGATGCGTACACTTAGCAGAACGAATTACAACCATAGTGTTAAACTGCGGAAATCAAGAAATCAATGGAGGACAGATCATCGCACCCATTAATATAAGTTGCCAGCTTTGCCTTACCAAGCAAAATTCCTCGAGCTGTTACATTTGCTTTCCCCAAGAAGTTTTCAGCCATACAGGTGTACTTCCCAGCGTTGCCATTTTCCACTTTGTCTATAATCAAGGTCCCGTTTGCTTGAAGTCTGTAGTTTGCGTTCTGTCCGTAACTAATTGCTACACCATCCTTAAACCACTTCACTGTTGGCTGCGGTTCCCCCGCAGGCTTGCAAGGTAACCGAGCCTGGCTGTCCTTAAACAGGTAAACCGGAGGGACCAGCTCAGGGAAATATGGCTTCTGAACTGAAAGTGTAAAAAGAAATAATTCATTTTTTGGGGGTGTGTGACCCGTAAGAACCCGTTCACGTAATTCTTTCGAAAATCATAATGAAAAACACCACGTAAAAGACTGGGCGGGTTGCGTAACGATTTCTATTTACTTAGGCCTGCCAATTTGATGGCAGAGGTCTTTAGGAAAATATATATATATTTTTGAAAACAGTTTATCACACATCTTACCATCCACGGCAATGTTTATCGAGGATTGTGTTCCATTTCCTGCGCGGTTGACGGGCACACAAGAATACCGACCGCTTCTTTGTAGCTGAACTTCATAAATACCACTAATGTTGCTTCCAAGCAACAATTGGTCGCGGTAAAAATTATACACTTCCACAGTTGGACGTGATTCCGCGGTACAGGTGAACTTCACAGAGCTGCCAAATTTGACACGATCGGAGACGTCTGGAGTCACTGTTAGACGGGTCTTTTCTGGTTTAACTGGAATAAAGCGAGCACAAGATTTGAAGGACGCTTGTCACACACCAAACTATAATTTTCTGAAGCATCTCAGTATCCCAGAATCTTTAATCCTTGTATTTGATTGGCTAATCACCCGCTTATAATTAGTCCAGATTTTTACAATACGGACAACCGTTCGGATTTTTTTCAGCGTCATTCAAGGCAAAGCAGAAAATATAAACCAATTGTGTGTCTCTCTCTACTGTTCTACCACAGTGTTAAAGAAAATTTGATAGTGTGCAAGGCCATTGCGTGCAAGGTATTTAGTAGGCAGTCGGTCCGTCTCAGATAAAAACTGTGGCCTTGGTCTCGAGTACAGCCTTCGTTCTTCAGCCGCGGGCGGTACTCAAGACCTCGGCCATACTTTTTCCCATACCGACCGACTTCCCGGTAAATATCTGGAACGTAATGGCCTCGCCCATTATCAAATTATCTTTAACACAGTGGTAGAAAATTAGGGAGAGACATACTCAGGACTGAGGGAAGATTGTTCGAGATTTCATAGGAAATGTTTTCCCCTAATGAAATAGAGAATATTTTGCGTCTTTAAAAATATATTGATACAACGCTCTTCTACCGTACAATCAGGGAAAGATCTTAATTTGTTGTCTAAAGATGTTAAATGTAAGTATGCTCGATATAACTGCTAGTTTTGTCGCAACAAAACTAGCAAACAAGCGCACGCGCAAATAAAAAGTCACCAGGTCTTACAGTGTACTTCGAGATTTCCACTAGCTCTAACAGTCTTGTTAAAAATGTTTTCCGCTGAACACCAGTACTGTCCAGATTGATTCCTGTTGGCTGTAAATGTCAGAGTGTCTCCTGAAGCCACAACCATTCCATCTTTATACCATGTGAGATCTGGAGTTGGGTTCCCCGTGGCACTGCAAAGGAATGACGCGTCGTGGCCCTCGATGACAGAGTGGGACTTTGGAGTTACCACACAACTTGGTGGAACTAGAAAAAAAGGTAAGCCACAAAAAGGAAAAAAAGATAGTTATCCTCAATACGATTCTTTCAGATCAATGTATGACCAGCATATTGTAAATATTGTCGGACTCCAAGCTCTTATACTTTTTTGCTTAGTTAGCAATACAGAAGCTACAAGAAGGATTTTCGCTTTGGTTCTGATTCAAGGCTCGGTCAAAATATATTTCTTCAAATAGGCTAAGCCACGCTTTAAGAATTTTGGAAAATTAGGCTCGAATGTCTCACTTTGGCTATAAGAACTCAATAATAATCGTTTCATTCTAACAACGTTTCTTTTTGGGAGCTTTTCGATCGACTGTCGTAAACTCAAAGCTAAAGCAGTGACAACAACCAATCAGAATATACGGTAAATATCACAAGAAGGAAATGAACGCTAATAGCAAAGAGTTGAAGGCCGCGTCTATTGCGGGAAAACACAACTGACGAAGTCGTGATTGGTTGTGGATTACTCCCAACGCTCAAATGAAATGTTTTTTTCTTCTTCAGCCTTGGAAACTGTAATTTAAGCTTCTCTGTACAGACCGCTACGAGTGACTAGCATCCAATTTTTCCATAAAATATCACTCCTGAATCAAACGTTAGGGTCACAAGAATTAAGGAAATGATCACCAACTAAAGAAGCTCTTGATTGTTAAGCAAATTCTCCTTGTCAGCACCTTGGGAAATGTATAGAGAACAGTACGGAGAATATGCATACAGATGCAAGGGTGCAAAGGGTTATAAAAAAATTCATTCCGCGAAAGATACATACATTGGACATCAAGCGAGGCACTTGTATTGACAGCGACATTCAGTCCATTCTCCACAGAACACCAATATGTTCCAGACTTAGTTCTGTTCGCTGAAAATTTGAATGTCTCTCCAAAAGCCACAGCCATCCCATCTTTAATCCACGTTATATTTGGTGTGGGGTTTCCCGTGGCAGTGCAATGGAGAGTGGTTTCATCTCCCTCCTTAACAGTTTGGTCGACTGGTTTTGAGGTAAAACTGGGGGGAACTGCAAAATATATATACATCGTTTTGTCCCTGCGGTCTTCGACAGTTAAATATAATCTTAACCGAAGCTTTTTTGTAATCATTGAATCTACTTAGCCTATGAAAAAGTTCCCTAGGACGAAAAAGAAAAAAAAAATGGTAAGCGCAAAAAAAGTAAGCAGAGAGTGGACTGGGCCCCGTTCTCGAATCAGTTCACGCCCGGCTCACACGGAACTCGTCACTCGGATCTTTCTCGCTTAGAATTTATTTTCGTCCCGGTACTAAAAGGGAAGCTGTGCGTAAGTGAAGCCCGAAAAATAATTACGATTAAAAAGCAAAAAAGGTCGTACCCTCATTTTAGGGCATACAAGCATTACGCGAAAACTGGCCGCGACTCGTCTGGGGTACAAATCGCAGCGACAGTTTGCCATGTGAGACAGGCAAATTCACAATTCCTATATATGCAACAGAAGTGGATGCCATAAAAAGACGGAAACCACGAAAAAGCCAGAGTTATCAAATGCAGCCGAGCTCAAGCAGAGGAAAACGCACATGATCAAGACGCGACTAGTTATATTTTTACTTGTGATTAGTTCAGGTGTCGCCATGTCCAGATGTCAAGACCAATCTCAAAAAACTACTAAAATGCGGGATTGTTCATATTAAGACTCGATGAAAAAAACCCATTTCACTCAGCATTGTTTTCTGAAAAAAGATATTTCAGAATAGATCTGATTCGGTGAAATTTTACACGAAAATTGAATCTTACCAATGGTCAATACCTCACGTTGCCATACACTTTCCGTAGGCATTTTTTTAATTATGCACTTTCTTATCATGTGGATGGTTTTGTATTTACTCCTTCGGTAGCCCTTCAGGGTAAGCTACTACTGGTATATTCATGAAAAAAGTGGATAACAGTCTGTGCCAATGCATAAACGCCACTTACACTGCACATCAAGATTTGCACTAGCACTGGCATTCGGACTCATCCCATTCTCTACTAAACACCAATATTCTCCAGATTGATCCCTGATTGTTTCAAAGCTCATTGTTTCTCCTTGAGCAACAGTCTCCCCATTCCTTATCCATGTAATCTCCGGAAGTGGATTTCCTGTGGCATTACAAAAGAACTTGACCATGGTACCCTCAGTGACAGTCTTGCTGACAGGCTCTGTGTCAATAACTGGTGAAACTTTAAAATAAAATAGAAAAGATTGCATCATTATTCTTTTTATCCTTTCTTTCCAGTTGTGCAGCAATGTACTGTGCTCAACTCCGGAAGCGTATTTCCGCCTTTGGGTCTGTCAATGTGTTACTCGAAAAAGCAGTTTGATGGCCATGTAAGACTCAGTTTTCAAGAAACGTGTTCTGGCTTAGTCCCCATTTGATCCGAAAACTCCTCCACGACTTACTGTCAATGGTATGTTATGCTTCGCCAAGGCAATGTAAGTGAAATGTGGCTGACCCTTATATAAATAAAGCAGTTCGAAAAATTAGAAAAACCATACTTGCTTCCAATCTTTCATAATTCATGGTTTATCATAACTTTCCATTTTTTCCTATTTCAAAAGTTTGCCCTAAAACTTGCCATAATTGTCAAGCACTAAGACTCTGTATCAGCCCTACACCCCTCTCTTATAACCACATACAGTCTAGTCAGATTCAACTTGATTTTCCAAAACTTACACTGAACATCGAGCAAAGCACTGGCGTTGATAGTCAAACCAAGTTCGTTTCTCGCCATACACCAGTACTTTCCAGATCGATTCTTGCTTGATTCAAAGCTCAATTTGTCCCCCTGACCCACAACCTTCCCATCTTTCATCCATATCACCTTTGGAGGTGGGTTTCCAGTGGCACTACAATGAAATTCTGCCGTTTCACCTTCCCTGACAGTTTGGTCGCTTGGTGTAGTAGTGAGGCTCAGAGGATCTGAAAGGAATCATTACGCATGACATGGAAAAACCAATCGAAAGCATTTTGGCATGTTCTACTCCTATAAGTGAAAAGCTCCTGTGTACATCACAAAAGCTGCTACACGTTTGCGTATATGCGAAAGGCCAAAATGGTGATTCATCGAAATGGTCATAGAAAAATAAGAAGTCAATAAAAGTTGAAAAAAAGAAAAGCTTAAGACGTCGCGGAACAAAACATCCTCCATTAAAAGTTTTCTTTAAATTCACAGGTGGCATGTGAATCAACTGAGGTGATGAGAGAGCGTTTTCAGTTGTCCTCCTCCACCATTTTCCTTCCGCACGAAATCATTAATTTTCACTGTTAAAGCAAGTTTTAGCTGCTCATACTTACAGTGGACATCAAGATAAGCACTTGCACTGGCAGATTTATCTATGCCATTGTCAGCAGAACACAAGTATTTTCCAGATTGATTCCTGCTCGTTTCGAAGCTTAGCGTTTCTCCTGATCCCACAGTCTTCCCATTTTTCGTCCATGTTATCTCTGGGGCTGGGTTCCCGGTGGCCTTGCAATGGAACGTTGCTGTTTCGCCTTCGAAGATGGTCTTGTTCGTTGGTACTTCGACTACACTTGGTGAAACTGCAACCGGACAAATAAGTTGTTATAAACTTGTGGATATCATAAACCATGTAAGAACAATCATCATGATTCCAACACAGCTCAACATCAAGAAGACCTGATAATCTAAGTAACTTCTGTTTGAATACACTTAGTCTTAAAGTACCACGGCATGGATACCTCAATAGCACTTTCTTGCAAAACCTTTCATGCCAAGTTAGGAAGTCTTAAAAGGTATCTTGCAGTCTTTTTAAAGGGATATCGAAGATATGTATCATTTACTAAAGGATAAACCTGCCTCGATATCTTTTCTAGTTTGCTATATCCGGAATAATATGTCGAAGTACCATGGTACAGATATTGCTCTGCTAAGATAGACCGGTGAAATTCTACTAGAGATCCCTGGCATCTCGTTAAATTGTCGTCGTAACGCGTTTCTTTCATATGCAATATTTATATGGGCGATATATCGGAAGAGCAAAGCACTTAACTCCAAGGACACAGTATACGTCACATTTTCACAGTACTGCGTAATTTCTCAACTTACATTGCACATCAAGTTTGGCGCTGGTAACCATATTAAAACCCAATACATTATCAACTGAACACACGTATTCTCCTGATTGGTTCCTGTCAACTGATGTAAGCCGCAAGGTTTCTCCCAAGCCCACAGTCTTCCCATACTTTATCCATGTAATTTCTGGAGCTGGGTTCCCAGTAGCGCTACATTTGAATGTTGCTTCATCGCCTTCTTCGATGGTCTGATCCCCAGGAATTGATGTGAAACTCAGCGCATCTGTAAGATATAAGAAATGAAACAATCATTACAAATAAAAAAGTGAGAGAGTTTAAACGTGTTTATTTCTGTCGATCTCCAGATCACAACCCTCAGAAATGTTACAAGTGCTGATAAAGCAGCAGCCAATTTAGACTGTGGCCAGTCACCCTCGAAACAAAACTATCGTGAATGAAACCAATTTTTATCCAATTCAACAGCTTTTTCCAGGCTCCCGATCGATGGAGACGAGCAAAACCTTGAGAAGAGAAACTATATGAGGAAGTTACCCTCGGCAGCTGTTAAAGGAAAAAGTAAATCCTTCCTTACCAAACTTCCGCTATTTCTTACCCTATAAAGCTACTTTGTATGTTTAATTGATTTTTTATACAATTTTTGAAACAATTTTTTTTTAAACTAAACTAGTGCTAAGCTTCTTTAGGTAAAACCGTGGCCCTCAAATATTTTTCTCACATTACCCAAAAAATTTTCAATTTTTTTTTACAATCACGCCTGTTCCTGTTCGTATGTTCGGCTAAGCCTTTATGGTCATTGGCTTTTGTATAGCCGCTTACTATGGCTTATAAGTACAGGCGTTTATTGTTAACTTGTAAAACTCCCTGAACAAGTCTACGACAGTTTGACGAAACGCGTCGGGGAATAAAGAAGGTTTACAACTACTGTTCGCAGAGTGCTGCTCACTAGTTTAGTTTTAAAAAAATTACTTACATTGAACATCGAGATGGGCACTGGCATTGACAACTACACGTAATCCATTCTCTGCTGAACACCAGTACTCTCCAGATTGATTCCTGTTCGCTTCAAAGCTCAGAGTTTCTCCTTCAGTCAGAATCTCCCCATCTTTCGACCAAGTTATCTTTGGAGATGGGTTTCCAGAGGCATTACAGAAAAATGATGTTTTGGTTCCTTCGATAACTGTCTGGTCAGCTGGTGTTGAGATCAAACTTGGTGCAACTAAATGAGAAATAAAGAAGGAACGAAATACACAATCACATCTTCCCAAAATACTTTCAATGCTAACAATATCCTGGCTTTAAAATTTAGGATTCAGGTCTCTGGGGGCTCCTCTCTCTACCTTTTGGATTAGGTGTTTGCCGTGTGGCACTCAAATCGAAAATCTTTAATAATTGATTGATGAAAATCGTAAAGTAATGGTTGGGATGAAAAGTTAAAGAGACAAAAAGATCAAAAGAACTCAAACATAGAATGAGTTTCCTGTTTCCTTACTTAATTCCACGCATTTACGAAGACCCCAGTTAAGACAAGTTGTCTTTATATCCAAGACAATATCAAATACCAAATACAGATTCTTGTCGCCGTTTGGCGTCACATTTCATCGCAATTCTTAGCATAAAGCGTAGTTTGCCTCACTGATTTGTTTGCTCTTTTGGGCACATTTCCAAAATGAAGTGTCACGTAAACTTACATTGTACATCGAGAGAGGCACTAGCAGTGATATTCACACCCAGTCCATTATCTGCTGAACATAGATATTCCCCAGACTGATTTCGTTTAGCAGTAAACCTCAGTTCATCTCCTTGAACAACAGTCTTCCCATCTTTCATCCATGTTATCGTAGGAGGTGGGTTCCCAGTAGCTGAGCAATGGAATCTTGCTTCATTATCTTCTTGCACAGTAAGATTGCTTGGTGTTGTTGTAAAACTTGGTGGAACTGCAAATTATATATAAAAAAGGTTCGGCGGAGTCTGTATGAATCGATAAGAGGGGTTAAGTTTCTAGAGAAACTGTGGTGCTGCGTCGGTGGGAGAGTTTAACAGGGTAATTTAGTGTTATCAGCTGAGTTGAAAACGTAAATTAGCCACCGTAAAGACTTTAAAGGCTGTCGTTTCGAGCGTTAGCTCTTTGTCAAAGCTTCTTCGTCCATCGCTCTGACGAAGGGCTAACGCTCGAAACTTCAGCCTTTAAAGTATTTACGGTGGCCAATTTACGTTTTCAACTCAGTTGATAACACTAAATTACTCTACCTGGATTGACTTTATAAAGGTGATGGGGATTCTAGAAATGACGTTGGAGTCAAGTTACATTCTTTTAATTTTTTTTACATTTAAGTTACTGCTGAATGGTTTCGCCTGTGGTCCAAGTGATCGACCTCGATAAAGCTTATCCAGGTCTCCGCAGCACGAAGCTTAACAGTCTCTCTACCAGATGAAATGTCGGTCAACTGTGGGGTCACATTACGCAATTCACCGGTACACACTGGTTTAGGAGTTCCTTGTTGACCAGTTCTTTCGCTGTGATTACTGTTTCTTGGGTCACTGGAACTAACCAATCTGATTATCGAACACAAGGGATGAAGACCCTCTACACTACTCATCACCTTTGCTTGCTTTGCTCGTTAGCACTGTTCGACTCCGTTGATTTTCGACAGAATTATTGTTCGTTTACTTCACTGTTATTTGTTTAATTTATTTCACTATAGTAGCGCTGCATCAAGCTATACTTACACTGAACATCAAGATGGGCACTGTCATTAACAGTCACACTTAATCCATTCTCTGCTGAACACCAGTACTCTCCAGATTGATTCCTGTTCGCTTCAAAGCTCAGAGTTTCTCCTTCAGTCAGAGTCTTACCATCTTTTGACCAAGTTATCGTTGGAGATGGATTCCCAGAGGCATTACAGTGGAATGTTGCCTTGGTTCCCGCGATAACTGTCTGATCATCTGGTGTTGTGATTAAACTTGGTTCAACTAAATGAAAAAAGGAGAATTTTTAGCATGAAGCATGGTTTGCATCTCTGACATGTTTAATCTTTGTCCCAAATTGACAAACGTTTTACGTCAACTTACACTGTACATCAATTGAGGCACTAGCAGTGATATTAACACCCAGTCCATTATCTGCTGAACATCGATATTCCCCAGACTGATTTCGTTTAGCAATAAACCTCAGCTCATCTCCTTGAGCCACAGTCTTCCCATCTTTCATCCATGTTATCGTAGGAGTTGGGTTCCCAGTGGCAGTACAAAGAAATATTGCTTCACTATCTTCTCGAACAGTCAGATTGCTTGGTGTTGATGTAAAACGTGGTAGGACTGCAAATTTCACAAAATATATTCGAAGAAGTTCGACCATCTGGTTTAACATTGTCAAGACGATGAGGATTCGAGAAAAGAGGTAAGCGTAGCGAAAAATTTTTAACTTTTAAAATATAGGGCAGTGCAGAGTGATTTCGCCCATGGGCAAAATGATTGAACCCACTAAAGCTTATCTAGAAATCTACAGCATGAAGCGTTTAGCCTCCCCCCCGGATGAAATACTAGTCAACTGTAGGGTGCCCTCACATAATATGATTGCACACATTAATTTAAGAGTTACATGTCGTCACATGTATTTCGTTGTGATTACTGTTTCTTGGGTCACTGGAACTGACCAATCCGATTATCGAATACAAGGGATGAATACCCTCTACACTACTTATCACCTTTACTTGCTTTAGTCTTAAGCACTGTTCGACTCCGTAGATTTCCGACAGAATTGTTATTCGGTTACCTCACTGTGATTTGTTTACTTTGTTTCACTGACCCAAGCAATAGTAGCGCCGCACCACACTATACTTACACTGAACATCAAGATGGGCACTAGCATTGACAGTCACACTTAATCCATTCTCTGCTGAACACCAGTACTCTCCAGATTGATTCCTGTTCGCTTCAAAGCTCAGAGTTTCCCCTTCAGTCAGAGTCTTACCATCTTTTGACCAAGTTATCTTTGGAGATGGGTTCCCGGAGGCATTGCAGAGGAATGTTACTTTGGTTCCCTCGATAACTATCTGATCATCTGGTGTTGTGATTAAACTTGGTTCAACTAAATAAAAAGAAAACAACTTTTAGCACGAAGTATGGTTTGCATCACTGACATGTTTAATCTTCATCCAAAATTGCCAAACGTTTTACGTCAACTTACACTGTACATCAAGTGAGGCACTAGCAGTGATATTTACACTCAGTCCATTATCTGCTGAACATCGATATTCCCCAGACTGATTTCGTTTGGCAGAAAACCTCAGCTCATCTCCTAGACCCACAGTCTTCCCATCTTTCATCCATGTAATCGTAGGAGTTGGGTTCCCAGTGGCAGTACAAAGAAATATTGCTTCACTACCTTCTCGAACAGTCACATCGCTTGGTTTTGATGTAAAACTTGGTAGGACTGCAAATTTCATAAAATATATTCGAAGAAGTTCGGCCATCTAGTTTAACATTGTCATGACGATGAGGATTCGAGTAACGAGGTAAGTGTAGCGAAACATTTTTTTGAGTTTTAAAATAAAGGGCAATGCAGAGTGATTTCGCCCATGGGCAAAGTGATTGAACCCACAAAAGCTTAACTAGATATCCACAGCATGAATCGTTTAGCCTTCCCCCGAATGAAATCCTACTCAACTGTATGGTACTCTTACATAATATGATTGCACACATTAATTTAGGAGTTACATGTTGTCACATGTATTTCGTTGCGATTACTGTTTCTTGGGTCACTGGAACTGACCAATCCGATCGTCAAACACAAGGGATGAGGCCCCTCTACACTACTTATCACCTTTACTTGCTTCGGTCGTAAGCACTGTTCGACTCCGTAGATTTCCGACAGAATTGTTATTCGGTTACCTCGCTGTGATTTGTTTACTTTGTTTCACTGTCCCCGGCAATGGTAGCGCCGCACTACACTATACTTACACTAAACATCAAGATGGGCACTACACTATACTTACACTGAACATCAAGATGGGCACTGGCATTGACAGTCACACTTAATCCATTCTCTACTGAACACCAGTACTCTCCAGATTGATTCCTGTTCGCTTCAAAGCTCAGAGTTTCCCCTTCAGTCAGAGTCTTACCATCTTTTGACCAAGTTATCTTTGGAGATGGGTTCCCAGAGGCATTGCAGTAAAATGTTGCCTTGGTTCCCTCGATAACTGTCTGATCATCTGGTGTTGTGATTAACCTTGGTTCAACTAAATAAAAAAAAGGGAACTTTTAGCATGAAGCATGGTTGGCATCACTGACGTGTCTAATCTTTGTCCAAAATTGACAAACGTGTTACGTAAACTTACACTGTACATCAAGTGAGGCAATTGCAGTGATATTTACACCCAGTCCATTATCTCCTGAACATCGATACTCCCCAGACTGATTTCGTTTGGCAGAAAACCTCAGCTCATCTCCTTGACCCACAATCTTACCATCTTTCATCCATGTTATCGTAGGATTTGGGTTCCCAGTGGCAGTGCAAAGAAATATTGCTTCACTATCTTCTCGAACAGTCAGATCGCTTGGTGTTGATGTAAAACTTGGAAGGACTGCAAATTTCATAAAATATATTCGAAGACGTTCGGCCATCTGGTTTAACATTGTCAAGACGATGGGGATTCGAGAAACGAGGTAAGTGTAGCAAAACATTTTTTTAACTTTTAAAATATAGGGTAGTGCAGAGTGATTCCGTCCATGGGCAAAGTGATTAAACCCACTAAAGCTTATCTAGAAATCTACAGCATGAAGCGTTTAGCCTCCCCACGGATGAAATACTAGTCAACTGCAGGGTGCCCTTACATAATATGAATGCACACATTAATTTAGGATTTACACGTTGTCACATGTATTTCGTTGCGATGACTGTTTCTTGGGTCACTGGAACTGACCAATCCGATTATCGAACACAAAGGGATGAAGACCCTCTAAACGACTTATCACCTTTGCTTGCTTCAGTCGTAAGCACTGTTCGACTCCGTAGATTTCCGAAAGAATTATTATTCGGTTACCTCACTGGCATTTGTTTTCTTTGTTTCAATGAACCCGGCAATAGTAGCGCAGCACCACATTATACTCACACTGAACATCAAGATGGGCACTGGCATTGACAGTCACACTTAATCCATTCTCTGCTGAACACCAGTACTCTCCAGATTGATTCCTGTTCGCTTCAAAGCTCAGAGTTTCCCCTTCAGTCAGAGTCTTACCATCTTTTGACCAAGTTATTTTTGGAGATGGGTTCCCAGAGGCATTGCAGTGGAATGTTGCCTTGGTTCCCTCAATAACTGTCTGATCATCTGGTGTTGTGATTAACCTTGGTTCAACTAAATAAAAAAAAGGGAACTTTTAGCATGAAGCATGGTTTGCATCACTGACGTGTCTAATCTTTGTCCAAAATTGACAAACGTGTTACGTAAACTTACACTGTACATCAAGTGAGGCAATTGCAGTGATATTTAAACCCAGTCCATTATCTGCTGAACATCGATATTCCCCAGACTGATTTCGTTTGGCAGAAAACCTCAGCTCATCTCCTTGACCCACAATCTTACCATCTTTCATCCATTTTATCGTAGGAGTTGGGTTCCCAGTGGCAGTGCAAAGAAATATTGCTTCACTATCTTCTCGAACAGTCAGATCGCTTGGTGTTGATGTAAAACTTGGTAGAACTGCAAATTTCATAAAATATATTCGAAGACGTTCGGCCATCTGGTTTAACATTGTCAAGACGAGTGGATTCGAGAAACGAGGTAAGTGTAGCGAAACATTTTTTTAACTTTTAAAATATAGCGTAGTGCAGAGTGATTCCGTCCATGGGCAAAGTGATTAAACCCACTAAAGCTTATCTAGAAATCCACAGCATGAAGCGTTTAGCCTCCCCCCGGATGAAATACTAGTCAACTGCAGGGTGCCCTTACATAATATGAATGCACACATTAAGTTAGGAGTTACATGTTGTCACATGTATTTCGTTGCGATGACTGTTTCTTGGGTCAATGGAACTGACCAATCCGATTATCGAACACAAAGGGATGAAGACCCTCTACACGACTTATCACCTTTGCTTGCTTCGGTCGTAAGCACTGTTCGACTCCGTAGATTTCCCAAAGAATTATTATTCGGTTACCTCACTGGCATTTGTTTTCTTTGTTTCAATGAACCCGGCAATAGTAGCGCAGCACCACATTATACTTACACTGAACATCAAGATGGGCACTGGCATTGACAGTCACACTTAATCCATTCTCTGCTGAACACCAGTACTCTCCAGATTGATTCCTGTTCGCTTCAAAGCTCAGAGTTTCCCCTTCAGTCAGAGTCTTACCATCTTTTGACCAAGTTATCTTTGGAGATGGGTTCCCAGAGGCATTGCAGTGGAATGTTGCCTTGGTTCCCTCGATAACTGTCTGATCATCCGGTGTTGTGATTAACCTTGGTTCAACTAAATAAAAATAGGGGAACTTTTAGCATGAAGCATGGTTTGCATCACTGACGTGTCTAATCTTTGTCCAAAATTAACAAAGGTGTTATGTAACTTACACTGTACATCAAGTGAGGCGCTTGCAGTGATATTTACACCCAGTCCATTATCTGCTGAACATCGATATTCCCCAGACTGATTTCGTTTGGCAGAAAACCTCAGCTCGTCTCCTTGACCCACAGTCTTCCCATCTTTCATCCATGATATCGTAGGAGTTGGGTTCCCAGTGGCAGTGCAAAGAAATATTGCTTCACTATCTTCTCGAACAGTCAGATTGCTTGGTGTTGATGTAAAACTTGGTAGGACTGCAAATTTCATAAAATATATTCGAAGGAGCTCGGCCATCTAGTTTAACATTGTCAAGACGATGAGGATTAGTGGAACGAGGTTAGTATCGCGTTACATTTAATTATTAAAATATACAGCAGTACAGAATGATCTCGCCTAATGGCACATCATGAAGCGTTTAGCCTACCCCCCTTCCCCCCCTCCCCGATGAAGTACTAGAGAACTGTAAGGGACCCTTACGTAATTTCACTGTACACATTAATTTAGGAGTTATTTATTTCAAAAGTGTTTCGTTGCCATTGCTGTTTCCGGAGTCAATGGAACTGTCCAATCTGATTATCGAAAATAAGGGATGAATACCTCCTTTATTCCCCGAGATTTTCGATGAATTATTATTCGTTTTTCTTCGTTGTTATTTCTTTCCTATTTTTCAGTGATCTCGGCAACAGTAGTGCCGCACCACGCTATACTTACACTGAACATCAAGATGGGCACTGGCATTGGCAGTCACACTTAATCCATTCTTTGCTGAACACCAGTACTCTCCAAATTGATTCCTGTTCGCTTCAAAGCTTAGAGTTTCTCCCTCAGTCAGAATCTTACCATCTTTTGACCACGTTATCTTCGGAGATGGGTTCCCAGAGGCATTGCAGTAGAATGTTACCTTGGTTCCCTCGATAACTGTCTGATTATCTGCTGCTGTGATTAAACTTGGTTCAACTGAATAAGAAAAGAGATAACAAAATGGGCAGTTATACCGTCAAGCAGTACTTTCAATTCCAATTACTAGCTTTATGATTTAGCATTTACGCCTTCAAAGGCTCATCTCTCTTTCTTTTGTGTTCTTTCCTATGCTGTGTGGATCTCAAATAGAAAAACTCCAAGTAGAAATTAAATAAAAGCAAATGAGAAATGAAAATCATAAAGGGATCGTTGACATGAAGTATAAACGTAGCAGGAAAAGGTTGAAAAGGAAATCAAAAGTGGAATAATTCGCATATTCTCCTTGCTTAATCCCAAGCATTTCCAAAAATGCCGATTACGAGAAATTGCTTTTACGTGAAAGACAGTATCACATAGATGATGGTTTCTTTCGCCTTTTCGCCTTGTGGCCTTACATATAATTTAAATTCTAAGCATGAAGCATGGTTTGCATCACTGACGTGTTTAATCTTTGTCCAAAATTGACAAACGTGTTACGTCAACTTACATTGTACATCAAGAGAGGCACTAGCGGTGATATTCACACCCATTCCATTATCTGCTGAACATTGATATTCCCCAGACTGATTTCGTTTGGCAGAAAACCTCAGCACACCTCCTTGAGCCACAGTCTTCCCATCTATCATCCATGTTATCTCAGGGGTTGGATTACCAGAGGCAGAACAATGGAATCTTGCTTCACTATCTTCTCGAACAGTCAGATCGCTTGGTGTTGCTGTAAAACTTGGTGGAACTGTAAATTACGTAAAGTAAGTTCGGCGGAGTTCGGTTATCCGGAACAACATTATCAACATAATGAAAATTCCAGCTAACGTGGCTAACGTCTTGATGGATTCTTTCTAATTTTTTTCGCCCACGATGCTAATCAACTTCAGGGAACCCTCTAACAGTTTGCCGATGCGCACTTATTCAGGAGCGCTTTGCTGTCAAGTTTTTGCATTGTCATTACAGTTACAAGGATCACTAAAACTCACCGATCGAGATGAATACCTTATGAATTCCCCCGTCCCCTTTCCTTTTCCCCATAGTCGTAAGTACTGATTGACACAGACTGAATTATTGTTCGTTTTCCTCCACTGAGATTTTTTTCTATTTTTTTGTACCGACCCTGGTATCAGTGTAAGTTTACACTAAGCTATACTTACACTGAACATCAAGAGAAGCACTAGCATTGACAGTCACATTTAACCCATTGGCAGCTAAACACCAGTATTCTCCAGATTGATTCCTATTGGTAACAAACATCAGTTCCTTTCCTTTAGCAACAGTCTCCCCATCCTTAAACCATGTAATCTCTGGAATTGGGTTTCCAGTGGCATCGCAAGTGAATACCACCGAGCTACCTTCAGTTATGGTTTTGTTCGTTGGTTTGACCACGAAGCTTGGTGCATCTGTGACACAATACAAACAAAGAAAACTTAGTATACACTATCAAACGCTTCACTCTTTACATCTTCACATAAATTTTCCGCACTGTGCCAATCAAACGTTTCTTATAATTTCAGTTCTGAGAATTCGTTTGCCTGAAATTGTATTGATAGTGGACAAATTCGTGTTTACCCTTGGGAAGGAGAGGGTCTGAGCTTTGTTGTATCGTGAACTGTATTTTAAGATGAATAACTTAATCGATAATCACTTAGGCGATTTGAAATCATGCCGGAACACAATTTTGTTCTACCCCGCTGAATTGACCTTCGGTTTAAAAGAGACCAAAGATTGTTTGTTTTTCGGTCAGACAGAAGACACCTGGGAAAAAAGATAACAAAAATTGCTAACGTTGAAGACGACCATCGGTGAAAACTACAAGGTAAAACTTACACTGTACATCAAGATGGGCGCTTGCATTGATGGCTAGTTCTACTCCATTCTCAGCCGAGCAAAAGTATTCTCCGGAATCATTCTTACGGGCTGTAAACTTAAAAGTGTTTCCTGAAGCCAGTATATTTCCATCCTTTGTCCAAGTTATTCTAGGCGTTGGGTTTCCTTTGGCAGCGCAATGGAATATCACTTCTTCGCCTTCCATGACAGTCTGGTCAGATGGTAGCGTAGTGAAACCAGATGAGACTAAAATGGTAAAACGGAATACACTGAGCAAAAATTTAAACGCAGATAACACTGCGATCTTTAGACTGAATGTACAATACTGCTCGGGTATACCGCAACATTACACATGCGTTACACGCGTGGTATTCCCACGCACTGCGCGCGCGAAGCACGCACACTTCACATCACATCAGAAGCTACTTGTTTATCAAAAATGCACGCATGTAAGTGTAAAATGCAAGTAAATTACACAAAATAAGTGAAGTAATTCCCATGTACGACGCGCCTCTGACTCTATACATACGAGCAGTACTGTACTATAGACAAATAGATCCTAATTGGCCGCGGGTCTGTCCAATAATTGATCACAGATGACGTCAAAATGTGGTAAGGACAAAAAAAGTGGTTCATAAAGCACACCTTCGGCTATGTGAGATATAAACTAAAGCATTTACTCACACTGAACGTTAAGAAAAGCACTAGCATTGGCCGTGACTCTCAAACCGTTATCCGCAATACACCAGTATATTCCAGAATCTTCCTTCTTAACTTCTAAAGTAAGTGATCTTCCTGTAGCTACAGTCTGACCATCCTTCATCCATGTTATCGTTGGAGTGGGATTCCCCGCAGCTGAGCAGCGGAGAGTTGCATTGTGACCCTCGGCCATAGTTAAGTTTGTAGGAGTAACGGTCAGAGCTGGTGGGACTGTGGCAGAAAACAAGCGCTCGTGATATATCAATACATTGGAAACAGAGCACAGCACAGAGATACCAAGAACTACGAAGGGACTAGTCATTGGGAGGGAGGATAAATGTAGGATAGAGGTCTTAAGTCTTGTAACCCCTATCCCTTATTTTCGCTCTAGTTACGGAAACATAATATTAAAATTATATCAATGTTATGAATGAACATGGAGTAATTTTTAGTATGATTTTCTCTGATCTGCAACCAGCTTGAAGAATTCCCTTTAATATGGAGATGTCAAATTTGTAAACAGACACAAACGACCGCACTTCACGCTTTTTATCCTTTGGACAGTTTATCGAAAAAAACCAACTTTTGACAGTCTTTCTTCGCCATACTTACACTGTACGTCAAGATGAGCAGTCGTTTCGATAGCATCACCCAGTCCATTGTCCGCAAAACACCAATATTTTCCAGAATCACTTCTGTTGGTTTGAAGACTCAAGGTGTCCCCTTCAGCCACAGTTTCCCCATCTTTCAGCCACGACATCTTAGGAGTTGGGTTTCCAGTGGCAGCACAGTGAAAGGTTGTGTTCGTTCCTTCGATAACAGTTTGGTTAGTTGGTCTTGAAGTAAAGCTTGGTGGAACTGAAACAAATGAGATCTAATTGCATTTCACAGAGCGCATTTCTACTGCATGTTGTAAAACAAAAACAAAAAACTTTCAAACCAGAATGACCGATCAGAACAAAGGAGGACAAGGAGCCTATTAGAAAGGCAGGTAAGGCGAGCCTTTATTTCGCAACTGATTATTTTGGGGGAGGGGGAGGGGGTGGCGGGAATCTTTGAGACGAATCACACAACGAAGGAAGCAGAAACAACGTACTCCCGCATTACTTTGATCGCAGTTGAGTTGAGCTTCTTTGAGTAACTTACTAAGTCTTTGTAGTCGGATCAACTGGTACAGATATATTGTACTTACACTGGACATCAAGATTGGCACTGGCATTCACAGTAGCCTTCATACCATTCGCTGCCGTACACCAGTATTCCCCAGATTGAGTTTTGTTGGTTTTAAAGCTCAGAGTATCTCCTTCGGCCACAGTCTTTCCATCTTTGATCCATGATATCATGGGAGTTGGGTTCCCGGTGGCTTTACAACGGAAACTTACCATATCTCCTTCAATAGCAGTCTTGTTTGTTGGCTTGGTGATAATACTTGGTGAGACTGAAAGGGGTTAATAACTCAGATATTAAAAAAAATGTACAATTTGAAAAAGTAAGAGTATTGTGGTCAACTTTCACCGATAGCATTGATATGATATCACTTGAAAGAAAACAAGTTTACAAGTTTGGTTTCCAAACTTACACTGTACATCGAGATAGGCAGTCGCATTGATAACTTCACCCACTCCATTCTTGGCCAAACACCAATATATCCCAGAATCATTTCTGCTGGTTTCAAGGCTCAAAGTGTCGCCTTCTGCCACAGTCTTTCCATCCTTAAGCCACGACATGTCAGGATGAGGGTTCCCAGTTGCTGAACAGTTAAATATGATTTTTGTTCCTTCGATAACAGTTTGGTTGCTTGGTCTCGAAGTAAAGTTTGGTGGAACTGGAATAAAATAAAAAAATCATACACAGTATTCAAATCTGTAGGATTTAAATTCTTTATGCACAATCCGTGAAGTATTTTCTTTGTAGCAGCTATGTTACGCACATGAAACATAACCATTGAGTTGTTATTGAGACGGAGAAGACTAGTGATAGTTTGTCAGGGAGGAACCAAAGACAATTGCGGATGTGGAAGAATTAACACATATTGCAATCAACTGGTTACTGATTATTCTACGGGGTCAAATGTATGGTACTTACACTGAACATCAAGATTTGCGCTAGCATTGACAGCGGACGCTAGTCCATTCTCTGCTAAACACCAATATTTTCCAGTTTGAGTTCTGTTTGTTTCAAAGCTGAGTGTGTCTCCTTCACCCACAGTCTTCCCATTGTTAATCCATATCATCTTTGGAGTTGGGTTCCCAGTGGCAGCACAATGGAAGACTATCATGTCTCCTTCAGCTACAGTCTTGTTTGCTGGCTTGATGATAATACTAGGTGAAACTTAAAGGTGAAGGAAAAAACAGGTAACAAAAGTGTCCATCTTCAAAGACTACTGAAGTAATGACAAGTACATAGAAAACACAAAAATAAATAAATAACATAAATTAACCTTAAATACAGATAAAAGGCATTATCATCTATTAAAGGGAAATTTCCACGGCCACGATCTCCAACGAAGGTTTGCAGATTTGCACTGCATTCCATTTTCCATAGCTAGCATACAACAACTGCAGTGAACAAACCGATCTGATTTTTTTAAGCGTCTCGATAGGATTGTCGTAAATGCCCTTTACAGAGCATATTATTTTGCCAGTTTATATATCAAACTTACATTGCACATTAAGATAGACCGTCGTATTGATAGCTTCACCTAGTCCATTCTCAGCCAAACACCAATATTTTCCAGAATCGTTTCTACTGGTTTCAATGCTGAGAGTGTGTCCTTCAGCCACAGAACTCCCATCTTTCATCCACGTTACAGTCGGAGCTGGGTTCCCGGTGGCAGTGCAAAGGAAACTTACATTCGCCCCTTCAATAACAGTTTGGTTGCTCGGCCTCGAAGTAAAACTTGGTAGAACTGTAACAGAAGAGAAAGCACGCATAAAGTTCATATTTGTCTGTAAATTGAAATAGCTCATAGCTATTTTCCTGGTATAATGCTAAAATACTTACACTGGACATCAAGATTCGCGCTGGCATTTACAGAAGGCTTCAATCCATTCTCTGCCGAACACCAGTATTTTCCAGATTGAGTTCTGTTTGTTCTAAAACTCAGTGTGTCTCCTTCCGCCACGGTTTTCCCATCTTTAGTCCACGTCATCTTTGGAGTTGGGTTCCCAGTGGCAGCGCACTGGAAGGTTACCATGTCTCCTTCAGCAACAATCTTGTCCGATGGCTTGAGAATGATACTCGGGGGGTCTAAAAATGTGAAAAGAGAAATCTAAAACAATACTCCTTAGCAATCTTTTCTGATCGTCACGACCTTGTCCAGCGTTGTTTGGTTTTGAAGTTATACTTGATTCCTTTATGTTTGTTAATTAAAGAAGGGTTAATGAAAAAAATAATCAAGGAACAGCACACTGGCTTGCATAAAGCTCTAAATCTTACTTGAATAAACTTCTTCACCTGAGTTACATAAAGATGAGATCTGCATATTGCTTTTCTATCTGTTACTAAGGCAGATGACTTTCTTTGCACATCAGGAAAGACAGTAAGGTTTTCTACATATCTCATTAGTACTGTTATGATATTTCTTTGAGGAAACACTTTTCCTTAGATTTTCTACCAACTTACATTGTACATCAAGATGGACAGTTGTATTGATAGTTTCACCAAGTCCATTCGTGGCCAAACACCAATATTTTCCAGAATCATTCCTGCCGGTTTCAAAGCTGAGAGTGTGTCCTTCTGCCACAGATTTTCCATCTTTCATCCACGTTATAGTTGGTGTTGGGTTCCCAGTGGCAGTGCAATGGAAAGTTGTATTCGTTCCCTCAATAACAGTTTGATTTGTTGGCCTTGAATCAAAGCTTGGTGGAACTGAGATATAATACACACAGCATGAAAAAGTGAATAACAAAGCAGTTAGTAAAAAGAGGTCAAGTATTGGACCACAAGTGAAAACTGGTATAATGTTAATGTACTTACATTGGACGTCAAGATTGGCGCTGGCATTGACAGCAGATTTCACCCCATTCTCTGCAGAACACCAGTACTTTCCAGATTGAGTTCTATTGGGTCTAAAACTCAGGGTGTCTCCTTCAGCCATAGTTATTCCATCTTTAGTCCACGTTATCTTTGGAGCTGGGTTTCCAGCGGCAGCACACTGGAAGGTTAGCAATTTTCCCTCGGTAACAATCTTATCCTCTGGCTTGAGGATGATACTCGGGGAGTCTAACAACGTGAAAAGAGAAATCTAAAACAAGTGGTACATTTGATAACTAAGTCGCTATATGTTTACCTTCTACAAATCAGCACAAAATAATCAATTCTTTATTTCGACCTTAGCCAACGCTGTTTGGTTTTGACTTTACACTTGATTCCTTGATGTTTAGTAATTAGAGAAGGGATAATGAACAAAAAATAAGCAAGGGAACACCACACTGCCTTGTATAGAGCTTGTGTTGCCTCGGTATAATTTTGATATTTTAAGATACCAATCTTATTTAAATAAACGTCTTCACCGGAGTTACATAAATATGTGAAACTTCATATTGCTTTTCTATCTGTTACTAAAATAGATGAGATTTTAGCATATCCGGAAAGACAGTTAGGTTGAACCAAGATATTTATTTGTGCTGTTATGATGTTTCTTTTAGGAAACACTTTTCCGTAGTTTCTTTACCAAACTTACATTGTACATCAAGATTGACAGTTGTATTGATAGTTTCACCAAGTCCATTCGTGGCCAAACACCAATATTTTCCAGAATCATTCCTGCTGGTTTCAAAGCTGAGAGTGTGTCCTTCTGCCACAGATTTTCCATCTTTCATCCACGTTATAGTTGGTGTTGGGTTCCCAGTGGCAGTGCAATGGAAAGTTGTATTCGTTCCCTCAATAACAGTTTGATTTGTTGGTCTTGAATCAAAGCTTGGTGGAACTGAAATATAATACACACAGCATGAAAAAGTGAATAACAAAGCAGTTAGTAAAAAGAGGTCAAGTATTGGACCACAAATAACAATTGCTATAACGTTATTGTACTTACACTGGACATCAAGATTGGCGCTGGCATTGACAGCAGATTTCACCCCATTCTCTGCAGAACACCAGTACTTTCCAGATTGAGTTCTGTTGGGTCTAAAACTCAGTGTGTCTCCTTCAGCCATAGTTATTCCATCTTTAGTCCACGTTATCTTTGGAGATGGATTTCCGGCGGCAGCACACTGGAAGGTTAGCAATTTTCCTTCGGAAACAATCTTATCCTCTGGCTTGAGGATGATACTCGGGGAGTCTAACAATGGGAAAAGAGAAATCTAAAACAAGTCGTACATTTGATAACTAAGTCGCTACATGTTTATCTTCTACAATTCAGCACAAAATAATCAATTCTTAATTTCGACCTTAACCAACGCTGTTTGGTTTTGACTTTACACTTGATTCCTTGATGTTTGGTAACAAGAGAAGGGATTATGAACAAAAAATAAGCAAGGGAACAGAACACCGCCGTGTATAAAGCTTGTGTTTCCTTGGTATAATTTTGATATTTTAAGACACCAATCTTATTTAAATAAACGTCTTCACCGGAGTTACATAAATATGTGATCTTCATATTGCTTTTCTATCTGTTACTGAAATAGATGAGATTTTAGCATAGCCGGAAAGACAGTTAGGTTGAGCCTAAATATTTCATTAATGTTGTTATGATGTTTCTTTTAGGAAACACTTTTCCGTAGTTTCTTTACCAAACTTACATTGTACATCAAGATTGACAGTTGTATTGATAGATTCACCAAGTCCATTCGTGGCCAAACACCAATATTTTCCAGAATCATTCCTGCTGGTTTCAAAGCTGAGAGTGTGTCCTTCTGCCACAGATTTTCCATCTTTCATCCACGTTATAGTTGGAGTTGGGTTCCCAGTGGCAGTGCAATGGAAAGTTGTATTCGTTCCCTCAATAACAGTTTGATTTGTTGGTCTTGAATCAAAGCTTGGTGGAACTGAAATATAATACACACAGCATGAAAAAGTGAATAACAAAGCAGTTAGTAAAAAGAGGTCAAGTATTGGACCACAAGTGAAAACTGGTATAATGTTAATTGTACTTACATTGGACGTCAAGATTAGCGCTGGCATTGACAACAGCTTTTACTCCGTTCTCTGCCGAACACCAGTATTCCCCAGATTGAGTTCTGTTGGTTTCAAAACTCAGTGTGTCTCCTTCACCCACAGTCTTCCCATCTTTAGTCCATGTTATCTTTGGAGTTGGGTTACCAGTGGCAACACAACTGAAGGTTACAAAATTACCCTCGATAATAATTTTGTCCGTTGGCTTAATGATGATACTTGATGGGTCTAAAAAAAGTGATTTAGAGAAATATAAAGCAAATTGAACATTTTGGAGCAAAGTCAAGATTTGTGTATTTTCAAAAATTGAGCGTAAATCAACTTTTCATTTCCACTATTTCCTAACCTTTCCGACCTAAGCTATCCTTGTTTGCTTTGGGCTTAATACTCGACTCCTTGATGTTTGTTGATTTAAAACGCGATAATGAAAACAAATAACACTAAGGGAACCGAAAACTGCCGAGTATAGAGCTCGTGAAACTTTAGTATCAGATAGGACACCATTCTCACTTAAATAAAGTTCTACACCGGGGTTACATAAAGATGTGATCTGCATGAGGGTTTCTTTCTTTACTAAATTTGTTGAGATTTTGGCACATCAGGAAAAACAATTTGGTTGGTACAAAAGTAAATTATTTTCTACATATTTCATTATCATTGTTATGATCTTTCTTTTAAGAAACAGTTATCCTCTTGTTTCTCTACCAAACTTACATTGCACATCAAGATAAACTGTCGTATTGATAGCGTCACCCAGCCCATTCTTAGCCAAACACCAATATTTTCCAGAATCATTCCTGCTGGTTTCAAAGGTGAGAGTGTCTTTTTCAGACATGGAAGTGCCATTCTTCATCCATTTTATGGTTGGAGTTGGGTTCCCAGTGGCAGTGCAAAGGAAAGTTACATTCGTTCCTTCGATAACAGTTTGGTTGCTTGGTCTCGAAGTAAAACTTGGTTGATCTGGAAAAAGAGAAAAAAACAAACCAGTAAATTATAAGCCAGCAAGTACAAAGATGCTTAATAATAGACTACCATCAAAGATTTTCTGTTCTTCTCCTGGTAGGGCGCTATCGTACTTACACAAAACATCAAGATTGGCACTAGCATTATCGGTAAACTTCAATCCATTGTCTGCTAAACACAAGTATTTTCCAGATTGAGTTCTGTTAGCTTCAAAGCTCAGTGTATCTCCTTCCTCTACAGTCTTGCCATCTTTAATCCACGTTATTGTTGGAGTTGGATTCCCAGTGGCAGTACAGTTGAAGGATACCTTATTTCCTTCTGCTACAGTCTTGTTCGTTGGGTTGACGACAATACTTGGGAAAACTTAGAAGAAAGGACGATTAAGAAGAAAAGTAATCGTGTTCATCTTCAACAATACAACGAAAAAGTAATCAGGTGTCGCTTTGTTCGTTCTAGGCCAGTCCTGATCTGTCTTCGTTTGTTTTGAAATGTGTGCTAGAAGCAGATCTAGAAATTCGTAATAAGGGAAGGACGACCGGACCTAAATACACTTATTTTCAGTTTTTCAGCCTCGATAAGCTAAGTACTATTCAAAAAACAAGAAAATTTAAATACTTCATACTAAGTAGTAGTATGTAAAACTGTCTTTGCAACAATTTTAGGGTTAGACGTTCGACAAGTAAAAATACCCGAAGGTCTAATAAGGGGGGGGGAAGTGTTTTCGGACACCACCCCTCCCCGAACTTCCCCCTGGATCTACCACTGGTTTCGACACGATTGTCTTAAAACTTTTAACACAGCGCATTACTTCGTCAGTTTCTTTATCAAACTTACATTGTACATCAAGATAGGCAGTGGTGTTGATAGTTTCACCCACTCCATTCTTAGCCAAACACCAATAATTTCCAGAATTGTTTCTGTTGGTTTCAAGGCTGAAAGAGTTTCCCTCGGCCAAAGCATTCCCATCTTTCATCCACGAAATCTTTGGAGTAGGGTTCCCAGAGGCATTACAATGGAATGCAGTTTTTGTTCCTTCCATAACAGTCTGGTTGGCTGGTTTCCACGTAAAGCTTGGTGGAACTAATAAATGGTGAATCATTCATGAAGTTTAGAACAGCAGGAGATAGGAAAACATTAGCTCGGTAAGTAAAAAAACATAAGAAGAGGGAAAATAACTCAAGAAAGTACAATGCTAAAGTACTTACACTGGACATCAAGATTGGCGCTGGTATTTACAGGAGACTTTAATCCGTTATCTGCCAAACACCAGTATTTTCCAGATTGAGTTCTGTTGGGTTTGAAGCTAAGTGTGTCTCCTTCAGCCACAGTCTTCCCATCTTTCATCCACGTTATATTAGGAGCTGGGTTGCCAGTGGCAGTACACTGGAAGGTTGCCATATCTCCCTCAATAACAGTCTTATCCGTTGGTTGGCTGATAATACTCGGGGAAACTTAGTGATGAATAAAAGGATATAAGTTTTCAATTACGCAGCCGAGTTACGACTTGTTCATCTTCAACAATAAATTGAAAACCAATCAAGTTTCCATTTACAATCTATTCCAATCCCCTCTCTGGGTTAGCCATTCCTATTTGCTTTCGGTCTTATTCCTAACGCATTAGTGTTTCTCGATAGAGACAGGATGTTAAAGTGTGGGAATCGGGAATTGTCGCATTAAAAAAAGCTCAGGTTACCTTTAATTTTAACCTCAAGAAAGGATATCACTATCGGCTAGAGGAAGATCTTCAAAGGAGGTTTGCAGATATGATATTCATATCGCTTCCCTCGCCTTTTGGAACATACACAAATTCAGCCAAGTTACACGGCACGAATTGAATTTTTTTTTCACTTCGTTGGCATTGTCATAATATTTTTTGTGAAAATACTTTTCTTGTTTCTTTTTAAACTTACATTGTACATCAAGATAGACAGTTGTATTGATAGCTTCACCCAGTCCATTCTTAGCCAAACACCAATATTTTCCAGAATCATTCCTGCTGGTTTCAAAGCCGAGAGTCTCTCCTTCAGCCACAGAACTCCCATCTTTCATCCACGTTATAGTCGGAGTTGGGTTCCCAGTGGCAGTGCAAAGGAAAGTTACATTCATTCCTTCGACAACAGTTTGGTTGCTTGGTCTCGCAGTAAAGCTTGGTGGAACTGAAACAATGGATAAAAGCAAAACAGAGTGGGCAATAAGCCATTTTTTTCCTAGCGGTTTTAAACACTAGATTGGTGATCGTTCACGAAAAGGAAAATGAGGTAAAAAATAAAGGTCCTATAACCGCTTTTGGGCAAAAAGTGTCATGAATCGGACCCTGCGATGACCAGATTGTTACAACTGTAGACTGACTCAAAAAAGATTGATCATCTCTGTGTGCCTGTAACAAGCATAAATTCGGACCCCTGATATTCATCATATTCTCGTGGTATAATTAGATTGTACCAGGGTTTTCTTTAAGGTTTTAAGTAGCTGGAGCTTTTTTAAAGGTAAACGGTTGTGGGTCACGAAATCCAATATGGCGGACAAAACGGCATATCGTTCGTACTTTCCTACCACCGCAGCAAGATTTGTCAAAAAGACAGTCCCCATCTGAACGTTTTTAAACTAACCTTGAGTCAGAAGTCTTTTTGTGTTTTCAGAAAAGATAGGCAGTGCAAATTTATATTTTTATTGAGCCCAAGTTTAGACCTGAAAAACATCATCTCTGTTCGGGCTCTAGAAGCAATGAAAGTAGCCGGCGAAACCTTGCAGAGAAGCCGGCGTACTTCGCCGGCTGCCGGCTCTTATCTACAACCCTGTGTACTTACACTGAACATCAAGATTGGCGCTAGCATTAACTGCAGACTTCACTCCATTCTGTGCTGAACACCAGTACTTTCCAGATTGGGTTCTGTTTGTTTTAAGGCTTAGTGTGTCACCCTCAGCCAAAGTCTTCCCATCTTTGATCCATTTTATCTTTGGAATTGGGTTCCCACTGGCAGTGCAGCGGAAGGCTACCATATCACCTTCAGTAATAGTCTTGTCAGTTGGCTTAATGGTAATACTCGGTGAAACTGAAAAAGTAAAAATTGAAAACATATAAATAATGTACATACAATTATCATTCTTTAAGGAGCCACCTTACTATAAACTATTTCAGTTTCCCATTTTCAATCCTTGCCTTTGCAACTCTAGCCATCCTTGTAAACGTTTAATTCATTCTTGCCACTACGTTGTTGGACTGCTGTCGTTTTACTGTTCCATTAACCTAATATCTATCACGAACTTACATTGCACATCAAGATTGGCACTAGCGTTGACAGTTGGATTCAATCCGTTATCTGCTAAACACCAGTATCTTCCAGAGTGATTCCTGTTGGCATCAATACTCAGTGTGTTTCCCTGAGTCACAGTCTTCCCATTGTTAATCCAGGTTATATTTGGGACTGGGTTTCCAATGGCACTGCAGTTGAACGTAGCTAGGCCACCCTCTTCAACGGTTTGATTAGTCGGTCGGACTGTAATGCTTGGTGCAACTGTAAATCGAATAAATAACCAATGGATAATAATAAAATGCTGAAGACGTCTCAAGCACGAAGCACGGAGACAATTGACAAAACGGAAATAACGGAAATAACACTGTACCTCTCGGTTTGGGAAGAGGAATATTCTCAAATTATTTGAAAAGGTAAAATTGACCAGTTATGCTGCGTACTGAAGCCATTTTGAAGTGATATTAGTAGAAATCCGGGACTCAACAAATTTTGCTTCATTGTGTTCATTCATGGTTTTGAAAAACTTTCCAATACTCCGCACCGATCAAAGACGTAAAACTCAAAAGTGATTGTGACTTGATAATCAACGTTTTACTGCGCATAAGTCTCTTTTCTCGCTTCTGTTATATTTTCCTTTGTTGTAAATGGCCGTCGAGATAACTTTGGTTTTCGTTTACAACATGCAACCGGAATTTACACTATCAAGTAAGTACTTAAAACAACCATTTGATACTTACACAGCACATTCAGATAGGCACTAGCATTGGCAATAGTTTGAAATCCATTTTCTGCCACACACCAGTAATTTCCGGACTGATTCCTGTTGACTACTAAGCTGAGGTGATCTCCTTTACCCACAGTAATCCCATCCTTGATCCAAGATATGTTTGGTGTTGGGTTACCAGAGGCTGCACAATCCAATGTGGCTGTTTCTCCTTCGAGGACAGTTTGATTTACTGGTGTAGTTGTTAGGTTTGCTGGAACTACAATGGATCAGAGAAGATCATTGTTTTGCAACTAGTGCGTGCGTTTATCCGCTGCTAAATCAGAGAATTGCAATCGTAAGATAACATACTCGTGTCATGTTTTTACTCACATTGTACATCAAGATAGGCACTTGTATTGATAGCAGGACCCAGTCCATTCTCCGCAGAACACCAGTACTCTCCAGATTCACCCTTATTCGGCGTCAAACTCAAAGTTTCCCCATGAGACACAGTCGTACCATCCTTGATCCACACTATCTTTGGGGTTGGGTTACCGGTTGCATTACAGGTAAACGTTACGTCATCAGCCTCTACGACAGTTTTGTCAGAAGGTTTTATGGAGAAGCTTGGAGGATCTATAAAAGAAGGGGTTAAGTTTGCAGCTAGCTTATGACAATTTAATCCATGAAATTTAACAAGATATTATGTAAATTAAGTTGCGCTAATCAGAAGATTTCTTAATCTAGACTAGATTTGTGATAACATAACTAAAGCATTTTCTTACTCATCCAGTTACTGCTCTGTCACAACACTTTTAAATCGAGTATCGAAATTAAAACCGGAATGTATCGGTTTTTCTTCACCTCTCTTTAACAGTCTTGTTAGGTAGCAGTCATTACGTATTGCTTGGGGAGGGTTGAGGGATTTGGGAGGGGAATCACATGGTTTTCTGGGAGGAGGAGGGAGGTATGGTTGTCAAAAGAAAGCATGAAGGGGGTAATATGGAAATTGACTGCAAATGAGGGGAAGTCGGATCAATATCAGTATCTGAGCAACTGCCCACCCACCCCTCCCCTAACTCAACAACAGTCAATTGATAACAAGTAAGGGTTAATGTTGGGTTAAGGGAGGGGTAGGTGGGCAGTTGCCCAGATACTGATATTGATCCAGGAGGTAAATAGAATACATCAGAGCCCTATGGGGGAACAGGCGAATTTTGCTGTGTGACAACTAAAAGACTACGACCCCCATCCCCACCCCCTCGGCAACAAAAAACAACCGATCTCTTAAATTCATTTGCAGAAGGAAAAAACTTGGTTGAGAATTCCAACTCTTTAACTGTCAAATAAATACTCACATTGTACATTAAGGTGAGTTCTCGCTTTGACAGTGACATTCAACCCGTTATCTGCCAAACACAGGTATATTCCGGAATCATTCCTCAGAGCTGTGAAGCGTAGTGTATCGCCATAAGCCACAGGTTTTCCATCCTTCATCCACGTTATCTTTGGTGCAGGGTTACCAATTGCATCGCAATGGAGAGTCACTTCATCAGATTCATTGACGGTCTTATTAACCTTTTCACCCGTGAGACTTGGTGCGACTGAAAGTGAAGAATATTCGATGTTGACCGTTTACACCCTAACATCAGTATGCATATTCTCCATACTGTTCTCTATACATTTCCAAAGATGCTGATAAGGAGAATTTCTTTAACAATCAATAGATTCTTTAGTTGGTGATAATTTCCTTTATTCTCGAGCCTTAATCTTCGATTCAGGTGTGTTTTTGTAAGGAGGAATTAGCTGCTAGTCAAAAAAATCAAAAGGGGTAAGTCAAAGAGTTACAGTAATACCCTTTAAAAGCCTAGACATAACTGCAGTACTCCAAGCTGCAACCCTTTGGGTCATTCACGAGTAATAAAACAATTGAGCGACTTCTTCTGAACCAAATTGCCCATTCAACTTCTTGTGTTCGGTGGTCAAGTGGCATGTTGTGGCTTTGCCATGGTTAAAAGGGGGGTGCGGAAGAAGGTGTGACATTTAATTGACATGTTATGTACCACTGCAAAAAAGATGCCTCTTTCATTTGCCCCCCTTCCTTTCTGGTGATCAAATTTTTGTTTTGGGCAACCATGTTGAGAATAGCATCTCTGAAACAGGATGAGCTTGGAACCCTGAACCACAATGATCATAAAATCAACAACTTTTGCCAAATTACTTACAATGCACATCAAGATAGGCACTAGCATTGACAGTGGCTTTGAATCCATTCTCTGCTGAACACCAGTATTTCCCAGATTGGTTCCTGCTTGCTGAGAATCTTAGAATCTCTCCAGAACCCACAGTCATCCCATCTTTAGTCCACGTTATCTTTGGGGTTGGGTTACCAGTGGCAATGCATTGGAAAGTTGCTTCATCAGACTCAAGAACTGTTTGGTTACTGGGTGCAGTGGTTAGGCTTGGTGCAACTGCAACAAAGAAAATCAGTTGTGATACATTGAAAGGATAGTCACAGGCATGATTGGCAGAGGCTTCCTTAGAAAATCGAAGGTCTTGAAAACTTTTTACTCGATCTCAAAATCTCCTTAAAAGATGTCCAAAAGTCTTATTCATAGGCAATTTTACTTTGTTCTTGGAGTCTCACATTTCTTTACAAGTTCTTGAGTTCTGAGATTTTTATTTCTTACCCAGCCTCTTGCTCAAAATGTTGATAGATAAGCTTAGATTTATTGTTGTGAATGGAGAAAATTTGGTTATGATGGTTGTGATTTAAAAGCATTTTACTGTGGAAGCTGATACATAGTTACAAACAAACATAAAAGAGGATATCACAGCTCTGTGTAAAACGTCAGAAATATATTGAGTCTCACTTTCTGTCTTAGATTCCCAAACTTATGATCAAAACTGTGCTGCTGCATTGAGAGCAGGCATTATAAGATAATTTGGTGCATCACCTGAGTCAAAAATGTAAAGTGACCACCATACAAAGTTTCCAAAACTAAGCTTCAAATGTTAGCCCTTTGTCAGAGTGAATGATCAAAGTATCCCACAAGTCTGGGATTTTACCATTCATTCCTGATATAATACTGTGGATGCATTTTTAAACACAAGTTGATCTTCAAGTGTTAAGTGAAGTCCAACTACAATAGCAGGGGAATATAGACTACCTTTGACAGTATTGATATTTGTATTACAAAATAGAAATAACACGAAACAAATTGTGTTTATTCCACTCAATCAAACACGTTCTCAATCACCCCTACAGAAATAATATGGACAAATAATCAAGTTATTTTGCATTTCTACTTACAAAGCACATCAAGATATGCGCTGGTGTTCATTACTGTCTTTAAGCCATTCTCTGCCATGCACCAGTAATTTCCAGAATTATTCCTGTTGCTTTCAAATCTTAGTGTCTCTCCATGTGCCACAGTCTTTCCATCCTTGTACCAAGTTACATTTGGCAATGGGTTTCCAGTGGCATTGCAATGAAACATTACCATGTCAGTCTCTTTTACTGTTTGGTTAACAGGCTTGTTCACAAAATTTGGCAAATCTGTTAGAGAGGTTCAAGAGAAAGGCCTTGTGACTACTATTCCTTGATATAAGACTATGATTCCTTCTTGGAAAAACCCACAGCCTACACATGCCCTAGTGCTGAGTCTGCTGGGTGTTTCAGGCCTCAATAAGTACTTATAAAATCAAGCTGATAACAAGAACTTGGATTTGTCTTTTGCACAGGGATGGTAAATCTAAAGAGCGATGACAGTGAGGAGTGCCAGAGGTCACCTAAGTAGATCAGCCACACCCTATGACTTGAGGTAGCTGCCAATTGACACAATACTAGGAAAGATGTTTTAGGAGTGATAACATTGCAGTTAAGTCAGGTACTTAGAAAGATTTATGCATGGGAACTGGAGAGAGAGAAAAAAGGATTCAATGACAAAACATAATCCTGAAAAGCTCTGCTCCTTCTCAGCTGATCAGCCTCTACTCTTCAAACATACACAAACTGGAGATGGTGTAAAACTAAAGTATCACACTTGTAACTGTTGTGCATTGGTGATGGAGATAAAAATTGGATCAGTACTCAGCTTGGCTAAATTTCATTTCCTGTGGGGAACAGGAAACTTCAGCATTCAGCCTCAGAGTCCATAGAAATTCTCAATAAGATATAGCATTCTCACTTACACTGAACATCAAGAGTAGCACTAGCATTAACAGTAGAATTCAGTCCATTTTCCACAGAACACCAATATTTCCCAGATTGATTCCTCATAGCTTCAAAGATAAGCAATCCTTGAGTAGCCACAGTCTTGCCATCTTTCATCCACTTTATCTCAGGCACAGGGTTCCCATCTGCAGCACAGTGGATGGTAGTTTCTTTGCCTTCAAGGACAACCTGATCAACTGGTTTTGTGGTCAAACTTGGTGGGTCTAGAAAAGACATTCATACACTACCATAATGTCCTCATTTCATCTTCTAAATTAATCCTCAAAAGGGCCAAAGGCTAACCACTGAAGACTTTCATTCCATCATAGAAATTGTAGGAAGAAATTCCTTTTTGATCACTCCTGGAAGTGAAAGGGCAAATATGCTATACATCACTTACATTGTACATTAAGGTGGGCACTGGCGTTCACTGTGACACCCAGACCATTTTCTACTGAACACCAGTAGTTTCCTGATTGATTTCTGTTGGCTTCAAAGCTCAGTGTTTCTCCTTTAGCCACAGTCTCTCCACCTTTCAGCCATGATACCTTTGGAATTGGGTTCCCAGTGGCAGTACAGTGGAAGGTTATCCTTTTGTTTTCAATGATCGTTTGATCTGATGGCCTGGTTATTATGCTTGGTGGAACTAAAACAATTTGATTATACTCACTAATGATAAAATAAAACAGGCTGTGTAAAGTTTGAGAGTAATAATTTCCCTTTCACTAGGGAAAAATCATTTCATCAGTCAATAGAGATATATCTTTAAAAAAATAACTGAAAAATAGCTACCAGTTAACTGTTTCTCAAAGACTTGCACTGGAAGTTCTTGATTGACATAGCTCAAAAAAAAACTTACAAATACTACATAGCTGCATTAATCAAAAGCAGCACTTTGTTGCCTAAATCCATTTTTTAACTCCCAAATGTGATTAACATGTACATGTTACATCTCCACATAATATCCATATATCATCCAGCAAACTAGTAACAAAAATATTTAAACTTATCAGGCAGATGTTGTTATCTTGATTACCACTAAATTCTTCTTACTGATTTACAAGGAAATGTGTACCAGCTAGAGGGGGGAATTCACAAGCCAATAGGACATCTTGGAAGTTAAAGAATTATTCCATGTCTACCCAAATATCTACGTAAATGCAAAATTTTCACTTACATTGTACATCAAGAATAGCACTGGCATTCACAATCACACTCAATCCATTCTCAGCTGTGCACCAATATTTTCCAGATTGATTCCTGGTTGCTTCAAAGCTCAGTGTTTCTCCATGACCAACAGTAGTCCCATCTTTTAGCCAAGTTATCTTTGGGGTTGGGTTCCCAGTGGCAGAGCAGTTGAATGTTACAGTTTTGGACTCAATTACTGTCTGGTTTGTTGGTTTTGTGATTAAACTTGGTGCAACTGTCAAATTATAGAATATTGAATTGATATTTGTGAAACACAGTAAAATTTGTCTAAAATCCATGGAATCCCTTCCAAAAAAAAATCCCCTAAGCCTTTTCCTATCTCTGGAAGTGATTTTTAGTGCAAAATAAACATGGCAAAGAGTAAATATCCGTGGCAAAAAAATTATTCCTGACTTGTATGTCTTAATGGTGTTCATGACAAAATGACAACACATTTATCCATGGCCTTTTGTGCTGCCTTTGTACTCAATGAGTCTGTTCATTTCTCTAAAATGAAATTGCAATACTCACATTGTACATCAAGATGAGCACTTGTGTTGACAGCAACACCCAAGCCATTGCTGACTGAACACCAGTACTTTCCAGCCTTACTTCTGATCGCTCCAAAGGAAAGACTCTCTCCTTGTGATACTATCTCTCCATCTTTCATCCAGGTTATTTTTGGAACAGGGTTACCAATGGCAGCACAGTAAAATGCCACCACCTTATTTTCAACAACGGTCTCGTTAGAAGGCTTGGTGGTAAAACTGGGTGGAACTAGGAGCACAACAAATTTATGAATAAGCTGTTGAATCTTAAAAATATGTATCCAGGTTTATAGTTTTGTTCCTTTAATGAAGTCAAACAGAAGCAGTTAAACTGATCCATCATAAAGTACTTAAGCAAGGGTTTCAAGAATTGTGGCTGTCGAGGATGTAATATGCAGCTTTACCAGGAAAACAACCTGAACACAAGGACCTGTTTGCAGACTAAACAGACAGCAGCAAGAGGTCTTTTAGGCGACCACAGATCACCAGTGCACGCTTTTCTTGAAACCCCCTGCTAAGGTCAGATGAGTTTCTAATACATAAAAGTAGAATATAGCTCTAATTACAGTTCATTGTTTGAGTTTTTTTCATTACCAAGAAGTTAAAAAAAGATGCAATATAGATAATTCATGTAAGATTTATAATCATGTTTAACCAACTTACATTGGACATCTAGAGTGGCACTTGCATTAACAGTGGAATTAAGTCCATTCTCTGCTAAACACCAGTACTTTCCAGATTGATTCCTGTTGGTTTCAAAGCTCAGTGTTTTTCCTTTAGCCACAGTCTTCCCATCTTTCATCCATGATATCTTTGGAGTTGGATTCCCGATGGCATTGCAGTGGAATGTTACATTTTCCGATTCAGTAACAGTTTGGTTAACTGGTTCCGTTATTAAACCAGGTACAACTAAACAAAAAATGGAAACACAATCTGAGCTTAAAATTTCTTAAGAAATGAAATTCGGCAAGCTTTTTAATAACAGGTTTTGAATAATTACTTGTTTAACATTCTGGATCAATATCGGTATTTGGGCTACTGCCCACCTACCCCTCCCCTAAACCAACATTAACCCTAATTTGTCATTAATTGACTGCCGTTGGATACTGATATTGATCCAACATTCTGTCAAAATTTTCAGTTTCTTCAAATGATATAAATTCTCAACTCACTGTATTAGTATGTAGAATTAGAGGCAGTGTAGCTTAGTTGTTTGGGCGCTGAGCTTGTAACCTGTTAGGTTGTTCCTTAGTTTTTTGTTTTGTTTTTTGTTTTTGTTTTTTGTTTTTGTTTTTGTTTTTGGTTTTGGACTGAAAGTTTTAACACTGGAATTGCTCTGGTTTTGCTGCCCAAAACTTAGTGATTGACCAACCTTTAGGCAAAACTAAAACCAAGGTTGAGAGTTGAGAGGCGAACAGTCCGCCCTCGTCGCCTCGCTAGGCAGGGAAACCCCAGAATATGAAAGGACCTCTTGTTACAGCATATAGATCACCCCTGATGAAGGCACTAAACAGGAGTGTCGAAACGTTGGGTCTATGAATTGTAACTTCTTCGGTTACATTCATTAAATCTGTAAACCAAAGTAGCATCAAACCATGTCCCAAACCCCAGAATATTTCTGGCAATTCTAATCTAATTATCGTCCAGAGGAAACGTCAAACAATAGGCAGTCAAATCCAGTCGAAATTTATATAAATGCACCAATGGAACCTGCAGTAAATAATACGTTGCAATAAAGTAATTAAGTGTCGAGGTCTGATCGCTATGGATAGTACTCAAATTAACTCCACCATAGCTATTAACTTAAGTTAAATTTATTACGTCTTATCCCCAAACCTTAGTTTTGAAATGCGAAACGAGCTATTTTCCTCATGAGATCCCCGTCTTTTCCACGGTGGGGTTCGAAAAACTTTCGCTACTGCATTCCCTTTTGAGATACACCCAGCGTAAACTACAGATCGCCTACACACACCGTTTACGTGCGTAAGTACTGTCACACTCGACAGTACCGCCATCTTCATTTTTTTTCCAATTAGAGCTTAGCAGCCACACCTTTGAGTAACATTGTGTTCTTCGTGATCTTTACACAACGTAAACACGAAAGAGGTAAACATCGCGCTTGAAATACGAGAAGGCTACAAACGTGGGCTCGAAAATACAGTCAAACACCACTAAAATCGAGAACTTGCTGGGACAGCTTCGCTTAGTAAGTAGAATGTTAGCTCAGAAAGAATTTACTAAAGAAGCAACATCGATTTGTCCGTATTCAGGGTTCTCAATAACTCAGGGAGTAGATTTCTAGCTTCATGGAGGTATAGGTAAACACGCGCCGTGAAGAGTGCTCAACCAGCATGAAAATGTAAAAGCACATATGAATGCGTGTCTTTGTAGAATACAAAACTGGCCTTTAAGGCAGTTATCTATTTACGAAATCTTTGGTAGCTTTTCTATAGGTAACTAAGGTATGCCATGTATGCATATGTCGACTTCTGTACCTATTACAGTGAAAACCATACTTAGTCAATAAGTATCAGATTATTTCTAGACATTCATATTTCCTCTGTTTCCTTTTTGGTCTGTTTGTATAGGAAAAGACTAGTAAGATAACTTTAGTGTACAGCTCTAAATCTACTTCAAAACAGTCATTCACTTACATTGGACGTCCAGGTAAGCACTAGCATTGATAGAGATATCCAGACCATTTCCAGCTTTACACCAGTATTCTCCCGAATGACTTCTGTTAGCTTTGAAACTCAGTTTGTCTCCTTGAGCCACAGTCTTCCCATCTTTGATCCATGTTATCTCAGGGATTGGGTTTCCGGTGGCCATGCAATGTAAAGTAACCTCTTCATTTTCAACTATTGTTTGATTGGATGGTTCAGTTGTGAAACTTGGTTGAACTGTAAAAAAATTAAGTTAAACACTTAGAATATAGACAACTGGCATATTGTGCAATACAGCTTTTTAATATGATGCAGAAACTGGTTCATGAGTGGTGTAATACACCAATCAATTGAAAGCTTCAACATCCCAGCCCCTGGGGCATTTGAACTTTCAAAGATTGGTTTATGGGAGGGGGGGGTGTGGTAATTGAAGCTTCGAATTGATCAGCACATAAGTAGCCAAACTTTAGTTGATCTACAGCAAATGGATGTTTGAGTAATACTCAACCTAAAGATCATCTGTGGTAAACTGATACAAAAATAAATGTTCAGCCCAAATCTCAATTTCTCAACAATTAGCTGACATTCCATCTTGTACTCAGGCAGATTATTGGTCATTGACCTTAAGGCAACTGCTGAAAAACTGTCAGTAGAATACATATACTGTATGCACTAAGTATTCCCTGACTGTCAATCAATATATAATATCTCTCTGTTAGAATGTGCACTATGATTGGTCAATTTAGTGGGTGGAATATCTTTGTATGGCCAGCTAAATAAATCAAATACCACTCCAAAGAAAACTCAGAGATTAGCAAGAAATATGGCCTAAAAACTCTTTGTGATAACAATATGAAAATTATAAAATTCTTGCAAAGTACTTACACAGAACATCAAGACTAGCACTAGCATTGACAGTAGAATTCAACCCATTCTCTGCTGAACACCAATATTTTCCAGACTGAGTTCTGTTTGTTTTAAAGGTCAGTGTTTCTCCATGAGCCACAGTCTTCCCATCTTTTATCCAAGATATCTTTGGGGCTGGGTTTCCAGTGGCATTGCAGTAAAAGGTTGCTGTTTCACTTTCAAGTACTGTCTGGTCAGCTGGTGTACTAATTAAGCTTGGTGCAACTGAAAAAGATCATACAAGAATGTATACCAAACTGAATGACTACAGTGAATTAATGATCTAAAAATTTCTAATACATTGTGATGGCTATGATATTGTTCTTGTTTGGGACATCAAATTGAGTTCAACCTTCTTGTTGTTGTGTACAAAAACAGACTTCCTCTCAGAAGGCTTTCTATGCACAACTTTTTGAGAAGTTATGTATCCCACTGCTTCAACCAAGATCCTCCCTCTCTGTCCCCTCAAATTTATAATAGCGCACAATTGCCATTACTAAGATTACTGGAAGTCTGGGGCATTTATTTATCGATATTGCTTACAATTAAGTTACAAACACCTTTCAGCCATACTTACATTGTACATTAAGGTAGGCACTACTATTGGTTGTTTTATCCAATCCATTTGTTGCAGAACACCAGTATTTTCCAGAATGATTTCTTTTAGCTATAAAGCTCCAAGAATCACCCTGAGCCACAGTCTTCCCATTTTCAATCCATGTTATAGTTGGAGGTGGGTTGCCAGTGGCAGTGCAGTGGAAAGTCACTTCCTTATTTTCCACAATTGACTGATCCTGTGGTTTGATTTTGAGACTAGGAGGAACTGTAGAGTAAATGATACAAATTATTGTGCAGAAGTTGTGTTTCTTATTAGTGTACATTAGATACATAACATACATATTTAAACATTGAATTTCAAAACTATAACTTATTACAATGTTATCTTATACCCTCACATGACGTCTGCCTGGTTATAAATTTTATCCATGATAGATAGGAAAGATGGCTGAACTTTGCATGACAATTGTTTTTCGTGTTGAAAATTTAATAGTTAATAAAATATATTTAGAAAATATTAAGTTTTTGATCAAAACTAACATTGAACGTCAAGATTAGCACTGGCATTCACAGTTGAGTTAAGTCCATTCTCTGCTGAACACCAGTATTCTCCAGACTGATTCCTGTTGGTCTCAAGACTCAGAATGTTTCCATCAGCAATAGTCTTCCCATCTCTAATCCATGTTATCCTTGGGGTTGGGTTGCCAGTGGCATTGCAATAGAATGTTACAGTTTCAGATTCCATGACTGTGTGATCTTCTGGGGTTGTGATTAAACTTGGTGTAACTGAAAAAAAAAGGTACACATATATCTTGATGTATTTATCCAGTTATTACTTAAATATGGTAATTGCATGCAGGACAAATTGGGGCATCAAATAGATAATAAAATAAGGGGTTGATCCTAAAGTTCATCCAGCTGACCATTGCATTATGCTGGGCAACTATTTAATGATAAACATATTAAGTAGAACCCCACTAACTTGAATTCCGTTGAGTCAAACCCCCTGGTAACTCAAACAAGATCGAATTTCCCTTGACCCTATTTTCTTGGTCATTTAAAACCAGCTAACTCGAATTCCTGCCACGTGAAGCTCCAACCATTTTCGTTTCCGTTAGGAGTTTGGGTTATCAGGGTTCTACTGTACATTCAGTCAGCCCCCTCAAAGACTAACTCCTTTTTGTTCTATGCCAAGTGTCTGTGTTACTGAGGATCTTTGATCAGAATAGTTTAGATATTAAATGTGAGCAAAGAATTTGAATGGAAGAAACTCTGCCATTTTATTCAGTGTTCTACAAAGAAAGAGCTGACTGCGTACTGATGTGTACTTACACTGCACATCCAAGGAAGCACTTGTGTTAACTGTTATATCTAAATTATTGTCTGCTAAACACCAGTATTTTCCAGAGTGGGTTCTGTTGGCTGTGAGACTCAGCGTTTCTCCCTCGGCCAAACGGTTTCCGTCTTTTAGCCATGTTATCGTTGGGGTTGGGTTTCCAGTGGCTGTACAGTGGAAAGTGACTTGTTCACTTTCCATGGCAGTCTTATCAGATGGCTTGGTAGAAAACCTTGGAGGAACTAGGAATAAAATGCGAGAAATTATGAAGGGATCTACAACTATACTTCAATGTAGAAATTTTTTTCAAAATTGTCAACAGATACATACATTGAACATCAAGATTAGCAGTGGAATTCACTGTTGAGTTAAGTCCATTTTCTGCTGAACACAGGTATTTTCCAGACTGATTCCTGCTGGTTTCAAAACTGAGTGTGTCTCCCTGACCTACAATCTCTCCATCTTTCATCCATGTTATCTTTGGGATTGGATTTCCTGTGGCGTTGCAGAAGAATATTGCTTCGGCTCCCTCCATAACTGTTTGGTCAGTTGGTGTTGTGATCAAACTTGGTGCAACTAAAACAAAAAATACACGTTCTTCATTCAGACTCCCTGCTTTTGGAATGACAGAAGTATTGATACTTTTGAGTATGCATAACGCTTTACGCAAGATCCCCAATCTCATATGTGGGTCTTTGATGACGATCAACGTTCAAAGCTAGACCATTTTTTTCTCATGGCCAATGCAAGCCATCATGCAAGCTTCATATTTAACTAGCAGTGGAAAGTGGAAGGCCTCGAGTGGATAGACTAACGATGCCTTTACTAGATATAGACCTCCTTAATCAGCCCGTGTCTGAAACGGAATAGGGTGAGGCTGTAATAAGAAAGTAACTCCTTCCACTTTCCGACTCAGATAAGAACACGGTAGAGAGGAGTAATTTTTAAGTTTTTTTGAATCACATGGATCCTTTACTCTACAGATACATGTATATGCAAGTTGAATTTATTTACATTGAACGTCAAGATTTGCACTGGCACTTGCAGTAGAATTCAATCCATTTTCTGCAATGCACAAGTATTTTCCAGAGTGATTCTTGTTGGTTTCGAAGCTCAGACTTTCTCCTTCAGCAACAACCTCCCCATCTTTTTTCCATGTTATTTGTGGGGTTGGGTTTCCTGTGGCATTGCAGTGGAATGTTGCTTTGGATCCTTCAATAACTCTCTGGTCAAGTGGTGTTGTGATTAGACTTGGTGGAACTGAAATAAATAAATACCTTTATGTCATTAATGTTCAATTTTGATACACTTTTTTCACGGAGAGCCATCTGTTAGTTCGGGAAATGTGTGAAGTGTACTGTTACCAGAAGATAGGAACAACTGGCTATCTCTTACCGCAGGCTCATGTGTTTAGGTTTTGCCTTACTGCCCCTTTTTTTGGGCACAGCCACCTTCTGCCCTATCAGCAGCCTTTTAAGGAAAAACACTTGAAACCCTTGTGCAAATAACAAACTTGTGAACTGAATTTCAAAGTTGCTGTTCCCCTTCATTTCGTTGTTTTTATACTCACACTGTACATCCAGATAAGCACTGGCATTAACACTGTCCTCTAAGCCATTTTGTGCCAAACACCAGTATCTTCCACTTTGACTCCTAAGGGCCTTGAAGCTGAGTTTATTTCCTGTGTCTACTTCCTCCCCGTCTTTGATCCACGTTATTTTTGGAGTTGGGTTCCCAATGGCACTACATTGGAGATTAACTTCTTGGTTTTCCATGACTACTGTGTCCGATGGTTTGGTGATTAAACTAGTTGTGTCTGAAATAGAAATAAAGATATCATGGCCACGTGAATCACAGAGTAATTTATCGAAATGGCTCAGGAATTAAATCAATTACTTACATTGAACGTTGAGATGTGCGCTTGCACTAACAGTAGAATTCAAGCCATTCTCTGCTGAACAAACATATTCGCCAGATTGAGTTCTGTTTGTTTCGAAGCTCAGTGTGTCTCCGTGAGTCAAAGTCTTCCCATCTTTCTTCCATGTTATCGTTGGGGTTGGATTTCCATCAGCCACACAGAGGAATGTCGCTAGGGTACCCTCAAGAGCGGTGTGGTTTGTCGGAGTGGTGGTCAAACTTGGTCTATCTGAACCGAAAAGGCAAAATTAAAGGTGAGTACTATGTAGCAAATGTGTATGTGGCCTTCTTTACCATGTGCCTTAAACAATTCTTAATCGAAACTCGAACGTCATTATGGATTTCATTAGTTTTCCCTTACTTTACTTAAAGATTGAACCAGGGAACACAGACCCCGCTCTGAACCAATCAAATGCAGAGCTTAAACAACCTTGTCTTTCTTGCAATTCAGGCAATTTTTTTGTTTTTAGAAGAAGGCTCTTGGGCCACCTGTGAAATTTTTCCTTGACTGTTCTGATTATCCGTTACCATTCATTTTGTTTTACATACAATACGGTATGTGAACGCGCTTTGTCGTCATCTTAGTAAAGAGCTGTACAGCTTTTATTTAAAACAACCCGCAGCAGTAAAGAGTTTTACAATTACTTAGCTTCTCTCAGCACAGAATAAGCGCAGTGTTGCTCCCATAGTGTAGCAGTTCACTTACACAGGACATCGAGATTAGCACTAGCGTTGGCAATAACATCTAATCCATTGTTCGCTGAGCACCAATATTTCCCAGACTGATTCCTGTTTGTTTCAAAGCTCAGTGTTTCTCCTGATCCTACTGTCTTTCCATTCATTGTCCATGTTATCTTTGGAACAGGGTTACCGGTGACTGTGCAGTGGAACGTGGCTGTGGTGCCCTCCATGATGGTCTGGTTTACTGGAGTAGTAACTAAACTTGGTGGAACTGCAAAAAAGCGTATAGTCGGTTTTGGTTTATGGTGCAAGATTAATATGACGTTAACAGAGGCCAGTTAGCCGTGGGCAGAAAGCTTTGAAATCTAACCAGTTACTTACATTGAACATTAAGATGCGCACTTGCGCTCGCAGTAGAATTTAAACCATTATCTGCCGAACATAAGTATTTGCCAGATTGAGTTCTGTTTGTTTCGAAGCTCAGTACGTCTCCTTCAGCCACAGTCTTCCCATCCTTCTTCCATGTTATCTTTGGGGTTGGATTTCCATCAGCCATACAGCGGAATGTCGCTGAGGTATCCTCAAGGGCGGTGTGGTTTGTCGGAGTGGTGGTCAAACTTGGTTTATCTGAGTCGAAAAGGCAAAATTGAAGGTGAGCACTATGTAGCAAATGTGTATATGGCCTTCTTTACTCTGTGCCTTAAACAAGTCTTAATTGAAACTCGAACGTTATCATGGATCTCGTTAGTTTTCCCTTACTTTACTTTAAGATTGAACCATGGAACGCGGACCCCACTCTGAACCAATCAAATGGGAAGCTTAAACAACCTTGTCTTTCTTGCAGTTCAGGCAATTTTTTTGTTTTTCGAAGAAGTCTCTTGGGCTAGCTGTGAACATTTCCTGTGGATGTTCTCATTGGCCGTTACCATTCATTTTGTTTTACAATACGCTATGTGAACGCGCGCTTTGTCGTCATAATAGTAAAGAACTGGACAGCTTTCATTTACCACAACCCGCAGCAGTAGAGAGTTGTGTAACTACTTAGCTTCTCTCAGCACAGAATTAGTGCAATGTTGCTCCCATAGTGCAGCAGTTCACTTACACAGGACATCGAGGTTAGCACTTGCGTTGACAATAACATCTAATCCATTCTTTGCTGAGCACCAGTATTTCCCAGATTGATTCCTGTTTGTTTCAAAGCTCAGTGTTTTTCCTGATCCTACTGTCTTTCCATTCATTGTCCATGTTATCTTTGGAACAGGGTTACCGGTGGCTGTGCAGTGGAACGTGGCTGTGGTGCCCTCCATGATGGTCTGGTTTACTGGAGTAGTAACTAAACTTGGTGGAACTGCAAAAAAGCGTATAGCCAGTTTTTGTCTATGTTGCAAGATTAATATGACCTTAACGGAGAGGCCAGTTAGCCGTGGGCAAAAAGCTTTCAAATCAAACCAGTTACTTACATTGAACATTAAGATGTGCGCTTGCGCTCACAGTAGAATTTAAACCATTATCTGCCGAACATAAGTATTTGCCGGATTGAGTTCTGTTTGTTTCGAAGCTCAGTACGTCTCCTTCAGCCACAGTCTTCCCATCTTTCTCCCATGTTATCCTTGGGGTTGGATTTCCATCAGCCTTACAACGGAAAGTCGCTGAGGTACCCTCAAGGGCGGTCTGGTTTGTCGGAGGGGTGGTCAAACTTGGTTTATCTGAACGGAAAAGGCAAAATTTAAAGTGAGTACTCTGTAGCAAATGTGTATATGGCCACTTTTACCATGTGCCTTGAACAAGTTTAATTGAAACTCGAGTTTAGTTTTCCCTTTCTTTACTTTAGGATTGAACCAGGGAACACGGACCCCACTCTGAACCAATCAAATGCAAAGCTCAAACAACCTTGTCTTTCTTGCAGGTCTGACAATTTTTTTGTTTAAAGAAGAAGTCTCATGGGCTACCTGTGAAAATATCCTTTGACAGTTTTGAGTACCCGTGACCATTCATTTTGTTTTACAATACGCTATGTGAACGCGCGCTTTATCGTCATCATAGTAAAGAACTGTACAGCTTTTATTTAGCTCAACCCGCAGCAGGAGAGAGTTGTACAAATACTTAGCTTCTTCTGGCACAGAATTAGTGCAATGTTGCTCCCATAGTGCAGCAGTTCACTTACACAGGACATCGAGGTAAGCACTTGCGTTGACAATAACATCTAATCCATTGTTCGCTGAGCACCAATATTTCCCAGATTGATTCCTGTTTGTTTCAAAGCTCAGTGTTTTTCCTGATCCTACTCTCTTTCCATTCATTGTCCACGTTATCTTTGGAACTGGGTTACCAGTGGCGGTACAATGGAACGTGGCTGTGGTGCCCTCCATGATGGTCTGGTTTACTGGAGTAGTAACTAAACTTGGTGGAACTGCAAAAAAGCGTATAGCCAGTTTTTGTCTATGTTGCAAGATTAATATGACCTTAACGGAGAGGCCAGTTAGCCGTGGGCAAAAAGCTTTCAAATCAAACCAGCTACTTACATTGAACATCTAGATGTGCGCTGGCGCTCGCAGTAGAATTTAAACCATTCTCTGCCAAACAAAAATATTCGCCAGATTGAGCTCTGTTTGTTTCAAAGTTCAGTGTGTCTCCTTGGGACACAGTCTTCCCATTTTTCTTCCATGTTATTTGTGGGATTGGATTTCCATCAGCCACACAGCGGAATGTCGCTGAGGTACCCTCCAGGACGGTCTGGTTTGTCGGATTAGTGATCAAACTTGGTTTATCTGGACCGAAAAAGGTATAATTAAAGGTAAGTACTATGTAGCCAATGTGTAATTGGCCTTCTTTACCATGAGCCTAAAACAATGCTTGATTGAAACTCAAAGGTTATCCTGGATTGTACTGGTTTTACATTACTTTGCTTTGCGATTGGACCAGGAAACACGCAGCACCTTCTGAACCAATCAGATGCAAACGTCCATGTCTTTCTCGGGCAGTTTTTCTGTTCTTACCAAAAGTCTCAGGAGCTTTATTCGTGATTTTCTTCATAGTTTAACAATTCACTTACACAAAACATCGAGATCAGCACTGGCGTTGACAACATCTAATCCATTCTCCACTGAGCACCAGTATTTCCCAGTTTGATTCCTATTAGTTTCAAAGCTCAGCGTATCTCCGGATCCAACCTTCATCCCATCTATTGTCCATGTTATCTCTGGAGCTGGGTTGCCGGTGGCGGTGCAGTAAAATGTTGCCGAGGCGCCCTCCATGACAGTCTGGTTGATTGGAGTGGTTTTTAAACTTGGCGGAACTACAAGAAAAGCAAATTGTCAATTTTCGTAGGTCTGCCTGGTGTACTGTGGTCTGCATGGTGTACTGTGGAAATCATTGTCACAGTTAAATCAATCCCCGGATCGCTAGCAAGCCGCTAAGTCGAGGTGATCTTTTAGTCTCTATTTGGGATTTTTTTCTTATCCTTTCTCCTTTTTTTGAGTGAGCGGGGATCGGCTTGACCAATTTTTTCTTAGTGTGTATGGTTCTTTTTATCTCACATTGGACTATTCAAGAAAACTTGTTGAGCTCTAAGCCAAAAAGATGAAACCAATTTCGAGTACGTCACTTGTACTTTCGCCGCGACTGAAGCCAATTACGTGTTTTAATTTTGGGTTTTAATTTTCTTCTTGTGATATTTTGCAGACATTTTATTGGTCGTTACAACTACTTTGGGTTTGGATTTTTGGCGGTCGCTCGAATATTGGACGACGATCGTGGTTACAAGACTTTTAAATCTTACCTGTTGGTATGAGGCCTGAATGATGTGTGTAGAGACTATAGAACCCGTTAATTAACTCTCTTATTCTGACTTTCATTAAAAATATTAAGAGTCATTTCTTACATTGAACATCAAGCATAGCACTAGCATTAACAGTGGAATTTAATCCGTTCTCTGCTAGACACCAGTACTTTCCAGAATCATTTCTGTGGGTTTCAATATTTAATGTTTGTTCTTGAGACACAGTTTTCCCATCTTTCATCCATGTTATCTTAGGGGCTGGATTTCCAGCGGCTGCACAGTGGAATGTTGCCGTGTTACCCTCTAAGACAGTTCGATCCGAAGGAAGGGTAGTCAAGCTTGGTTTGTCTGAAATAGATTAAGTTGAAATAAATTTCTCAGCAATTTTCCGTTGCCTACTGTTACAGTTTCTGTATAATTAAGCGACCTGGTAGTGTATTGTTATCCTTTTGGGTGAGTTAATGAATTAGTCATAAGCAGGTTTGATGAGAAAAATATTTTGCATGCCTATTGTGACGATTAAGCGGACTTGGAGTACTGCTAATCGCTCCTGATAACATTCTAGCCCCTTCCCCCAAGAAGGGGGAAGGGGCTAGAATGGGCTATTACCTCGTCGAATTTCCTTTGCAGTTTGTTGTTAGTAATAATTGATATACCCTGAGATGAGTAAAACGTAAACTCCAGCTGTTTCTACCTATGGGGCCGTGGATAGGAAACTAAACTCAACTACGGTATAGTGATACTTCACGAACAGAGTGCTTTAATGGTAAATTTCGCGGTCAACACGCACGTATCTCAAACTGAGATACGACGTTTATAACAGTCTAGTCTTTCACTGTATGCATGGTACTCACAAAGAACATCCAGGACAGCACTGGCATTAGCGTTAAAATTCAACCCATTTTCTGCTGTGCAAACGTATTCTCCAGACTGATTCCTGCTGGTTTCGAGGCTCAATACTTCTCCAGACTCCACATCTTCGCCATCTTTTGTCCATGTTATCGTTGGAGCCGGGTTCCCGGTGGCAGTGCAATGAAATGTTACGGTTTTGCCCTCCATGATGGTCTGGTTTACTGGAACAGTTGTTAAACTTGGTGGAACTGCGAACGAAGTGGACAGGAATTGTTTTGTTGGTTTTTAGAGCTCTTTGTTTATGAACTCGCTGTCGGTTTCTTTGCAAATTTTAATAGTTCACAGGTTGAACAACCCCTAGAACCCTGAAAAGAACACTTAACATAGAGGTTGCATAACTTGAAGGTGTAGACGAGGTTGTAAACATCATTTTTCATCCTACATCTACAGCGTACTGCTTTAACCCCATACTTAGAAAAACGACAAAAAGTCATCGCTTACATTGAACATCAAGCATAGCACTAGCATTAACAGTGGAATTTAATCCGTTCTCTGCTAGACACCAGTACTTTCCAGAATCATTTCTGTGGGTTTCAATATTCAATGGTTGTTCTTGAGAAACAGTTTTCCCATCTTTCATCCACGTTATCTTTGGTGCTGGATTTCCAGTGGCCTCGCAGTGGAATGTGGCCGTGTTACCCTCCAAAACAATTTGATCCGAAGGAAGGGTAGTCAAGCTTGGTTTGTCTGAAATAATAATAAAATGCGTTCGATAATAACGTCAATGGTTTATAAAATTGAGAATATAATGAGAATATGTTTTATTAAGTGAAAGGTTGGCTTAAAACAATGCTTTTTCTGCAAATGCTTCAAATGAAACCAAGAGGAAATCAATTTGATATCCTCTTAATGAAACTCTTGAGTCACGTGGCTCAAACTGAAATATTTGGCATGATGTTATCTCGTTTCCTGCGCGATTTCTACTTACATAGGACATTTAGAAAAGCGCTTCCATCGGCGGTAATATTTAATCCATTTTCTGCCGAACACCGGTATTTTCCAGATTGATTTCTGTTGGTCTGAAAGCGTAGAATGTTCCCAGATCCCACTCCCTTGCCATCTTTTGTCCATGTTATGTTTGGAGTTGGGTTTCCTGTGGCACTACATTGGAATGTTACGGTGGTACCCTCAAGGACTGTCTGGTTTGAAGGCTCAGTTGTCAACATTGGTGGAACTGCAGTTAACAAAATGAATAGTGAACGCACCACTGACGTGACATTTTAAACCGCTGATAATAGTTTTTAGACGACGGCGTTACGGCCGCCAAAGGGGGAAAAAGGGAACTTCAAATCTAGTTTTCTCGTAAATAACAAGAATTGAACGAAAAGAAATATCGAGACTTAATGTTATTCCTCTTAAGAAAGCTAGAGATGAAAGCGAATAAGATGAAAATTTCAGCCTTCAGTTCCCCTTTAATGCGTTCTGGCACATGTACAGGTTGCGCCGAATAACCACAGTCAAACTCACATATTAGGCGAGTCATAATCATCATCGTCATTACTGACCCCTAAGTTGATTTCCGCTAAAGTCGTCGAAGCACCAGTCGCCATCACCGTTAAAAGTCTTTCTCAGAACAAACGATCAAACGCAGAAGTATGGATGACATCCGTTCAAATTGATATCCTTTCGTGATAAAATAGCTGTAGAAATTTGTTACTGATTTGTAAAACTGACATTGCTTACCAAGAATAATTGGCACCGTGGTTATAGAGTCTTCGCCCATAAGGTTGCTTGCCTTGCAAGTGTAGTTGACCCCATCTTGATCCTTATCGACTTCTTTTATAACCAGTGTTCCGTCCATATCCAACTTGTAGCGACTGTTCTCTTCGTAAGTAATAAGCTCGCCATCTTTAAACCAGCGATATGATGGTTGCGGCGCTCCTGTGCTAGGCTTACAAGGTAACCTAGCCTCTTTCTCATTGAGCAGATGAAAAGGACCAAACTGCACGTTTTCAAAAGATGGCTTCCAAGCTGTCGCGAGAATGATATGAAGTAATTTTGTGAGTTTGTTATGAGAGTTATACCGAGCAATATGGCTAACCATTTTCATCAGAAACCTCTCGATTCTAAGTCGATGGCCACTATGAGTTCGAGATTCTTCAATGGCGAACAGTGGTTGTATGCCGACATTAGTTATTTTGGCGGATGAAAGGCATTAGCCGAGTCTTGGTGGTGGTGTCAAATTCAAGGTATCGATCTGTCAACAGTTTTACAGTTTTTCGATTACGAAAGGGTGTAATTACGTCTCATAATGGAGACTGTATTGCTCGTTCAGTATGCAGGAAAGCTATATTTTGCATTAACTTGCATTTAGATCTCTATTGGTAATGTTGTAATGTAGGAAGGCAACATTACTAAGCTTATTCTAGTTTCTCTACTGAATAATCCTCACAAATGGGATAGGAGTCCTTGGCTGGTAAGTCACCAGCAAGTTGGTCAGATTGCCGGCAGGTTGCTTGTAATTCAAGAGTTAAGTTTATGGAGAAGACTGCTACCCGATAACCAGCCAGGGATAAAACCTGGACATCTCAATCCGCAGTATTACACGCTAACCACCAGGCCCCGGTTGTTCGAAGGGTAGATAATGCATCTACCGGGTAAATATATATCCACTGAATAGTGTAATACGCTTTGTTAACACTTATCCACTTTATGGCGGTCTATCTGTTGGATAGATTTATCCGCCCTTTTTACAACTGGCCTCAGTCATCTAAAAGTCTTCCGAGTGCACTCTTAATTTTTGCTTGCGATTAGGTACCTGAAACGTAGACCCAAGTTGAAGATATGATCGTGCCATGAGCATTGGTGGCCTCGCATTGATAGACGCCTGTATCGTCAAGATTCACATCTGTTAGATGTAACTTGTTGTCAGCTAAGACAAGACGCCTAAATTTTCCAAAAGGAAAACATATAATTAGTAGATTCGGGAGCTAATTACAAAGTTTAAAACGCATGAACGCGAATACTTTTTGTGTTTTTCGAGATGCTCTGGGCGTTTCCATCATTCAAAGGGCTGTAGGCCCTCAAGGCAAATTGGGTTAAATTTTCCTCAAAATATTTAGAAATGAATCGATATATAACATTTTGACCTATTTAAGATGTTTGATTTAGAGGTAGAATAATACATAACTCATTTTGAGGGAGAGTAACACATAATACTCTTTTATTCCTTATTCGTCATTGAACAATCAGTAGCGAAATATTTTGTGTTTGATGAGCAGAGTGGTTCAGTGATCTCATATCTTCGACATTCATCCAAAATAATTCGGGATACGTGAATGTCACTGCAAATGGCACTTGATTCTGAAATTTTTTTGCGCTAGTCAAGCTAAATAGCTCTTCCCAGTTTTCTCATTTTGCTCGTCTCTTTAACCGCGCGCTAACTCACCTCATTTCACGTCAAGAGTTTACATTCAAAGGCAATAACTCTTGTTTGGGTTTATTTTTAGCTTTTGTGGTTTCATTTTACACGAAGTATAGGATGCAACGCTATCAAGTTTACCTCCCTGTGTTTTAAGAAATATTATTATGCAAACTTACCCTGAAGGCTGAAGTACTTCTCCATTTTTATACCATGTCGTTATTGCAGCAGGGTTTGCTGTTACCTGACATTCCAACGTGCCGTTTTTTTCAATGACGATGGTGATGTCATTTGGTGGAGGATTCGCTGTCCATTTTGGTGGAACTGCGAAGTGGAATAGGATCGCAAGGGTGTTAGAGCATAATGTTATTGTTTTTGTTTGTTTATTTGTTTGGTTTTGTTCTTCATTCCTGTGTGTTTCCTGGTTTGTTTGTGTTCTTAATAATCAGAATTACCTTCAATCTCAAGGGAATCTCAAAATAATATTAGGCTAAAGAGTTGAAAAATTAAACAGAAAACAGAAAACCACAAGGATATAAGTATGATTGGGTATGAAAAAGAATTGTTTAGGATTTCTAATGAGGCGCTTATAAACTTTGAGGTGAGCGGGTTTTTTTAAATGAGGAAGTACTCCAAGAAGCACTTTTCGCGTAGGCAATCGCGTTTTCGTACAAATAAGTGAGTAGGCGTATTATTTATCCTCGTAGATCAGTCAAGTATCCTTGACAGCACGCTGATACTCTGATAATGTAGTGCCCTGAAAACAGCACAAAACAGTAACCCTGTCCACGGTTCGAAAGCGAAACTCTCGACCTAAATTCTAGCAGATTTGCCAGCAGTTCACTATGTCTCTTAAAGGTCACTTAAATACGTTATTCTGTCGTACAGGCTATGTTCAGACAAGCCATTCTGTTGAACAGAGTATGTGCAGACGAGTTATTCTGTTCTACAGTGTGAGTTCAGACAAGTTATCCGTTGTTACATTGTTCCTGGTTACGACTCAAAGACGACTCAACGGTTCCTCTTTCGTTTACAGGCTTCACACTAAGGTCAACGCACAATACGCCAAACGGAATATAGGGACTTTTGTTACCTGACTATAAGGACCCAAGTTTCTGATAACTCCTGCGGTAAGGCAGAGAGTGCGAAATTTTAAAGGTATTTTTATTTACAATAGGATTTTAGTAATGGGAAGGAGTTCTTTCTCCCCCCCGCCTAACTCGTAAGGGAAGAATTACTCGCTAGAACCTGAATCCTTACCTTCTATTGTAAGTGTAGTTTTGAAAGTGATTGGGTTGTCTGTGTTCATAGCGTTTTCGGCCTCACAAGTGTAGACGCCTTGGTGATTGGTCTCATCAACACTTTCAATGGAAAGACGTCTTCCAAAGAAAGTGTCAGAAATGATAAACGAGTTCTGTCCATCTGTTATCTTGCGTCCATCCTTCTTCCAAGTAATTTTTGGTGTTGGTCTTACATTAGATAAGAGTAAAACGTCATTAAACTTCGAATCAACCATCAGCACTAATAGTAACAGCAATGAAATAGTTGACTGTGATCCTTATCTTTCCGATACGGAAAGAGCTGGTAATCGAACAGAACAGTTTGGTTTCTATGGGCGCCTTTTTTAAACGAAATTTACTGGAAGTAAACTGACTCTTCAGTTATTCCAGTTCCGTTGTACCTGCCCACGAAGACTGAGCAATTTTCGTGACAACTCTTGAAAGATTTAATATATTTTTGAACGATTTGGAGATTTTTTTTAATGGTTGCCCTGTGCTTTTTAAATATGCCGATGATTCCACTATTCTTTCGCCTATCACTAGGAATAGTGACCCGTCTGCCGACTTAGTAGGACAGTTCTTAACATGGTGTAAAGACAATAGAATGGTCTGCAACCCTTGCAAATGTAAAGAACTGGTTGTTAGAAAGAAAAATCATAATGTACTCTACTCTCCAATTAATAATATTCCCCAATGTAATAGCTTCGTTTTATTAGGAGTAACTTTACAGAGTGATGGAAATTTTTTGATGAGCATGTAAGAACTAAGCTTGTCAAAGCAAACAAGTGTTTACACGTCCTACGAACATTGAGAAAGGAACATTACTCTCAGGCAGAGATTGATCATCTTTTTATATCGATTGTTTTGGCTAATTTTAGCTATGCACTTTCAGTCTATGGGGCATCTGAGTCCGATCTTACGGTTGTACAAAAATTCTTAGACCGATGTCATGAACGCGGTTTTATCTCATTTCCAGTTTTTATCAAGAACCTTTTAAACAAACAAGACAGAAACATTTTGAAGAAACTAAAATCAACGGATTGCCACCCCCTGAAAGATATCATTCCTGTCCAAAAGACATATCTACACAATCTCAGGAAAAAAGGCTGCGCGCGCCCGAAAATTAATACACAGCGCTTTATGAACACATTTGTAAATAGGTTGATATTTAAGCTCCATTTATTGTAATGATATACTTTTTAATTCATAATATGTATGTAGATTTCTGTAGTTTTTCAATTCATTGTAACATAAGATATGTAGTTTTATCTTATGATGGAATAAAAGACCTATTATTATTAAAGACCTATTAGATTTGCTCTCTACTGTGCTAAAGGTAACATTCCGAGAAAACTAACCTTCCATTTGCAAAGCAATACAAAATCTTGCTCTTTCCTTCTACGGCACTCTCTTTCTCATTTGGGGTTAGTAACCACGAGGGTGAAGTAGAGTTTTCAGAATCTGTGAAAATTTAAAGATATGTTTGAAATAAGGCAACTGGTTTAGTTTTGTTTCATTTGTTTGTTTGTTTGTTTTTGCACCTTCCCTTATGGCGCAGCTAAATTTTCCCGTTTTTAGTTCGCCACTTGAAGGCTCATACTCGAGTCAGAGGTTGGTGAAAGCATGTATGCAGCGAAAACTTCTGGACTAACGCTAACATCTACTCAGTAAATGTTAATAGGTAATTGGCACTGCAGTTGTCGATGGCTTGACCCAAATGGAACGGAGTAACGAGTTTTACACAAGTAAGTGTCCGCTTATGAGAAAGGCGAACATACCACGAGCCTCGGAGAGGTTCTTTTCTACAGTAATGAAAAGGAAGGAAACATAGAGATCACTAGGTTTGCCAACGCCTGCGCACACTTTTCACAAATTCGAGTCAATTCATGGGCCAAGGGTATGTCTTCAGTAGCTACCGAAGCTTTTCTCTGATTTGGTGGCCAGCAGTGACCGATGATATTGGTATACCCCTTAGATGAGATACAGGAATGGTATGCTTTTATTTTAATACAGTTTTACCTCTACTCGTTTTCTCGATCCTGATTTTGGGGAAAAGAAAGAAATGCAGCACTAGGAAATAACAAATGATATTTTCTTGCTTCTGCATTACCTGTTTGATTTTCATTGATCTTCTCCAATCTCAAGGTCCCAGATCTTTGAAAAAAATTCGCTCCAGAAATGGTACACTTGATGCCATCGTACAATTCAATTTCATCGATGTCTTTTTGCGTTAAATACGTAATATACAAAGTACCATTGCTTAGAATAGACCGACGTTCATTTCTTGCGAATGTGTACGGTGTATTGCCACGGATGTTTCCCCAGCTGTAGACCACCCCATAGCTGTATGAATGAGGTGGACAGTCGTAGTAGAAAGACTCGCCGAGATTTACTTTTACCACGTCATCCTTGGGATCGATGAAGGCGCCAACGACTAGGAGGAAAAGAAATTATGTAAAACGAATTAAAATGTATGGGGGAATAAAAAAGACTGATGGTTTTCTACAGCTAGAGTGACACAGGCGAACTCGAAAGAGGAAATCCCGAGTTCTTCCAACAGGAGTCGAGTCGATATCTTACGATTAGTTGTTCGAATGATTATCGCCCAAACTGTAAAAAAAACTTTGCAAGTGATAGCTAGGCCGTATATCAAAGTAGCTTCATGGAAAGCTTTTTCAGAGTATAATTGAATAAGCGTGGAGCGAAAAAAAAAACTGAAGTCCTCAACAAGGACGAACCTTTGGCCTTTCGATAACGGCCCAATAAGCAACAAAAGCATTGTTGGCAACCTGGCGAAATAGAGCCAAGGTACGAGAAAATCACTTCGGACTGTCAAACTTAATTCCTAGTTAGCCTGTGCGCTGTCTAGCGCCTGTTACATCTCAGCATTTCATTACGTTTCCTTAACAATTCGTTGACACTCATATATATATATACTCCGGTGTGGATAGAAGCACTTTGAAGCGTATTTCTTTGCCAGAAGCAAAGCACTATCACCTGGCTAGCCTTCGAGCCAACCCTAGTTGAGGGCGCTGACCACTATGTGAACATCTAGCTCAGAGTTGAAGTCGTTGCAGACCGATCGGACTGCTGATGTGAAATGTTCAACAAGTTATAATACGATTCACATTGGTACCTGTGACCGCGACTTTAAGTTTCCTGCTAAATGCCACAGCGCCAGTGACTTCGTCCTTGACAAAGCACTGGTATGTACCACTGTGGATTGCACGGAGGTCCTTGCCAGTCAAGGTACCATCTTCACTCAGGTCAAAGTGTGAGCTGTCGGTTATAGCTGTCCCATTATGCTTCCAGGTCCACGTTAAGTTAGATCCGGTGGCATTGCAAGGAAGTGTAAAGCTTAGATCTGACTTGAATTTCACGTCCTCTGGTTTAACCAAATCCTCTTTTGGGAAATTTGTTATCACTGGAGGGTTGCCTTGAGCTAAGACGCAAAGAACATTCTATGCATTTAAGCTAGCACGTTTTTCTTTGCAAATGCGCTTCTCAAGGAAACTTTGGTGCTTATTTACTAAAAGCAAGAGACTTCTTAAAGAAAATAAATCTCCTCGGGAGTTGAGTTTTCCTTAAAACCCTCAGAATACAGGTTCCTTGTAAGACGTCCTGTTAAGGGAAGTGGCTACCATCTACGTTGCCAAGGAAAGGAATGAGGGCATTGCTGACAGGAGCAACTTCTGGTAATTATTAAACTTTGCAGTCTGGTGTTAGGGCACCTTGCGTATGAGTTTGAGAAAGAGATTCTGGTGGAAGTCACTTATAAAATGGTCGTATGAGCAAAATTCAAATGCTAACCCTTGCAAGACGAACCAGAAGAGACGTTGCAAATTTAAAAATTTGATTTGCATATATTCAGTTTTCGGCTACTGAGCTACAGTGTACTGGACCATTTAGAATGATAACAAAATTGATCTAATTGTGAAAATAATATCAGCATCAGATACAAACAAATTACTTTGATTTACCTGGGACTAGGACTGCCAGTGCGATCAAAATCCAAATAGGCTCTGTCCACATTTTTCAATGGCGGGTTGTCTGTAGAAATATAACAACATTTCAGAATTTGTTTTCTTTCAGCTGAAAGACAGTGATCTCAGAACAGATGCAAGTGATTAAGATGTTATGAAGTGTTTTATGAGGGTTAAATTGAGCGCTTGTTCGCGGTTGGGGCATCCCGAGCAATGATGGAAATTTTCTTCAAAAAGCAATCCGTTTCAATCCTTTCCATTCTTGATCATTTTCGCTCCTTTTTTGCTTATCCCCATATCATCTTTGGTGTTTATCTATCCTTTAAAATGATTATTTCTAGGCTTTATCCTATTTAACAGCCATTCCATGACTCCAAATGTAGTTCCTACATCACGGAGTATCTTGCAACGGTTTCATTGTACAAGTCTAGTTGAAAGGAAGAAATTGCGTTCCAAAGAAACACTGACAACTTCTTGTAACATACTCGAACTCTCTTCTAAGCATCAAATGAAACTGACCCTGGCCCATCTGAGATGGTCGAATATAACTATGAGAATCTTAGAATTTAGATCAATCAGCGAGAATCAGGACAGTAAACTACATCACCTAATTCCTGAAGCCTACAGCCCTCATTATAATTTCAGGCGCCAAAGAACGTACAATGTACCAGCAGCCAAGACAAAGCGTTTTGCTAATTCGTTTTTCGTGAAGTGTGCGGCTGTAACCAACTCAAGTTTGAGATGAATGAGAACCCCTTTTAACAGAACTTTAAGCCATTATATTTATAATTGTACATTAGTAGCTTGTAAATAATTACGCAATTCAGTATTTTACTGCGATGTGATTTAATAATAAACCAGTCTATTATTATTATTATTTGAGAATCAGTTTGAACCACTGAAATCTTGATGCAGGAAAGTCTACAACTGGTCGGTAGTAATAGATATGGAAACTTCATGCTTATTCAACCGGCAACTAGATTAAGGGGTAAAGTTAGGCCAGTTATTCCTTTTTTTTGGAAATGATGGTGTACCATTCTCCATTCTTGCCATTCTTTAAGGGAATATAAATGATCAAGCGGCATGTTATAAAACCAACGACTGTAATAACTTATGAGGCTGCTGTTGGGTTAGAAGTCACTCTGGTTTGTCGTCCAATTGTCTGACTCACGTTTCTTCTTAGTTATATATCTCCAAATTAATTATCCACTAGTTTCAAGCGCTAATTTGTTTTCCATAATCTCTAGCCTTCCCTCTTCCTGTTTTTCGTAACGGTCTCGTCACTTCGAAATATCAAGGTCTACATTTCTAAAGGTCGTCATTTGCAATCCGCATTCGGTTAATCTACTTCATCCGTCTCAATCCTTGTTCTATTTTTTTTCTTTGTCTCTTTGGTGTTTGTCTGCCATCGTACATTGTGACTTCCACGTTTTATTTTCGTTTTAATTAAATTTAATTAAACTACATCTAGAGAATTTTAAAAGCTAAAATCAGCCGAAATAAAGTACTTTCTGCGGGAGGGCTATGGAATCTCAACGATTTAGAATTATGAAACTTCTGAAGTTGCCGAAAAGCAATCCATTTGACAAGTGACTGTTATTTTAGTCTATTTTCTTACCATGACAAAGGCCAAAGACAGTTGTTCTTGTTACGACACTGTCGCGCTTTTTTAAGAAAAATTTACTTTCGATGTGTCTTGTGATAAAATGTTAACATTGGAATTAATCGTTGTACTTATCAATACTTCAACTGACACCAATGAAACACTTACATCACGAATCACCCAATTTTCCAGTTCACACGGGAACAGGGACATTAGAGGAACAAAAGTCTTAAGCGCTGATTTCTTTCCTCCAGTAGAAATTTACTGACGCTCAAAATGTTTCTGAAGGACAAGAGGAGCAGCCAAAGGACTACGAAAACAGGAAGACTACTAGATAAGCTGGATTTAAGAATAGACTGTCTCTAATTTTGAGAATATTGTCGACATCGTTGTTGCAGCCAGGCCACCCTAAACTGCTTATCGCCTTTAACGCGTCCGGTTGGACATGGGATTTCCGCTGACAATGCAGTTACAATGCGATCTTGAGTCTGGTCACCCATGTTGTGTATGAGACGCTCGTCCGTTTGGTTTGATAAGAGTCACGACTTCCGAACCCTAAAATTTAACTATTTTTTCTTTAACTCAGTTGAGGATTTAACCGTTTCTTGACACCTCCTGCACAGGACGTTTTTTGAGTGTATTATGAAACGCATGGTAAGAAGGGCGCCAATGAATATCAAATCTGGGAGTTTTCTAGGTAAGAATTACATAATAATCAGCGTACTTTAGAAAACCTCGTGTGGGTCGTTATTAGCCACATTATTTTAATTACATCCTGTGCTAAATCATTGTTTATGTGTACATAAAAAGATAAAAACCTCTTCAAAGTTGTGAGCTCGCCAATTCTGAAAGTGCACGTACATTTTATAAAGGTACGCCCACACTGTCTCACAGAAAATCTCCCTAGGGATGGATAAATGAAGATCGAAGATAAAGTACTTTACTTATTCTTAATTACACAGTTATATGTAAAGCAAGTGCAAGTAAGATTGCGTGCTCTTATCTACACCGGGAAAGAAGATAATCCAAACTTTCAATAGTGGTAGCAAAATCCTTCATTGGTTGTATTCTTTGAGCTCTAGAGGAAAAACGTCACGACGTTTATCGACGCGTTGACATGTAAAATCACCTTCAGTCTGAAGGGGAATGACGAAATTATAGTTTGATAAGAAGAAAAACACCAGCAAGTAAATCTAAAGGAAAAGGGAAGACTGATGATTGACAAAAATGGAAAAAAGTCAACTGTTTGCTTAACTTTTAAAGATTCCCAAACCGTGACCACCGTGACCTTAACATAAAATTTGGTAGCGACAGACTCTCCTATCTGGAAAGAATATAACGGTCATTCTAACCTGAACACAATGATTTCTAGGGCTTTCTGAAGGGGTTTATAATGTATACGCGATGTACATTGTAAGTGTAAAGTTTGAGCGACCTGCGGTTGTAATTTTTACTTTATGTATAGTATAAAGGATATCAAGGAAATCTGGAAGTCTTCTTTGCGCGTTTTTGCAATGAACGGTTCAGCTTGTTATCATATTTTACCAAATGCAGTTAAGAAATTAAGGTGTAGTAACCAATGAAAAATCACGGGAGGGATAATGATAACACCGCATGACACGAGACATGCACAAGTTTTGAGCGGATTGTAAATGAATGACATAGATTACCATTCGATGACGTCGCCGTAAAGAAATCGTACCTAGTTTGTATCCACACCGGAAAACATCAGTTCAACATGAAGATAAAAAATTCAAATTTGTTAGAGGACTTCAGGTGGCAGTAACAGATGAAATGTTTGGGATACTGTGTATATAACGTTCCTGAAACTTACGTGGAGACTGACACAGTCTGAACTTAACCGTTTGATGGTTACTTCGTAGCTAAACTTTTTGTCAACCTGAGGTGCCGAACGAAAAAATGGAACACTGTATCATGAAATCTAACTTAAAACAAGTATCAAGTACAAAAAGCTTATATCAACTGATTGGCTGGTCTGTTGCACAAACCCAAGCGTCTCAGATAATCTAGCCCTGCTGGCCGGTTGTAGGGTCGTCGTTCCGAATAAGGGAGAAGTAACAGGGACAATCCCATCAGAAGCATGCCCGTAGTTTCCATTAGCAACAGAAATAGATCATGTCAAGTTTGTAAGCAGTGGCGGCTGAATAAAATGGTCTAACCTGAGTTGACTCTGCTCTACCAGTCACTACACCAGCTTCTCTTTTACTCGATTCGCTCAGGAGCTGATTTGAGCAGCGGTCTGGATGCGATGGAAGCCTGGCGCTAATTCTCGTCTGGGTTTTTATACTCGTGGGGCAGCGTAGGGTGCTAATCGGTTATTATCGATTAGCGACGTGTTAATACAGTACACGACAGCCACGCACGGAAGGCATGTTTTAATTTCATTGTTTTACAAAGTCTATTATTTCTTGCACGCGAAGTCTCCAACGTCGCTCCATTACGTTGGACGTAGCGTGTGATCAGCAGTCGATTTTCCAATAAGTAATGAGATAAGTACTGTTAATAATAATTTAGTCAGCTAACTGATGAAGGACAAGAGCCACTTTTCCTAGAAATTCTAGTAATGCATGGTTAAAAGTTGATATCCAGGATATGTTTTTGGAACTCAAGTGATTGACCCATATTAATGATGTTTATTTGTGTAAGATCCTTTCTTTCTCAGATGAGCCACACTCGATTTCTACACTAGTGCGATCTATTCTCACTATAAAGCGGTCTCTCTTTTACGCCTACCCATCTGTTTTCCCTATTATTTTTTTAAAATGTTTTTCTCTATTTTCTAGCAAGTTGTCTGGTTACGTTTCAAAGGCAAAGCTTTAAGATCTATTTATTAACACAGTTGTAATTAAAAAAACCTAGCGGCCATTGTCTCAAAGATCACACATGAAGAACTTTTAAAAATAGCTTTGACGAACAAGTTGAAAAATTAAGAATTCTCCACAACTATAAATAAAAAACAATGCTTGCTTTTTTGGTAGATCTATATGGTTTGTTAGCGGACACTAAAACCCCTTGTGCTACAATAATCTAGCAAAATCATTTCCTGTCTGGAGAATATTTATGCTTAAATCCACAGTTGAAGGATAATCTTAGTTAAATTCATAAAAAATTGAAGAAAATCAGCAAAATGGGTTTACTTGGTAGTCTGAGCTCAAACATAACAGCTTTTATTCAAGATATAACAGGGTTACCCAGAGAACAGTGGAACTGCTTGGAAACAAACTGTCACATGAAGTTGACCTGATTAGTCAGCGTATGTTATGGCAAATGGAATCCCGATCCATTTGGAGATAAATTATTTATAATTACTTTATAACCGTGAACGCAATGCCGGATCAGCTTTAGATTATTTTGTCCAATCTAGCCCTAACTGAGGCGAGCAAACTAGAGACTATGCTGCTTTTTTTCTTTTTTTTGCTTTTTTTCTGCGGTTGCATGTTCAAGG